TCATCTCAGGTAGATTTCTTTAATAGAAAAACTACTTCAAAGCATCACCTCACTTTTCTACATTTCAGCGCCCCCTGCTGGTGAAGCCAGGTCACGGGAGACTCAAGAGCTAGAGCAGGGTTTACAAACCCTTGTGACCCCAGAGTCTTTGTTCAACTAATTTGTTAATTTGTGTGAAATTATTTATTTACTTTTTAAAAGCCCAACTGCTAAAACACTTTGTTTTCCCCTCCTTTCTACATTTCAGTGACGAATTAGCCCGTGCTTGATCCTCAGCAGATTGTACACTGATGCAGCCCCTCACTCGAACCTCTTCTAACAGTACCAATGCCTTGCAAGGCAGACCTGAGAGAAACGTGTTGCATATAACTGATCATTTATGCAGTTGCTGTGAATATGCAATCCATACGCTGATAATATACTGAACATCCAGGCTTTACTTTGCAGTTTAGCCTGTGACATCAGCCTTTGAATGTGTGACACCATGTCAGAAATCTACCGATATTGGAACTCTGGTCCGTGACAGCAGGCATCTTCTATCCTGAACAATCTCTACAGCACATCTTTTAATTTTAATTACCTGCAACTGATGATAATTAAATTGCAAATAGTGATATAATGGCCATCTATAAAACCAGCTGTCTGTAGGAGCAGGGCTCTAAATGCATGGTTTATACTTAATAATAACTTTAACAAACTCTTAAAGCAAGGATTACAAAGGTACAAGTTAAAAGTACTTTAGGGATTCAATTTTCCATCTATATCTGGATACAAAATTTAAGGCCATTTAAAATCCTGTGTTATTACTTATGTTTGAGTGACAAGGTTACTTCCTGTGCTGGCTGTATATAATGAATGACTTTCAGAGCGGGATAACTGACCACGCTAATGTAATCAGCACAATGCCCATGTATATTCTATTATATACACTCGTATCATGCTAACACAACATGTAAATAAGAGTGCTATCAGTCAATTATTCAATAACAAAGCTAAAATATAGAGTGTTAATTTAAAAAATGATTGATGGTTGAATTTAGAAGATTACAATTAACCTGGTGCAGATTAATTTTATCTTAATGAGGATAGATGTGGATTCAGGAAGAGTGACATTAGCATTTATCTCTTTCAGCTTATAAGAGTCCATTCATACACAAATGTTACTGTTTGATCTCATAGCCTCAAATTATTGAGTACAGGGTGGAGCAGGAAAAAGAAAGAACATTTAGCAGCCTCTATTTAGAAACCAAGGTCTTAATTTCAATTGTAGTTAAAAAAGCCTCTAAGAAGAATATAAAGGATATTTTAAATCACAGTACAACAGATAATACAGCTCTGTGTGTCTTTCCACAATTATCTTTTGTCCAGTATATTATTAGTATCCTTAATACAATCTGGTTACTATGGATCCTTCAGTGAAACAGAAACCACTCGACTAGTATTCTGCATCATTTGTTATAGTTATTATTTATGAGACAGTTTCTTTGCAATTGCATCACCAATAATAATATTTTAAAGGCTATCATGAAATGGGTAGATAAGAGCATGATTCCCACTCCTGGTTTTACCCAGATGATTTTCTAAAGGTGAAACATCTTGTGTGAATATCTAGGGCAGCTGTCATCTAGGCTTTTTCAGCTTAATTATTTCTGTAATTGTGCTCTGCCTTCGGTTCTAAAACCGTCTTTTCCACAAAGACTCTGATTTTGTTTCGGACTACAGTATTTCATTTTCCAGGCCTTCAACCGCCTAAAGCCTATATATTAATAAATGTTTAACTGATGAAAATGTGATTCCTTATTTTCTGGTTTTGTAGGATGACAAAATCTCGCTCTCTTTCTGTAGGCACTTGGCTGACTGAATAAATCTAAGAACAAGAGGTGCACCACACAAACTGTATAGGAACAAGACAAAAGTGGAGACAAGAGGTCAAAAAGAAAACAAGCCTCACTGAAACATAAACGAAAACAAATCGTTCAAAGTAAACGAGTCATCTGAACTTCAGGAAAAGCATTTTATTACAAAACATTCTCGGCTCATTTTTTTCTGTTTTTTTGTTTCAGCGTTTGAGCTGTTTTAATGTAAGCAGCATCCTGCCCCTTTAGGAAGCGCCTGCGCCTGTGGTCTGCTCTTGGAACTTTGTGCTGTCACTCAGCAACGTCCTGGCATTATTTCTGAGTGCAGTAAAAACATACACATACCTGCTGTAGATCAGAAACGTTTTTCTTGTACTTTTGTTCTTGCTTGCTGCTATATAGCCATGAAGGCTGCTATATGAATATGAAGTACACTTTACCCCAGAGACTTTAAAAGATTATTGGAATCATCACTCTCAGGCTGAACATACTGTTGCACCTACACTTGCTTTAACTTTTCCTTTTTTATTGAATCTTTCAACTTCAAAGAACTAAACACACAGAATATTTGTTTTGCAATGATTTGTGGTTAGACAGAATTCTGCACGTTCATTTTGGTACCTCTCTTCTAGAGTTTTCCTAAAATACTGAAATATATGCATTTATACCCGGTTAGCCATTATGAAAACAACAATACATTCTTCATTTGCAGTCAATTAATTAGCAAAAACAGGTTCTAAACAAAGTATTGCAAAACTGGAATCTTGTTGATACAAGGAAGAAGCCACTTTAAATTTAATGTTGATCATACTGTGATTCTGCATTGAACAAGTATTGAAACATACCAGCAGGAGGATGTGTAAAACAACTCAAGGGCCACAAACAAAGATGGTCTGGTCTGTTGCACAACATAATAGTATGAAAATATGAAATAAAACATGTAACAGAAAAGTAATGAGGACCACGGCTGATTAATCCTTCACCTCACAGGGTTTAAAGAGCCTGTGCCTGGAACTGCTGACAAAGATTTTGATTTAAATAAGTGTTCAGATGTGAATCATGGGTCCATGTATTCCGTTCAGGAAATCAAAGTACTGCACAGACATGTTCTGCATGTCAGAGAAAAAGCAGATATCAGGAAGGCTCACACAGATGGGTTATCAGAACACCAGTACTGTTTAAGATAAAATAAGATCACTTTATTAGCCATACAGTTTCTCACATTAGGAATTTGGGTTTTTCGTATACCCCAGCTTGCTCTCCATCAGTGTATTATTAAAAACATATATCAAGTGTTGAACTATTGCATTTTTTTTGTACATAAAAGCCAGTTTTCCTTGAACTTTCAATCAATGTCATTTTGTTCTAGAAGGCCTCTGCACATAAATGGACAGACAACAGAACAAACAGCAGGAAATTCATTCATGAAGAGGGTACAGGTACCATTTTAAACTGTAGAGTACCACCATGGATGTAATGGAAAGTTCTGTTTTAATGCATTTAATTAATCACTTCACATTTCTTTTAAATCACTGTGCTTCAGTGTCTTTCGTGGACTGACCAAAACGTGACTCAGTGTAAGAGCCTCATGTGGTTTTTGAATAGTTCAGTACTTTTAAGATACATTGGTATATGATAAATAATTGGTAAACCCCTAATTTCCTAGCACAATTAAGGAGGGTAATTAGAATACTGTGGCTAAATAATTGAGTAACAAGTAAACAAGGACTGAGTTTGGGCAGCCTTGTCTTATATAAGTGCTCTACATTGTATAGGTCAGTGGGAACCCATCAGGCCATAATCAAAAGAGGTTTCAAAAGACTTCAGAAAAATAGTAGCTAATGCACATCAGTCCGGAGAGGGTTGCAGATCCCTTTCTAAACATTTGGGGTTTCATCCACTCATTCTGATAAACTGCACATTGAAAAACGTGTTTGTAGAAATCGGGACTGGCCAAGTTGCTCCCAAGAGCAACCCAGACAATCATCCCAGACATCATAAAAAAAAACTAGAGTAACATCTGGTGTGACCTGCAGGTCTCTCTCAGTGCAGCTAACGTTGGAGTTCATATCTCAATGATAAGAAAAGGACTAAACATGAATGGGTTTTATGGGAGGATAGCCTGAAAGGAACCATTTGCTCTCTAAAAAAATCAAATTGCCACCTGTTTCAATCTTGCAAAAGAGAAACAGAATAATCCGCAAGGCTAATGGAAGAATGTTCTCTGGTCAGATGAGTCAACGGTACAACTTTTTGGCCAGTGTTTTAGACAACAAACACTGCTTTCCAACAGAAGAAACTCGTTCTGACCATCAAGCCTGGTGGTGGGAGTGTCATGGTAAGGAACACTGTGTCATTTCATTGACACAATACTAAATTCATCCTATAAGACTCAGCCACCTCAGGCCCTGTACCTTGTCCTGAAGATCAGATGACAGGTGCTGCTCTCTGCCTTTAAAATTACAATGATATGATGTTTGCTACACAGATTTTAGGCTCCTTGTATCCTTCTGAGAATTGTGGTGTATGAAACCTACACCACAAGCCTCCAACTGCACATTGTCCATTCTGACAACATTGGTTAAAATTCTTGCAGATCATAAGAGTGTCAAAATGTCTACTCTCCAATAATCTTATTGTCTCTTAACAACACGTAACTGCATGAGTAACAACAAATTACTTCATTGCATGAGAAAATAGAGCAGACTGGATCTGTGTTTACAATGTCAGTATAACTGACTTCAGTCATTAATAATAATCCTTTAATAGTCCTAAACCTAGAGCTTTCCCCAGAAAGGGAGGACTTTGATACCGTAGGTGTTTACAGATTTGTAATCTAATACAATAATTTTCACTGAAATTGTCATGTATTTTGTTTTCTCAGTTTGCACTTCAGAAAATGTATACATCTCTTGTTTTTCAGGTTGCCCATGACTTGCCTGTGTGTGTTAGCAGAAATATAATTAACTGCAAAACTACTATGAATTGTACTTAAACACTTATTTATGAGGACATATAACAGGTCTGGGAATCTGAATATTATTTAAATTGAGTATTTAAAGCACCGTATGTTCCACTATTTCGCTGAGAGAGAGCCTTGATTTTTAATCAGGCACAATTGAGGTCAACCCTTGCACTGCAGCCATTACAACATTCCCCTGGAGTGAAATGACTAAACAAGCACTTATTTCATTTTCATGCTAGTGGCAGTAGACCCAGTTAAACCAATACAACCCAGGCATATTTTAGGTGCTTTTTAGTTCTGTGTGGGCATGTTTTTCTTTTCGCTGGGCTGCAAAGAGCGTTGCTGGAGCTGTACTTAGGGTCCTGATAGCAAGAGCAGTAACTGAGCTTAATCTCTGACTGAGACAGGAAGGGCTGCGAGAAACGGGCGAAACTGGGAACAACATTTTTTTTTTTAAAGAAGTAAAGGAAATAAAGAAATCTGCGACTTCGAAAAGCATGAATGAACCGCTGAGAAACCGATGTTATTTCGGTGCATCCGCAGAGAAGTGAAAACTAAAACCAAATAAATTAGCTGAGCAAGTTAAAAACGATCGAAAAGGCCGTGCCTCGGGGGGGGGTTAGAAAAATAATATATATATTTTTTATCATTTCAAGTGATTACATTTGCATTCCACTGCTAACTTCTCGGTGTTCTCATGTCAACATGGACGGCGTCTACGTGTGAAACGCACGGAGAAACTTCTCTTTAAAAAAAAAAAGTAGACCCGAGCTAAATGACTTGGCGACAGAAAGCAGCACTTTGTAGACGTGATCGAAGTAGTTGGCAACAAATAATGAACATTAAATGCATATTGTTGTAGTTAGTTAAAATTTACAAGCGTCTCTCGGGGCCTTAAAAAGGTACGATATATGTGCAGCTGGGTTTTGGAGCTATTTTATTGAGGCGGGGAATAGAGCGATGATATGAACAGTGTGATTCTCACGTATTATTTAAAATTGTGATAATGGCAAGGGTCTGTCATGTCACCTCGCTTTAGTTTGGAATAATCGTGAAAATGTACGTTTACTCCAAGCCAGCAGCCATGCGATCACGTGAATCTGCACGTTTTCTACGGTGAATAAACAGGATCCAAATGGTAAATATGTCTCTTTTCTTGTTTTGCATAAAGTATCTACATTCGCAACTAAATACATACTTTGCTCTTTACCCTCTGGTGTGTGGCTTTGCAGCCTGCGCGTAGAATGAAACATCTGGGGTTTGTTGCTTTACTGTAACCAAAACTTCCCGGATTGTTCTGTTTGACGTTTCTTTAAAAGTCTTTTGCAAGTCGAGTTGTTGACGATGTTTTTACTCTTAAAAATCCTTTTATATTTTCTTGTTTATATCTTGGTTGTATGCAGTCTGTGAGCGGATTCGAAGTGCTTGCCTAAAACGCATAGTTCATGGACTACTGAAGAACTTAAGCAAATCTTTTTTTTGCTTTTCGTTCTCATTAAGGCTGCTGAAATAACTTGTCATAGAAAAATATTTAATCAGAATAAAACATTTTTTTTTTACGTAGGCCATCAAGTATGAATTTTTCTGGAAGTTGAACATATATATATATAGGCAACTTAAAACCTGCCTCGATTTTGTGTTTTGTGTAATATATTGCACTGCTGCTTTTTCTTGTGGTTGTAATGACATAGGCATGCTTCGTGTATTTTAATTCGTTTCTTTATGGATTTTTATGGCCCTATGGTCGTACTGTAATCGTAGTACAGACGTAGGAGTGAATATCTGGCAAAGGAACAACTGCTGTTTCTTCCAGATCTCGAAACTGCTGTAGAATATTCCTCTGGCGCGTTTTCAAGCACCTCCTCCTTGATAAACTGAGAAGCTGTTGTGCGAGAACACCACAACATCTGGGATTGGGGTTTCTGAACAACCGTAAGGGGGGACAACGCGTATGACTTGGAAACTAATGAGTTCTGTGAAACCGAAATCCTTCATGTTACATGTAGCATACTTCAAATCCCAGGTGTGGCCACTCAGCACTCTAAACTGGAAAAACTGAAGCCTTGAGATCAAGTCTTAGCAAGGATGGCTTGATCGATAAATCCACCGCCGTGCAGTATTTTGTGGTTAATCGCCACGCTCTTACTTTTTGTTCTAGAGAGAAGTGCACAAGTCATTACATATTCTTTTTTTCGTTCCAGGAAGTCGTTTTAGCATTTTTATTTTTAAGTTGCTCTCAGCCTGACAAGGTTTGCCACAGCTAAGGCAACGCTTTTGAGAGTTCAGAGAAATACAAAAAAAAAGTCCGTATTTAAGTTAAGTGCCCTGGAAACTCCGCAAACCCCGCAAACTGAGCTGATTTTTTTTTATTGCTTTGTCATGTGTTCATGCATGGGGTTGACTGTACCTTGTGCTTCAGCTGGGTGAATAAATCTGAAATCACTGAAAGGGTCCTTTCTCTTGTTTTGTCATGAAACTAAAAGTTTGTAAAACAGGGAAGCTTAAATCATACCATTGAAGCTTTTCCTGTTCCTTTAAATACCAGAGAAGCATTGTTTTGTATTTTGCCTGTCATTTAATCAGTTTCCTAAGTCTTTTTTTCCATTGTTGCTACATTTCATTGGTTTACAGATGGAGTGGAAAATGAAATTGTTATGCCATGCTTTTTTTTGTCCAGTGGTGAAAAATTAAAAAGTTCCAGCACTCCTGTCCTTTCCTGCATGGCACCCGTGGGTTCAGCTTGCAGAGCTCACAGGCTCTTTCTGCAGCTGTGTGTCTCTGCTTGGACAAGGATGATTGAAAAGAAAGATATAAGCCAGTTTCTCAGAATCCGGGTAGCTGGGAATTAAATACGTGGGAAGCAGAAAAATAGAAAAGACTTCAAAGATACGCACATCTACTTGCTGTAACAGATTTTTTCGCAGTAAATAATCTCTGTTTTGTTCAAAGTAACCAGAACTGCAGGTTTCAATTTAGTAATCCACTTGTGCTTGCTTCCTAAGTGTTTAGTAGACATTTTACGCCTGCATTCGCCTACTGTAGGATGGAGAGGTTACATAAATGTGGGCTGTATTATGATGAATATTGTTTTAGTTTGTTTGATGTTTTAATCTACCGATTATCTTGTTATCTTTTTCTGGTGTTTGTTTTATAGAGTGTTCTGAGCATGGTGTTGACCTGTATGCTACTGCTTCTGTAACAGAGAGTATGATGCCTTCTTATACAGGTTATGTTTTTTTTTAAAGAAGTAGGTCATGATTTAGAATAAATAGTGAAGGTGTGTCCACAATGATTGTCAGTGTGGAAAAGCTGTAAGAAAACTACAGATAAATTGGAGTTCTTGTACTTGTTAAAAAAAAAAACAAGACATGCTGGATGTGTAAATCAAGACCTGTGCCAATTAAATTATTTTCACAGAAGTGATTCTTTTTGAAACAGGTGTCTTCATCTCCACTCTCCTAACAAAGCTCTTTTGTGATTGTGATTCACGTTCTCTCCTTTTCTATTTATTGCTTCTAGTCTGCTGTCTTTCTCCTCATGAGTGTTAACCGTCTTTCACGCCTTTGCTAGCGTGCAGGCTGAACGAGCTGGGCTCGTTCTTTTGCACTTTGTAGCAACAGGTGTTGGGGATCCTTGTGAGAGCAGAGGGAACTTTGTGACAGAGGCACCGCTGCAATTTGCAGCAAGTCTCCCTCATCTTTTGTGCTCTGGTCAAGGCAGAGAATAATAATAATAAAAATAGTGATTGCTTACACTTATATAGCGCTTTTCTGGACACTCCACTCAAAGTGCTTTACAGGTAATGGGGACTCCCCTCCACCACCACCACCACAGAATGTGGTGGCTGTGAAGACCAGGGCTTAGACATCTGTACAAAAGGAATCCGATAGCAGATCAGAACAGCTCAAGGGAAAGAGGAAGTAAAGCATTGTTCCTTAACCTATTCTTGAGCATTCTGAAACTTCACTGGGAAAATGAGAGATTCCTGCCATGGATCTGAAAAAAAAAACAAACAATTGTGAACTCTAAAACCTACACAAGACTGACATTAATTCAAAAGCAAGAATCGGAGCTCCAGTGTTGTAGTCAGGGTGTGTGGGTTTTGCCGTTTCAACTGTAAAGTCAGTACAGTCTGTGTTGTGTACATGCAGATCCCTTTCAGTGCACATTTCCTGCTAAAGACTGAGCTGTCCCACAAAAGTCTGGACAAGAGCCAGGGCTGTGCTGACAACAAGATAATATGGTTTTGTTTCGCTGTAGATTGAAATTGGGTGCTAAAACATTGGTGAAATCTCCTTTTGAGCATTTCTTGGGGAGGAAAAAAGTGAAGGTGATAATGCAGTTCATTTTTAACATTTCAACTGTCACTAAAAAATCCGCCGAGCTAAAAAGGCTGCAGAATCTGGTTGGTGGTGCTGCATGGAGTTAAATCCTGCAGCTGATGATGCTGTACAGAAAATAGCTGCAGTAACCGTTTTTCGAACGTGGAGACAAAGGGCTGGCTAAGTTCTTGCATTTAATCTTTTTTTGTGCTCTTAAAACTAAATCGCCTGTAATATTGCATAAATAAAGAAGGTCGTCTTTCTTAATTAAAAGGATGAACTGTACAGTAAAGGTCACTGGAAAATTTGCTTAACTTTCCGGAGGTTTTATTACATTCTTTGTGTGATAATTCATACACAGTGAACTTGCTGCAGGCTTCCACATGCTTTCTGCGAGCAACAGTCATCGGGACCTGTATCTGGGAAAAGGCAAAACCTTTTTTAACTTGTTTTTTTGCCACTTCAAAATGAGAGATATCCCTGATATTGAAGGGCATGCAGGTATAATAAAGGAAGGATATGTGAGATTTAATTATTTCACTGATTTGTTAAGGTATTTGTAAATAAGTAAAAAGGTTTTTGACTACATTTTACACCTGAAATCATGTGTTCTGTTCATATTTTATATGGTGTAAGGGCAGTGTGGTTCTAAATTGTATTGTTCGTTTTTTAATGGGGAGCATTATGATCCAGTATTGGGTTTTACCAAATTGCAATTCATGGAAATTCTGATATCTGGGATTTCTATTCTAAAATGACGTGACGTGTTGAGACCAGACACTAACATTAAATCATATAATGCAGTGTTGCAGTTCGGATCGCTAACAATGAGTGTAAACATTTTATTCTTCTGTGTGTGACAGAAGTAGTTCTTAATTTAGCAGGCAGTCACAATAAATGTTAATTTCCAAAAAGTCAGGTGCGAATTCTGCTGATCTGGTCTTGATGAGTTTGTCAGGTTGGAAAGGACATTTTCTGGATTCACTTCTCTTTTTTGTTTAAATAAATTGATTACACAATTGTTGATTAGACAATAATAAATATAGTAGGGCAGTTTGTTTACTGCAGAATATGTTACTGTTCTAGTAATATTATGTTTTTTAAATTGCAGGTTTTTCTAGGTTTCCAAACATGGGTGACATGAAGACCCCAGATTTTGATGACCTTTTGGCTGCTTTTGACATCCCTGATGCCACCAGCTTGGATGCCAAAGAGGCTATTCAGGCCAGCCATGATGAAGCTGAGGGTCATTTGAAACCTGCTGGAATATGCATGGACGAGAACATATCTGTCCACCATGCGATCCCAGCCCCCGACGTCCCTGCGGTCAGTGTGATTGTGAAGAACACCAGCCGCCAAGAGTCCTTTGAGTCCGGTTCCGAGAAGGACAGTGGTCACCTTGGACACGGCCTGTTACATAATGGGTTCCGGAGTTCAGGAACCATCGCGGATCCCCACCACATGGGCCAGAGCAGCTGTGGGAAGTTTGAGCCACCCTTCATGAACGGGGATAACCCGAGAGGCTTCTTGGAGAAAGTGGACACCCTCCAGGCTGAAAGGGAGACGTCCTTGTCCCAGTTTAGTCCCATCTCGAGCCCTGAACCCGAGGAATCCCAGGATAACGGAATCGACGGGAGACCACCACAGGAAGAGAGACCTTATTTCCCCGCTGCTCCTATGTTTGTGTCTGCCGAGCGCTCAGTCCTGGACAGTCTGAGAAAGGTCCCGGAGTACAGCATGTTTGACCAGTGCTCTAAGAGAGAACCAATGAATGAGGCTGGAAACTGCTTTGAAAACCAGGAAAACAGCCAATCGGAGGAGTTTAGGACACCACAGAAAGGGGAAGACGGCATCAAAGAAAATGTTAAAAGGGCCAGCTTTCTTGAAAGCCCCCTGTTACCCTTTGATGATCTTCACAGCAATAATGTTGGTCAGCCAAAGAATTCTTTTTTCACTGAGACTAGTTTAGGCTCCTCCATTCCGCCTCGCCAGCGCATCAAACCAGCCAACTCCAAGCTGTCGTCCTGCCTGGCAGCGCTGGTGGCACTGAACGCCAAAAAAGTTGCAGAGGTTCCAAAAGAGGAGGAGCTGCCCATATCCAGAGACCCCTTCGTATCGGTAAAGGAGCGTGTGAAGGCTAATCCTAAAGTGCCCAAGTCTCCAAAGAGCCCAAGGAGTCCCCTGGAGGTAGTGAAGCGATCTAACAAGCAGCCAGACAGTCCGATGAGTGTCTGCAGTGACAGCAGTGGCAAAGCATCTCCTTCTCTGGCGGCCGGTTCCCCTCCTGCTATCCCAAGAGTCAGAATAAAGACCATCAAAACCTCTTCTGGGCAAATCAAGCGAACTGTCACCAGTGTGTTACCCGATTCGGAGCTGGAAGAGCTCCAGTCTCCCCCTGAAATGTCCCCAGCCCAGTACATAGCTGGCGATGAGTTGACATCCAGGCCCGCAGCCAGCACACCCCCTTCTCACGGTGTTACCAGTGAGATTGTTCTTGAAAACGGAAGGAGTAAAACCAACCACAGAAACACACCCCCGGTTTCTGCACCGCCGCCACCTGTGGCAGCTTCAAAGATCACATGTGTCAAATCAGAAGGGACTCCTAACAAGAACGCCACATCGCACCCTTCAGCGCCCTTTCGGAAAGCCAGCAGTGCCATCATGAGGGTTGTGAATGTCGTCCAGCAGCAGGAGCAAAAACGGCAGAAGCCCGCGATGGTCCAGGTGGCCAGCGCTGCCAACAGCAGCCTCCTTCCAAAAGCTGTCCACTTGGCCAACCTGAACCTGGTCCCTCACAGTGTTGCTGCCTCGGTCAGTGCGAGATCCACGACCCCGCGCCAGAGCCCGTCCCAGCTTGCCTCTCCCATGGTGTGCAGCTCAGTTCCTCTGGTGCACCAGATCAAAAAAGCTGCCCCTCAGCTTCCACCCTCGGTTGCGCCCAGTGGGGCTGTAGGGACCTTGAACAGACTCTTAAATGCGGCCAACCCTGTGCCATCCTACATTCCTAACCTCTGCCCGCCCCCAGAGTGTAACATCCGATTGCCGGCACGGGGCTATCGCTGCTTGGAGTGTGGGGACTCCTTCGGGCTGGAGAGGAGCCTGGCGTACCACTATGGCAGGAGAAGCGTGCACATCGAGGTGGCCTGCATGCACTGTGCGAAGACCCTGCTGTTCTTTAACAAGTGCAGCTTGCTGGCGCACGCCCGGGAGCACAAGAACAAAGGGATTGTGATGCAGTGCACCCAGCTCTTCATGAGGCCCATCTCCTCGGACCAGATGTTCCTGCCCGCTCCCGGCAGCTCCTGCGCCCCCGTAGTCCCCCAGGCCACGCAGCTCGTTGCTGGCTCTGTGGCCCAAGCAAGTCCTACCAAGAGCCAGCCGGTCATGCCTTTGTACCCAGACAGAATCATTCGGCACGGCCTGAGGTGCCTGGACTGCAGCAAGCAGCTTTCCGATTACCCTTCCCTTGCAGGTCATTACCAGAGGTCCTCGGAGAACACGGAAGGCCTGGTAGGTGGACGTTTCATGTTGTATTGAGAAAGGCATTGCAACACTTTGATTTTTTTATTTTTATTATTGAGCTGTCTCCCTCTGCTTTTGGATTGAATCTGTAGCAAGTAGTAGAAATGGGTTTTAGCTGAATGGGTGCAAAGGGTGGGAGTAACCAAAGGCGGGAAAAAAACAACGAAAACAAAAACAGGGCTGTTTTTTTTTTTTCTGCTAGCCTTGAGGTTGTGTAAGGCTTCTAATGATTACGTGCTCCACGACGTGTGTGACATGACTGAGCGCTGCAGTGCAGTTTGCTTGTTTGTGCCTCCTCATCTTGTGCAGACATGCCAAGTGTGCATGATGATGCTGCCGAACAAGTGCAGCTACAGGGCTCACCAGAGAATCCACGCACACAAGTCGCCTTACTGCTGCCCCGAGTGTGGGGCTGTGAGCCGCTCGGCAGACTTCCAGAAGCACGTCAAGGAGAACTGCCTTCACTATGCGCGCAAGTTTGGCTACAAGTAAGTAAGCTAGCACATGGAGCTTTGGTGACAGCTTGGAGGGGGAAACAGTCATTCAGGGCAGTTGGATGTTTAGTTAACTTTGCTGTTAATTGTGGCTTAGGACTAAGGTTTTGTGTGATCGTCGTTCATTTAGTTGATTTAGGCTCCCTACTTGCTGTAAAGAGAGCAAAGAAATCATCCGTTTTCGCAGTGTCCCAGAATCCTTTTTTTGCTTAATTATGTAGCCATTGCGCATCGAACTGCATGTCTGTTTGGTGCGTACTGTATTGGAACTAAGCGTGGGAATAGCGGACGGAATTGGTATGTAGTGCAGAATTCAAATGACAGAGGAGTATATTTTGTGTAGACAATAAATTTTGTGAAATATTGAAGTGTATGATCAAGTGTTGACATGGCCCAATGTGATTTGCTGCCCGGCAGCCAATCCCATATACCGTGCGCCTGTCAGAAACTGATGTTCGCCAGCACTGCTCAGAAACCGCTCAGCAGTTAATTTCATATGTTTTGGCACTGCCTAAAAAATATCAACAATTTCAGTTTCAACTGTTGGGAACACAGTTGGGAATTTTAGGCTAGATCATTTTCCACCTTATTCTTCAACACTGACCACTCATTTTTCATTCCACCTTGTAATAAAATCTGCAGTTTTTACTGCTGCTCCTCCGACTTTAATAATCTTACCTTATTTGCTATGGGAAGAACAGAGAAACGGCATCACATGATTGATGTCTTAGCTTATTGACACAATATGCTCCTCTTAAGAAATATAGTGGCTGTTTAACAGATCGATTGATTTCAGTGTGCTTGGAATCCCTTTTTTACTTGCCTTCACTCAGATGGTGTTGAGCCCCTGCTGTTGATGAACTCTGTTAAAGATATGTATCTGATGCTGCAGGTAGTGGTTTACATTTCTGTTCAGTTATTCACTGTTCTTAATGAATATATACATTTCATTAGGTATATGTATCATTTGGTATACAGTCATATGTATGTCCCTTTTATTTTGTTCTTAGAGTGTGTGGGAGAATGAAAGGAAGCTGTTAGGCAAACATTAGTGTTCCGAACAATGTATTCATCTGTCTGCGTATTTTCTGTAATAATGAATCGTGCTTACGTGTGCATGTTTGCTTAATGCAATTTGCATTGTATGCCTACTTTATTCTAATACATCTGTTTCCATAGTTATTTCCAGTATTGCATCATTTCATAACAAAAGCCCCGACAGTGAGCTCAGCAGCGTGTATGCATCTCTACAGAAAGGACCCTTGCATCATAGTTTATCTGACTGTGCAGAAAGGAAAGAATTATGGGGCATTAAAAAGCACCTTTTTGTATAGATTGAATTGCTCATGATTGAGCGGGTGGGTGGTCAGTATCAGACCTCTCTTTTTTTCCCCCTTCAGCAGAATTGCACCTTGAGCTCCTCGAAGTAACTGTAGTGGAATTGAGACAGAATGCTGGTCTGGTTTCTTTCAGTTGGGCCTGCTTGTGTTCTTGCAGGTGTCTTCACTGTGACGTTATCTTCATGTCCTTTTATGTTCTGAAGTCTCACATTGAGGAGAAACACTGCGAGGTGTTTTTCAAGTGCTCCATCTGTCCGATGGCGTTTAAATCTCCCGACAGCAGCGTAGTGCACATTAAGAACAAGCATGAAACTTCCAAGGCAGCGCCCCAGTAAGTCAAACGTACGGCTAACTGCATCTCTGCATCTCCGTCCACACCTCTTTCCTACCTTTATAAAGTTATTCAGTATTGCATATTTACAAACAAACCATGAACCTTGTGGTTATTGTGTCCATCTGCCAGCACGCGCAAACTATTGTGTTGTCTATTATTGGGATGCCTAGTATGTTTTGCTTGCAACAATTAATATTTAGAAAATTATCAATGCTCTTCTAACAAGGTGATAATTCGTTCTAAGATGTCTTTCAGATGAAGAGTTCAATTAGCATGTTGATAAGGGATGGATGTGTTTGATGTTAAGATTACACATATTTAATATTTTGAGCTAATTTGTGCCTGTTATTCAACTTTTGTGTATATAGTGCACTTGAGCAACTGAAATTCTTTTAATGTAATTAAAAGTTATCTTTTCACTCGTTTGAATGCATTTTACAGTGGTTGATTTAACAAGGTTCTTTGTGTTGCAGGCTCATCTACAAATGTTCCTGCGAAACGGTTTTTAAAAAGAAGAAGTTATTATTCCAGCACTTCCATCAGAACTCCAGTAAGCTGCTTGTTTGTGTGTTCAAGTGCCCAGAGTGCCAGCTGGTCTTCATACAGAAACAGCTGTTGATGCAGCATTTCAAGGTTTGTAGTGCCACACAAACCTTGTTCTGGGTTGCCTTCACACGTGGCAGGAATCTCTGAGAACCTTTTCCCAGCTGACTTGCTGAACTGAAGGCATCTCACACCTCTCTCTGCTCTCTCTCTCTGCTCGTTTCTACATTGACTCAAACCAACGTTTTTTTCTAATTTAGTTTCTGTATAGAAAATGCTTGGAATCAGAACTGAATGCCTAACCTTAAACGTTGATTGAGACTGAGGGGATATTACTAGGAGTATTGTTGTGGCTTTTATATTTTAGGGTCACATAGTAATGATCTTCTGGTGGTGTGTTATTTAAGGCTGAATTATAATTGTGGACTGAAGCACTTTGACAAAAGAGTCATATTTTAACTTTTATATAAACACCGAGGATGTCCAGGGATGTGTCTTGCTCGGTTGATGCCAGATACGGAGTTATAAAACTTGCAGGTTTCTGTCTTTCCCGTCCTGCAGTATTTTAAGTCAAGTCTTTTTCTCAGGTCGTCCACGATGGGGTGTATAAAACGGCCGCGGACGAAAGTGTGCACCTCGCGCCGGAGGCTGTTCCGGGGAGCCAGGGAGTCGTGCCGGTGAATGGGCAGCCGAAGGTCAATAGCCCCCCTAAACACGCTGCCCCCCCAGCCAGCAAAAAGGAGAGGCCTGCGGCGCAGAAGGCGGCCAGCAAATTCAGTTTAAAGAATGCGGGCTGGACCTGTGGGGACTGCTTGCACTGGCTACCTGATCGAGAGACCTATGTGTCTCACATGAAGAAGAGTCACGGAAAGGTACTTTTTCCCCCCCCCCCTTCTTTTGTCTCGCTAGCGAGGCCGCCTGCCCGACACATGATTGGGCTAAGCGTGATTGTGCAGACGCCAGCAGTCTGCCATTAGCTAGTGGTGACTGGGACCCTCCACGTGGGAGCAGGGCAGAGATCTGGCTGCAGAAGGGATGGTGATGGATGAGGACGTTGCTGTTGTACCCTTGAGTGAGGTGCTTCAATCGGATTGCACAGCAACACCCAGCTGTATTAGTAGAGGCAGACAGGACAAGAAACCAACGTTTTGTTGACCTAAACTGGTTGATGAAAGGCATCAATACTTTAAGTGAAGTGTTTGACAATGATCTCTGTTCTCTTCCTAATTCTTATTTCATGAAGCCTTCTTCTACCGTGCAGACTTGTGTTGTTTGCATTAGAATATTTTGCCACCTTCTCATTTAGAAGTCGATTGATCCTTCCTTTTCACTGTATGGCTCTGAAATTCATAACTGTCTACATTAATGTGTAAATATTTTTCCTCCTGCTCCACCATTACTTTCTAATAGTTGAATTGGACAGTATACAAAGGTTTGCATGTATGCATGCATACCTTTAGCCTATTGTTGTCTACATCCGATGTGCTTTATTTTGGCAAAGTTTCAGTTTGACATTTGTTGCATACTCTTTATCCTCATGGTCTTGTTGATATGTTGCTTTGTTTCTGTTGTCACAGGTCTCGCGGTGGATGTTCCAATGTGTCCATTCGTTTCTAGAGTAACGTCTCTAATTCGTGCAACTACACCGCTGTGTCGGCTTGTCATTGCTCTAGCACCATCTGTACAAACTCCGACACATTTTATCCAGTCGATGCCATTTTCTTCGATAAATTCATTTAGAAGCTGAAATATGGGCTCTCATGTAGTTCCTGTTGGTAGCGGCTTACAGAACAGAAAGTGCTCATGGGAGGTACCCTCAAACTCGTATCTAACGTAAACGAGCAAATTGGCCAAACCGACGACATTTACAGACTCACCTGATTGCAGTGAAAAGCATCTGCTCATCTTAACGAGCTCTATCAGCGTACTTTTGACATCATCCACCATATCAATAATTCTATGAGTGGCTGTGTCTTTTAGAGGGGGCAGCAGGTCGAGCTGTTTAGCAGCTTTTTCTCCACACATAATATGTGTCAGCTCTTTTGCCAATGGTAAACAAAGTTCTTCACAAGTAGTGTGGGGCTTACCTGGTTTAGCAATCCGCAAGCTTGCGTTTTTCCCTGTTTCCGTTTCAGGAGTCCATCTCGGAAGTTAAAAGAAGTTTTTATTTCATGCGCATGGGTGCGAAACACAGAGACGCTCAGTGTATTTTTCTCAAATTAACCTAGAACAGTTTGTTATCCATCACGCTTTCCTGTGCTCACAAGATTGCCAGCGTTCGTAGCACGCATTGTTCCAAAGTCACACACATTCTCCTACCTCCCCATTTGCTGGAGATAACTTTTTTTTAAAATACAATTGGTCACTTATGTTCGTAGCACGCATTCCTATAGAATGGTGTATAATTACATAGTAGCTCTTGTGTCCACTCAAGCATTATCACGAGCTGTATCGTAGTACGTAGGCTGCATATTCGACACATATTAAAATAGAAAATATGAAAACCCGTCCCGATTATTCATTGCACGCGTACCATAGTTTGAGAACCACTGATTTAACTAAATGTGTTTAAGGACTAAAATAAACAGGGTCTTCAAACAGTACATCATACATTTACTTAAAGAGCATATGCGACTCCTTGTAGATGGTTTTGTATGAGAATCATCTTATACTTTTCTTACTCCATTTGTAATATTGATGGTACTTCTATCCATATTGCAACATAATGAAACAAGTAGGAAGTGTAGCGTCTATTTTGTGAGTGATCTGAAGACTGATCCATGTGTATTTCTTCTTAATGATGACCTGCTGAGTGGTTTTAATGCAATGCAATGCAATTTAAAATTTTATTACTGGGTTTTACAGCCACAGTGAAATTATCCTTAAACTCTGTATTGAACCCATTATGGCCACATTGCACTTCTGGCTAACGATGAATGCTGTTCAGTTCATGGTAGCAATTCACATTGTCATCTGCTGAATTAAATAGTGCAGGTTCAGAGCTTTGGATCTGGTCTCTGCTTTTCCAGGCCAAGTGTCTGTGAGTTTTCGGTGAACAGCGTTGTTAGTTTTACTTTATTTGTATACATGTTCTTTTTATGTAATTCCTTGTAGTTTTGTTGTTATGCATGTTTTTTCCTATTTTAAAAAATAAACTTGATCCCAATATAAGAAGCTTTGTCTGTAAGACATGCATCATGCATGTCACACAGAATATTAGCATAAGCAGTAATAATTTAGTCTCTAATTTAATCATCTTATTATTTGGTTTGGGGTTTTAGGTTTCAGTTTTGAACTTGAGCATTGTTTCTTAGATCATTTATAGGTTTTGGACATTTACTCTATTGGAAAAGCAAGTGGATTCCTTTTCTACGGAATTTAGTCTGTCCATTATACATTTAAGCAGTAAAATTGTATTCAGGTCTCGCATTAGGGAACAGATGGTTCTCTGCCTCACTTATTACGCTCTTGATTGTGTAACATAGCTAAAATAGACTTGTCCCACATTTTCATCAGTTAATGCATTTTGCCTGAGAATAACATTCATCATATTTTCAGGGAACTTGATTAGAATTTTAAGCGAGTCCCTGATTGAAAGCCATGAATAAGGCCTTCGTACTCATTCTGCTTCTCCCCATTACGATTAAACCCAATCCAGGAAGAACAGCTCAGTCTCAAGAAGTGTTTGAGTTCTTTCGTTATGCAGATATTTCAGAGTAATGTAACTGTAATAAAAGTGTCACAGGAGCAGTTATCCACCGAATGCAACTTCTGTGCAGTGATGCTGTAAGCAGCAATGAATGGGCATTTAAAGAAACAGGCTATGTTTCTTCATCTTGCAGATAGTTTTTTTTCTTAAAACATAGACTTGTTAATTAGTAATAATAACATTTTCTGAAGCGCTTTTAAAGATGAATTTCAAGGACAGAGGCCACGATTATGTTTCGGAATCAAGTACTTACCCTTGTAATAAAAAATGTAAGTGGAGATTTCAAATCTAAATGTTCTGCTTTTTCAGTTTTCTTTGTAGCTCCTTTTCTTTAATCTTATCTTCTCTCTCGGTGCCGCCAGTCAATGAAGAGGTATCCCTGCCGGCAGTGTGACAGGTCGTTTAATTCCTCCACCAGTTTACGACGACACATTCGCAACGACCACGACGGAAAGAAGAAAAGCTACACCTGCTGGTGAGTTTCACAGCCTCGCCAGCCTGGCTTCGCAGTGCGGTGGGAATGCACTGGGGCCGCAGCGGGGGTCGGTCATGGCTTCCTTCTTCCTGCCACAGAATGAGAGGGATTGCGTTCTGCTTTTGGTTTTGATTTACGTGTTGTGGAACGTTGGCTATTGTGAAGCCAAGTCATTTATTTTGAGAAATGATTTTAAGTTTTCAGTCAGTATTCAATTTCGGGTATTAACGGAGAACCTGGCGTATGGTTTAGGGTGAAAGGTGAAAAATCCCATCTGAGCACAGTCCTGTTTTTTTCGCCCTTTTCTGATTCCGTGTTCAGTTCCGTCTTGTTGGCTTAGGCTGCTGTTATTGCACACCAGTTCGTAAGCATGTATCTCTGTTCAGCGTGCATTTAAAGTCATACATGAGATCGCGTGTAACCGTGCTTCATTTTTTATATGGATTAAGGTACTGCACAGATGAGAAGAGGACGTTCACGAAACACTTCATGCTGAAGAACCACATTAGTCTGATGCATGGAATTAAAAACCCAGACTTCAGCCAGATGTCAAAACTAGCCCCTCCAGACAACAGCCAGAATAAAAACTCTGCAGAGGTAGTATGACTCTTTTCTTCACACTTATCCCTCACATAGTTCGGGAACTTCAATGGGTGTTTTATCATGGTTCACTATTTGATTTTCTTTAGCGGCCAATTTTTTTCCCCTTTCTTCCTTGCATATATAGTGCTATTCTGAAAGCTAAAAATGAATCCCTAGGAATTAAATATAAATGTTAATCTTGTGTGAATGCTGCAGTTTCCCTCACAGGATCAATAAAGTATCTAACATTAGCAGTGAAGACAACACCCTGGGTCTCCATAAAAGTTCTTTATCTTAAAATTGCTTATCTTTTGATAATTTTTTAAGCAACAGCATAAATGGTTTTTAACCTATTTTTAAAATCTAAGTTTAGATGTCGACATTCTAACAAGGCTCTGCAATATTTTTTGGTTTCTTTGTACAATGTTAAAGCTCTTTGTTTTATACAAAGATCTTGGATTATTTTTAGAAGTATTTTTAAAAATAGGCTTATATGACATTCAGCACTTTTTCTTTTAGATCGCTCATAAAGTTATAATTAATAAAAGTGTACACTTGAGAAGTTGGCATCTTGGATGCTGTTCCTCCCATATTAGAAGTGTGGTCTCGGACAGAGCGATCCAGTGTCTGACCTCTCACTGACCTCTCTAGCTGGTAACCCATGCGAAAGCCTTGAAAGCCTTTGTATTTGTGTTTTTCAGAAGGAAGTGCAGGTTAGTTCGGGTTATTTTGCGGCCGTGCTGGCAGAGAGGGATACAGTATGTGAACCATGGATTGGGTTAAAGGGTGTGTGACTGGTTGGTTAACGAGGTCAGGATTTCACTCTCTGAAACCACCCGTGCGTGCTGTGAGGCCCGTCCTTCCTCCCGAGCCTCGTCCCTGCTGGGTTGAGTGATGGTTCTGAATGTTTCGGCCCTAGGCACACGTGGCCAAGAGAACCGCTGAGGCAGCCTTTCCGGGAGGAGCGGGGGACGCCGCCCCGGCTGCCTCTCCCGCCAAGAGACTGAAGCCGCAGTACAGGTGTTCCAAGTGTGGCTACTCCACGGAGGACAGCGCCGACTTCCAGGGGCACATCCCTCAGCACAAGACGGACGAGAGCACCTCCCAGTGCCTGCGCTGCGGCCTGTGCTTCACCTCCCCGCTCTCCCTCAGCCGGCACCTCTTCATCGTCCACAAAGTCAAGGAGCCGGACGAGGAGGACGAGGAGGACGAGGGGGACCGGGCGGAGCCGGGGGCGGACAGCAGGGACGCAGGCCCACTGGACGCCGCGGGGGGAGCGGGCGGGCCGCGGTCCGACGACTGCGGCGCGGCCTCCGAGGGCGAAGCTGCGTGTGGCGCTCGCCGGCGGGCTCACGGAACGCCGGTTCGGGCGGAGGAAGCAGGACCCGAACAGTGAGCGAGAGAAGTGGTCGACACAAAAGCTGCTACGAGCTCCACGCCATGGGGCAAACAAGGACGCTGTAACCGCTGTGTGTCTCTGAGCAGCTTTCACATTTGGTACTTCAGTTCCCTCCTCTTCTGTGTGGTGTTATAAGGCCTGAGAACATGATGAGACATGTTTCTGGTGCATTTGAGCTTTAACCTCAGAGAAATCCAGGTACAACAAAATGTAAAAATTAAGTTAATGTTCCAATAATAAGGCTGAAATAATCATGTCTGCTTAGAATATATATTTATATATATTACTCAATTATGTAAGTTGAAATTGAAAAGAGATTGCAGTTATTTTTTTACGTTTGCCCATACCCTATCCCTAAAGGGCTCTCAATAACTTTTTTTTTTAATATGTAAGCTCTTCGGCACATTTGTTGTAAAACCTCAAAGTGACAGAAAGTTACAGTGCTTTAAGACCTATATCTGGAAAAGAATATTGAAACAGTCTCTTTGTGCTTTTCAGACTCCCGCACTCTGACTGAGCAGTAAGACCAAATGATATTCAGTACAACTTAGGTTTTCACACATCCCCCATGTTAAGAATAACTAGCTGGCAGTTTGTAGAGGAGATACATTTTCCTGCCCACTCCATACCAAAACTCCTTTCTTGTAACCAAAGTGGCATATTTCCATGCAGGATAAATGTGCATGAATTCCAAACTTATTACTTCTGTTATAACATAACAAATATAAACTCACGTTTACCACATAAGGTGTTGATTGGACAGTGGCTCCTCAAGGTTCTGTGCTGCCAGTGTTTTAGACCAACTATCTTCATTTACATAAAATTATGAATTACAAATGTGAGAGGAAATGTTGCTAGTGTACCACTGGTATTCATTCAAATGTGTGGTACAAATTCACAAGTTTCCAGATTCAGTCTGCCTGATAACTTTTTTTAAGGTTTTCTTATTCAAAGAAATTATGACATTTGTTGATCAAATACTTTTTGTGTAGAGGACAAAAAAAAACTGATCAGGTACATCAGTGAATGCGTTGATGAATCCAGTTTGGGACTGAGTTTAAATCGGTTTACAAAAAAGACTGAAATTGTGTTGAGCTTGAGATTTTTTAGTCCTGGCAGGAAATAAGATGCAACATTTAAGTATTGATGTTTGAATGCAGGAGAGCGTGAAAGTCACGATGTGCTTTGGTGAACGAGAACTTTATAGTCATTTCTACCTTCATGAAGCACACTAAGTGCGTGGTGGCAAGATGTTTTTAGGGGAGGTCATTGTACTGTATTGTTGCCATTTAAATGAAAAAAGATTCTCTAAATATCCTATCTCCCATATTACTCAATTTTATAAATTACTTTGGAGATGTATATTTATAGTCATATTGACTTTTTTCATGTGAACTTCCTATTTAAGTGCTGTATACCTTGTGCATTTCTTTCCACATGTTTCTAAGTGTTCCTTTTTTTTCTCAAATCCAGAACGCTCCTACTGTTTACTTAAAAGAGGCTAATTTAAAATATTTATCTTGATGAATTGAGATAATGCTCTTTCCAATTTCAGTGTTTTTTTATATACAGCCTGTAAAAAGGAACATTTGTACTTTTTTATAATGTGTACAGTAGCTTAGAGAACCTTGTACAGGCAGCCCTGGGAGGAGAGCTGGTCCCAGGTCATCACGTATGTATTTAACCTGCGTTGGCCTCTGTGCCTTGCTGTATTGTTTACTTCAGATTACTGCAAATAAAAAAAACACGTCAGAAAAAAGTGTCCTTTGCATAATCTTCTCCCTGTGTGTTTAAAAAGTCTCTTGCTGCCAGAAAGAGCATTATTTCAGTGATTTGGGCGTGTTTTGGATTTTTCAATTTTTCAGGCTTCTTCTGAAATCTATGCATGTTTCGTATTAAAACACGTTTTTTCCAAAGATGTTGTGAACCATCCCTTTTTTCTGTTTTTGTTTTAACACTAGCCAACACATCACCTTTAACAACAGCAAGTCTAGGATAGGAACTGAAAACAAAACAGCTGTGATTACATATTGTAGGATTGCAGTTCTTAGCAGAACCCCAGACTCGTGTTCTGTGGGGATATCTGGTCCAATTGTGGTCAGTCCTGTCATTCGGAAAGAAGGTTTGCGGGAAATGCAATCTTGCTTAGTGCAACAATGTTGTTTGTTCCTTCTTTGCCAGCAGCCATATCGCCCTGCAACTCACAACTGACAGCCCACTGAAGCTCAGCAGGTGTGAGCCTGGTCAGTACCTGGATGGGAGATTCCTGGGAAAAGCTAAGGTTGCTGCTGGAAGTGGTGTTAGTGGGGCCAGCAGGGGGCGCACACCCTCTGGTTTGTGGGTCCTAATGCCCCAGTATAGCAATAGGGACACTATAATGTAAAAAGACGACATCCTTCGGATGCTTCTGGCTTTCTGCGGTCATCTTTTGGAAAGAGTAGAGGTGTTACCCTGGCGTCCTGGCCAAATTTCCCATTGGCCTTTATCAATCATAGTCTCCTATTAATCCCCATCTCTGAACTGGCTTCATCACTGTTCTCCTCCCCACTGATAGCTGTGTGTGGTGAGAGTACTGGTGCACTATGGCTGCCGTCGCATCATCCAGGTGGAGCTGCACATTGGTGGTCAGTGGAGGGGATCCCCATTGCCTATACAGCCAGCAACCATATCACCCTGCAGCTCACAACTGGCACCTCAGTGAAGCTAAGCAGGTGTGAGCTTGGTCAGTACCTGAATGGAAAAACTAAGGTTGCTGCTGGAAGAGGTGTTAGTGGGGCCAGCAGGGGGCGCTCACCCTGCAGTCTTTGTAGGTCCTCATGCCCCAGTATAGTGACACTATACTGTAAAAAGGCGCCATCCTTCGAATGAGACGTAAAACCGCGGTCCTGACTCTCTGTCGCCAATCATGGCCTCCTAATAATCCCCATCTATGAATTGGTTTCATCACTCTGCTCCCCTCCTGACTGAGAGCTGATGTGTGGGGAGCGTTCTGGCGCACTATGGCTGCCGTTCCATCATCCAGGTGGGGCTGCACACTGGTGGTGGTGGAGGGGAGTCCCCATTACCTGTAAAGCACTTTGAGTGGAGTGTCCAGAAAAACACTATATAAGTGTAAGGAATTATTATTCTCAATCACAACGTTAATCCTCAGACATGTTAATGAGTTATCCAGTGTCCACAGCCGGCCCAACCCACGGGGGTAGGCGGCGGTCAATTTCGATATTTCAGCAGGCAGAAGGATCATGGCAGGACTACATACACCCGTCCTCGCCAGGGTACACGCAGGTAAAAGAATACAATGCATTGTGTGTTGACAACTATAGAGGATGCAAAGGAACAAGTCATGGGTTTGTTCCATGCTGAGAAAAAAGAAGAAAGAGAACGCAACGTTTCGGCCGTGGAGCCTTCTTCAGGTGTGAACTACAGAGGATGTTTGTCCATAATGTTTACTAAAGCCTTTATGAGCACAAAGCATTCGACCCCCTCTTGACCCGGGCCCCCAGCGCGCCCAGCCTCACGCGGGCGCCGGCACGTGCCCGGGGGCGCTCCGTCTCCGGCGGCGGGCGCGATGGAGGAACCGGCCGCCGTCCTCTGTCTGTCAGGCCTCAGCCAGGAGGGCACAGGCCTCCCCGCAAGACAAGTAAGCCGGTTAGGGATCACGTCCCGGCGGCGTACCACCTCTCACGGAGAGCGCCGTCGAAGGAAGGGGAAAAAAAAAGTTTTAGAAACAAGAAACCCGCATTTCGACAGGAAAACGCATTACAATCCAGCAGCTGCGTGAATGACTAGCACCAGAAATAAAGATATTTTACCACTCGAAAGATATCCGGGGAGGAACGATCAATTTCTTTCTCATATAAATTAATGTATCCGAAGTGGAAGATGAGAAACCAAAGACGCCAAACCAAATATCAATTCACGGACTAAATACGCCCAAATGAATTTATTACACTGACAACAGACAGAAACAGCGGTGAAACGCCTCATAATCTCTGGAGTTTGGCTGGTTTAGCAGTGCTAGCTGATTTCAGACAGCTGATTTAGACTTCTAAGAAAGCTATTATAAATTCCCAGTCTAGTCAGTTTGCCATAAATTGTCAATTTTAAAGCCTTTTAAAGAATCAAAATGATGGTTTTAGACAACTAACTAAAGGTGAATTTTGACAGACGCAGGATTAATCGGTTTTAAATGCGATGCTGCACAATTTTTGTCTTGGATCCTCGGTCCAGAATCCGACCTGAGGTGCCTTATGTGCGGAGCTTGCATGTTATCCCTGTTCTGGACGGGTGTCTGTAACCTGTCCCTGTTTGTAAACCCTGTCCTGGCTCGCCGGGGGATATTACCAGGAAAAAGCGTCATTTTGGCAGCTGATGTGATGTCAAGAGTAACGCTGTATAGGCCCAGGAGCAAGCGAGTACTGGGAGTACAGAGAAACAGAATAAATATCAAACATTTGTAAAGCATTAACAATTGATAGGCACGACACAAACAGTGGTTATATTTTAAAATGGCAAAATTTCAAAAGGATTACAGTGTTTTTACGATTACTGATTGAGAGAACAAATATTTTAGGAACAGCAGTAATTAAAACAGCTATCAAACTGATTAGATAAGATCAGTGGATTAGTTAGTTCCCGAAATCAACCAAGCTACATACTGTAAACCGAGTTACCTGTCCTCTGAAAACTTTCTTGTTTTGTATCGGGCTTGACTGTCTGTCCCTTTCTTCTGCTTTCAATAAAGTTCGAGCTAAAGAGGCGGGGTTTCCGGTATTGAAACGCCGGAAAAGCTGCATGTAATACGTTATGTGTGTTTTATTTTCTGTTCTCTTCTGTCTTTTGTACTAAAATCTCAAATTGATTTAAGCTGATCGGAAGTAGTAAATATCTGCTAAAATGCTGTCTCTTGATTTCCTCGATGATGTGCGGCGCATGAATAAACGCCAGGTAGGTTTGAAATATCGGAGTTCAGAAGCGGGTTTGGACGCGGTTTAGAACACGTCGCCTTAGAACAGTGGGCTGATGCTGTAACTTTATAAAGGAAATTGGGCTTCTTGTAGTTTAAGTGATTAAACAGATGATTTCTATTACATATTGCACCAGTGGAGCCACTGGTGGTGTTTTTCTCCTTGTGTTAAAATAGCCCAAAGTGCGTTTTAAGCCTTTTGACTTAAAGTGTCTTATTCGTGTATTATATCGACGGTGTACATTTTGCAGGTGTATGAGTGATTGGGGGTGATAGACCTGAGTAGTGCATTTTAAAAATATTTACTTATTTTCCAACATGTTTGTATACAGTTGCCTAAAACCCTAAAAATGGTTTATTTATTGATTTGTTTTGTGTTCTACACACCGAAAAAAGAAGTCATTTTAAATACCTAAGTGTATGTGAGATGTGGGGTGAGGTGTTGGAAGTGTTCATTAAACAGTTTGATTAGCAAGTTCAGGCACCAAGGCTTCCGCTGTAGTTTGACAGCCGATGCAGTCAATTCAATACTCAATAATAATTCAGTATAATTAAGTCAGACTTTGCGTTGCACGTGTATGTGTGCGCATATTTTAAAACTTAGTTAATACCATTTACTGCTATTTTAGTATGATGTAAGGCAATGGTTCTCAAGGTCTGATCATGAGGTAGCCGTCTCTGCTGGTTTTTGTGCCAACTGGGCTCTTAATCATAAAATAACGTCACTTTATTAGCCCTGTACAATTTCTTGCATTAGGAATTCGTCTTTTCGCATACCCCAGCTTGCTCTCCATGAGACACAGACACACAGACAGGGAGAGAAGCTGGGGGTCAGAGCGCAGGGTCTGCCATTGTTCAGCGCCCCTGGAGCAGTTGGGGTCAAGGGCCTTGCTCAGGGGCCCAACGGAGTAGGATTCCTCTGCCAGCTGCGGGATTTGAACCAGCAACCTTCCAGCCACAGGCGCAGATCCTGAGCCACAGAGCCACCGCTCCGCTTAGCAGCGCTCACAAGTGCTCATTGGTGCCTCTAACTGATCTGCTTAGAATGATGCCGTCTCTTGGTGTTTTCTCATTTTAAAAATTACTCCCTTATTTCTGGTTCAGCAGCTCTTAACAGGTGATCAGTTGATAATGAATATACAGATGGGAGTGACATTGAGGGTCAGTGTTTGTCCTTCTGCTTAAGTCAAGCTGGTTATATTTCAGCTACAACACATGCATGCAGCTATTCTGAAACCGGCACATAAGCATTTAAAAAGAGGAATCAAATGGAATATTGAAATCGGTTAGCACTGGCGATTAAGGGTCTAATTGAAACAGAAACCATTGGGGCTGGAGATTCAGTTACATCTGGTTTTAAGTCCATCCTGGATGCTTAATTACCATGTTTTTTTTTCTACTGGTGCTTTTGTCTGTTCTGAAATTAATGATCTCAATGCTGCAAGTACACCAGCTCTTGTATTATTACCCTCCTTTGTGATGAATAACCTTCTGCATTTGTTTATTCCCTTATTGTACCAGGTAAGTTAATTGCAAACATAATTCTCTTTTATAGGAATGACTTGGAGATCTGTTTTGTAAAGCTGAGCAAATACCCCCTAAACAAAACATTTAAGATATAAAATAATTTTTTGGTTTAGTGTTGTTTAATCTGTTGTATGTAGTTAAATTAGCATGACTCTTATTTTGTCTAATGCATTTATTTGCTGAATTTATTTGTACATGACTTAAATGTTTTTTAATGTTAAATCTTAAAACAGAAATAGTAACTTTTTTCATTCTGTTTTCAACTTTCAGCTCTACTACCAGGTACTGAACTTTGGTATGATTGTTTCTTCAGCACTGATGATCTGGAAAGGCTTGATGGTAGTCACAGGCAGTGAAAGTCCTATTGTGGTTGTACTCAGGTAGGTGGTGGATTCCTTCACTGGCTTTCTGATGGTAACTGGGTGATATCCTACTATGCTTTTATGTGGACCAGTGTAAAAAGATGAGTGAATTAAATAAAACATTTTATAATGTGAAACATTTAACTTTTACCAGTCTTATATGAGATAATGCTGCAAGTATCAGTGGCTTCAGTTAGGCTAATACACCGCCTGGGATGGCAAAACAATAACATGTTATTTTTCTCTAAATTTGGAATAAATTTCCAATGTTTTGTGTACGGATGCGCACCAGGTATGTATCTCTCCATGTACAGTGCTAGTCATGTATTATATTGCTGTGTGGGAAATCAAACAGCTTGTGTAAATGGACTGCCTATCAGAATTGGCTGGTTATTGAAATAGAATTCCATACAGCCGCCTTTCATTTGAGTTTACTTATGGTCTTGCTGAGAAAACCACTTGACAACTTGAAATTGTTTTTACTGCAGGTTCTGCTGTTTGTAAAAAATGAGAAGATGCAAGGAGGTTATAAACCCACTTTCTTGTTTGTCATTCACTCATGCCATATCTGTATCCAGATGCAATGCTGAGATTGTTTTGAGTGTTGTGTCATTGTCATTGCTTGTAGTGGGAGTATGGAGCCAGCGTTTCACAGGGGAGATCTACTCTTCCTGACCAACAGAGTAGAAGATCCCATCAGAGTTGGCGAAATTGTGGTCTTTAGGATAGAGGGAAGAGAGATTCCTATAGTACACAGAGTTCTTAAAATCCACGAAAAGTAAGTTGTACATTTTATCTGAACATCTTAAAACAATCTGCTGTGTGATCAGTGATCACCCTTTATGGTGAGAGGTGGAAAACTCCGATCCACACTACCAAACAGATGGTAACATTTATTAAAATGGTTTTATAAACCCATTTAGTTTAATATTGATGCTAAAGCTGAGTAGATAATATTTACATTTCAAAGCCTTTATGGAGAGATTTTTGTTGATCTTCTACAATCACTGACAAAATGTTGTTAAATACAGAAATGCAAGGAGAATTTTGTTGTCTACGTCAATACATGGAAAAATCGTTTTTAATATTTTTTTAAATGGTTGTCACCAAATCACACATGGTCATCTTGATCTTTGCTGGCGTTAATATATCAAGTCTGACAGCAATGTCTCAGCATGCAGCCCTTCTGGTCCTCTTGACTGTTTTTCATACCTTAATGAGTATTTATATAAAGCATCTCTTCACTAATTAAGGAGACACGTACAAATTCTGCAGTGGGTTGGAAAACCTGCAGGTTGACTACCCAGGTAATTGGCTTTTGCATTGTTTTCTTATAACTCATTTTCTGATGGGTGGCTGTTTGACTCACTTTTAAAATCTTAAACACTTACATAAATAAAGGGAATGTATACAGTTTTTGTCTTATGTGAATCACAAAATAAGCATTTTTTTAGCATGAACTTTATATGGGTCTGTCCAGTTAGTATACTTAAATGAATCATTCTCACTGAAATCCCTGTATTGGAAAAGCTTCTTGAGGACTGTTTGTCACACCTGTTTTTTCATCTTGTACATTTTCATCAATATGGTGTTATATTTCTGTTCCTTAGAGAAAACGGAGACATTAAGTTCTTGACCAAAGGTGATAACAATGCAGTGGATGACAGAGGACTGTACAAGCAGGGGCAGCACTGGCTGGAGAAGAAAGATGTTGTGGGCCGAGCCAGAGGGTAAGCTTTTCAACTGCTTTATAAAGCAGCTTCATGGTCACACGCTTAACACTGATCCTGTGCTTCCTTCACAAAGCATTTAGGTTGTCATGTCAATAGGAAAATTTAATTTATTATATTTTTCTGGTGAATATTTTACCAGAAAGTTTTTAAGGTTAAATCTGCACTTTCTGTCACTTGAGGTAAAGAGGGCTTTTCCTCTTAAAAGGAAGTGCTGTCTTTTGGGGCATGAGATATAGCACCACAATGAGGTAGCCTATTTTATCTTTGGAAGCAATAATAGTTTTAAAATGCCTTTTTTAAGGATGATTAGATGTCTGTGGCTTTCTATAAAATGAAGAAGAAAACAGTTCAGCGGAGTGACTGTTGATGGTATCATGCAAGTTGATGGTTTAATGCAAGTCAATTAAAACCAATGCCGTTTATGTTTCTTTTTAGTTTTGTGCCATACATAGGAATTGTTACCATCCTCATGAATGATTACCCAAAATTCAAGGTAGGCACTTCAGTGTTTTTTTGCTTGTGTAATGTGCTAAATAATTATCTAGTAGATGTGATTGCACCTGGTCTCTGAATGCTTGTTTTGTTTTTACTTAGTATGCGGTTTTATTCCTCCTGGGTCTCTTCGTATTGGTCCACCGGGAATGAGGAGCCGGCCATCAGGGGAGCTGCTGCCGGGCTCATTACAGACACATCGCCAGTGTTAGAAAGAGATTTTGTGTAATGTACAAATTCAGTTTACTATTGGAAATCCTACAGCTGTATTCGGAGTCAAAGACTGCTTTTCTACTCAAGCCTTACCAGGCAGCGGTATCCAACCTAAACTCCAAGCTCTACAAGTCATTTGCTTTGTCGTCCTGGGGGGAAACTTCGGTCTTAATTAAGATATGCTCTGTAATTTTTACACATTTGTTGCCTTTTGCCAACCCCAGTTGCATTTTTGGCCATTTTCTTTTTTTCATATATGTTAGGAACCAACTTGTCTGTCATACGTTTTTAAATTTAGTCATGTAAGTTTTTTTTATATTTAAAACATCAGCAGCAGCTTAAACTGATGTAGCATCAGTGCCCATGCACATATAGTTGAACATAGTACTGAGCTCTGAAGACCGGCTTTGGAGTTAGTCAAAATTCAGCCGCCTTTAGCCTCTGAAAACACTGCAAGGAAGTGTAATGTCCCAAGGTTATCAGATGCCTAATTTGTGAAAACAAAAATAAAATAATTTCCATTTTCTCTGAATCTAGACTATTTTTTCACTTTAATTTTGCTAGGAAACTGTTTAACTTACACAAGTGATAAAAACATAAGTGTTACCTGTTAATAAAGTAATTTGCTTACTTGTAAGTTCCATATTTCCTATTCCTTAGGATATATAAAATGTGCTGTTAATCAGCCAGGTAAGTTATGGTGATTTTCCTTAGCTGCCAAAAGCATGTGTAATTAGCTTATTTTGGCTTTGAAAGCAAACACTTTCTATGCAACAATTCTGTATATTTCATTGCAAAATTACATACTGTACGTGTCTGGTTTGGCAAATTCTTTAAACAAGTGAATTGTTTATTTCAATTGTTTATTACACCATGTGAATGCTGTTTTAGTTCTTGTCCTAGAGTGAAATTTATTCTACAATACAAGTAAAAAAAGAGCAGGTTGTGTGACCCATCTAGCTGTTGGCTAAAATCTTTATTATGATAGCTTAACTTGTTACTTGGCTTCGACTGGTGAAAGATTTCACGAGTCTCATTGGCATTGCTGTTTTAGTGAGAGGAAGTACATGAGACGTACAGTATATGATTTTATCCTTCAAGGACCATACGGTAATGAGTCTGCATTACTGGAATTGTTACACCACCTGAAGCCTGGAATAATTGTGGAATATTTTAAAACCTTTACTTCTTAAAAAAAGGAATTGGCTTTAGGAGGCTAAAACGGGAAACTGTGGTGGCACTGCCTAGACTAATCTGGGAGAAGAGCAACTTCTATGGGAGCCTGGAGTTTGAAATCTAGCTGACATGACCAACAGAACTGGTAGATGACCACTGCTTCACCGCTGGTGGAGTCCATTTGGGCGATATCCCTGATGTGGATGTGTCTGCCCTCCTGTTTGATATGTAAAATTGTCTGCAAGCAGTGTTAATGACATATTTCAAGTCCTAATGAGTGTCCTCTGTATGTTGCTTATGCTTCAGCCTCAAACACTAGAGAATAAATCAACAGCTCCTTGATCATGGATGATTGGTAGTTAATATACTTGAGGGTCATTGTAAAAGATAAAGAAGTCCATTTGTGCGGTTTCAGATCGTGATTGTTTTGGGTAACCTCCAGATCTTTCTTGTGCTCTATACCGATTAAACACCCTCTCCTCCTATAGCACATTGAACAAATGGAAAATGCACCCTTTATTGATTGTTACATCATTTTATCCATTCCCTCTTTGGTTCTATTAAGGACTGTAGTTCTACAAATACATTGCTGTCCTTTAATATTTTGCAGGGGGGGTGATTTTTAATAGAGATTAAGTAATTGAAATAACACTTTCTTTAAGTGGCATGGTTGAGCTATTGCCTCCTAACTCCAGGATCCCTCTGGTTACCTGGATTCAAATCTTGGTGAGGTCAAGTGTGAAATCTGATGAGAGAGACGTACTGTATACCTCCAGGAGTGTTAGAAGGGCCTTGTAGTACTGCCAGCATAGGAGCATATACATTCAATATAAAATGAGTAGTTCAAATATGTCACTGTGTGGAGTTTTTAAGTGTTCAGGTTAATTGGTATCTATCTGTATATTCTCTCCCCCCATCCTGTCCACAGTGTAATTCTGGCTTGTGTTGGGCTAATCTTCAGATCATAAAATAGCACAGTTACAAGACCAGGAATTGTAGACTGGAGCATTATCAGCCTGTGTCTTAGTTAACAGCTTTATGAATGTAGGCCTTGTACTCCTTCATAATCTACAGTTATGTTCTTAGATCTGTCATGCTTTTGTTTCACGGCTACATATTGTAAACAGACAATACATCAAACACTATTGTTCATTGACAACTAATGCAATAAAAAATAAGATGTGGTGATGGAAATCTGTTGGTAATGGTCAGTAGAATTTGAGGATTTGTTTGATAGAAAAAAAAGAATATAAAACCATACAGTAAGCAGCAGAGAACGACGTGTTCCTTGAGTACACGTTACTCTCCAGTGACAAGATTAATAACAGATTAGTCAAGGCACAGGAGGAGATTCTAGGTGTTGAATGATTTAAGATGTACCAAGAGTAAATAAGATTAACAGCATCCACACCATTAAATGTGCTACATTTAAAAACAATAACTTAATGTTTTTCCTTGTTATTGGTAGGATAAGCTAGTGATAACTGCAGGAAATTGAAATGGAAACTTTGAAAATTGTTTTTTAACTTTCTTAATTTTTTTTCATCATTTTATCAGAGACAGAACAACAAAGACTGATTTTGCAGACTGCAGAATGACTTTGCAAATTAAAATGTTTTCCTGTCACTTTTTAGCATTTCTCCTTAAATTTTCAGAAGCTTGCAATCTTTTATTTTTTACAGAAAAATACAGTTTCAAACCACAGTGATGAAAACTGACTACACCTGAAACACCATAGAACAATGACAGCATCCGTGTAATAGGTAAACATCTCTCCTAGCGGATGCTAGTGTCTTGAAAATAATAAACCTTTAGTAGAAGAAAACATGAAATATACAGATAGCCTTGCTTGCTTTATTAAGTGTAAACCACACATGCCATTGTCATCAAATATCATTTGCATATTTAATCAACTTTTACTTTCCTTTTCTACCTTCATACTTTAAAAAGCTCCAAATAGACATCCGTGTATGCATTAACACTTGTACAATAAAGAGTGTTTATTAATATTACTTAATGATTTGGCTGACATTTATCTAAAGCACCTTCCATTTGCACTAATATTTATAGCAGAGTATTTTTCTCCAGCAATCTGCCTAAGATTTGAACCCTCAGTCTTTAACATAAGGGTCAAGAGTGCTCACCACTACTACACATTGCACAGTAGTAACATGTGCCTTTGTAGAATATTGACAGTAACTGAAGGATGTGGTGTGCGGAGCTGTCTAGGCATTGATTGGGTTATAGCACCTCAGGCTGCAATCTATGTAGCAGCTGTTGATTGCTTAATGTGACACAGTGCTGTGAAAAAGTAGGTACACCCCTTGAAAAGGTGTGTGTTTTTCCAACATATTTGCATGTATGGATATTTGATCTTCATTTCAACAATATTGATAGATAAAGGTGATCTAATTTAACAAATATCAATGACAATTATTCTTTGCAATCATGTATTCAACAAAAAAAGCCAGAAATGCAATTGTCTTGTCTGCTGTAGAAAAAATATGTACGCCACCTAGCTTCAATAGCTGGTGTTGCCCGTTTTGGCAGAAATCACTTGTGGGCGTTTCTTGTAATTGTCAATCAGTCTCCTACATCGACTTGGAGAAATTATTGCCCACTACTCCTTACAGAACTCCTTAAACTGCGTGATGTTTGAGGGCTTTCTTGCATGTACTGCCTGCTTCAACTCCTCCCATAGCATTTCTATGGGGCTAAGATCTGGCCTTTGACGTGGCCATTAAATAACCCTCCATTTCTTCTTTTTGAGCCATTCTTTTGTAGATTTGCTTGATTTGGGTCACAGTTCAGCTTCTGCTTTTTGACAGATGGCCTCACATTCTCCTCAAGTACTCTCTGGTACATTGTGGAATCCATGGTTGACTCTATGATGGCAATTTGCCCAGGCCCTGAGCAGCCCCAAACCATAATGCTTCCACCACCATGCTTTACAGTTGGTATGAGGTTCTTTTGGTCAAAGGCAGTTTTTGGTTTTCACCAAACATGAGATCTGGCACTGTGGTCAAACAGCTCTACCTTTTTTCCCATCCGCCCAGAGCACATTGTTCCAGTAGTCCTGATCTTCACCTAGGTGTTGTCTGGCAAACTTCAGTCGTGCATCTATATTCTTTTTTGAGAGCAGAGGCTTCTTCCTTCCTGCCCTCGCATGTAGGGCAAAGTTGTGCAGTCCCTTTCGGGTGGTTGACTCATGCACTTTGACATTGACTGAGGCAAGACTTGCCTGTAAATCCCTTGCTGTTATCCTGGGGTTCTTGGAGACTTCCTGGAGCATCTTTCGGTCCGCTCTTGGGCTGAATTTGGTGGGATGACCAGGCCTGGATGTATTGCCAGTGGTTTGAAATTTTCTCCATTTGTAGATGATCCATTAGACAGATGAGTGATTGACTACAAATTGCTTGTAACTGGCTTTTTAAACCCTTCCCAGACTCATACTGTAGGTCCAACATCATTTATTTCTTCTGAGGGCCTGAGAGAGCTCTTTTGATCTTGGCATGATGTAGCCTCACACCTCAATTGCTTAAACCAAACCAGACCACAGCTTTGTGATGTTTATATAAGGCAGTGCCCTCCAAGTTACTCTCTGGGGATGTACTAATCATTTGCACCTGTTTTTCTGCACCTGATTCTAATTTTAGGTATTTGATGCAATGATAAATGTAGGGGTGTACTCACTTTTTCTGCACAAGGAAATTGCATTTCTGTTGATTTAAATAGCACAAATGAGTGCAAAATGTGATTTGTCAATGTGATTTTTTAAAACTCTGATCACCTTTATCTATCAGTATTGTTGAAATGACGATCAAATATCCTTTTGTCCAAAAATGTGAAAAAAGATAAACCTTTTCATGGGGTGTACTTACTTCTTCACACCACTGTAGCGCCAACTAGATAAGACCCAGTGCTATAAAGAACTGCAAACCTGGATAGGGCCAGTGCTTTAGTAAATTCTGTTTTCTTTGCAGGGACTATGTATAATACATCTTCAGGTTGCTTGGCTACCTTTTCTGTTTTGGTTGCTTTTCTTTACACATAAAAAGAAATAATTTGATAAGTCTGAAAAAAACGAATGGTTTTGTCTCCATGCAGTGAAAGGAACATATGCAGTATCTTTACATAGACATTTACAATCTTGGAGTGCTTTCCAGTCGTATATAAAGTGATTCAGTTTGTCATATTTTTCTTATTGTCAGACAGCGCACAAAGGTGTTCTCCCTGAAGGTACAAGAAGTGACAAGGACTCAAGATGCTGTAGACATCAACATGATGTTTTTTCTCCTTTCTATGAATTATCTTACCGTCTTGTTTTTTGTTTCAATATCAGGATCATTTACCCACACATCTACCAATTAACATGGGGAGTCCAGTCATTACTGAATTACCCTGAGATGATCTGATCTCCTTATCTTAACAATATTCATAAATTCATTTAATCACAATGCTAGCCTGTCATCTATCCTTTACCAGAAAACCACTAATTCCTCTGAGGGATTTTGGAAGCCAGGAGCATAATCCAAAAGCACAGGAGACAGGACTATACTCTGAATGAGATGCCACTCTAATTCACTCTAGTTTAATATTTTGTAGTTTTTTGTGTAAAATATATGTATCTACTGTTTTCTCCTTTGTTAAGTGCATGCATGAATGTTACCAAGGGGAAGACAAAATATCGGCAAAATGAAAGTAAAACATATTCACCTTTTATATTCGATTGACCTGATAACATATTGCACTCATTTAACTTATCTTCAAATTTCAGATATTTCACGTAACATTCTGAACTGTAGATGCACATATCCTGGAGTTTGCTGATAGAAAACACCAATAATCTGTATGGGTTCTGTTTTTATTAAATAAGTCTCAAAGCTGGCATGATATCTTTATGTTGTAATCTCTTGGTGACTTTTTCTCCAGTCTACTGAAATATAATGCAAGCTGATGTTCCTCAGGGTTGAAACGTGAAAAAGCAATCACTCTTTCGCACTCTGTTCGGTGCTGGATCACCTGGTGAAATGCTTCTATTTGAAAACATGTAATGACCTATATGTTTTGATCAGCTATTATTATATATAAACAGTTCAAAACAGAAACACTGAAAAAGATGCATTTGATCTTTCGACGTTAATTTATTCTTTGTGACCTTAAAAGAGCCGGACTCATACTTAGTGACACTGTGAGCCCTGAAGAAAGATGTGTCTGATTGTATTGGCTTGTTAACTCTGCTTCACTTGCAAATTACCATTGCTTTCTGTAAACATAATATTGCCTCCAAGAAAATAACTGTTTAGTTTAGTATTATTCCTCTTTAAATGGCTGTATTTATTTAATTGTTTTGCAATGTTGGCACAGCACAGCTACCCTGCATACACGAGACTTTGTAATCTATTCTGATTTTAAATTACAATTTGAAATGTGGGTATCTACTCGATATATAGGACAATTCCTCTCAGTGCTTTAATTTTTCAATTAATAAGTGCTGTGGAAAAAATACAGCACACAATATTTACATGTACAAAAGTGGATAGATTATACTATATAAATACCAAAGCATTTGTCCAAGACAGCTCCAAATAAAGGAGCACGTTGGAGAGAGAAAATTAAGAAAAAATGTCATCAAGAGCATGATCACAAAGGTCATGGATGGAGCTGCAGAATGCAAAGCTGTTGCTAACGAAGCCTATTTTTAGCACTGAGGCATGAAGGGAATGCGCAGTGACAGGGAGAACTCTGATTTACAGCTTCAGTGTTTGTGACAATCGGCAGGTTTTCCTTACTCATAAATCCAATTAGCAGAAAGGCTACACAGGATGACTTATTCTCTGCAGCCGGCCATGAGTGTGTGCTGCCGCACTGAGATACTGAGACACACCGGGGCTTCACGGGGAGAAATCTAACACATGAGACACCACTGATAACCTGTCGCTCAGGGGAAACAGCAGCGCCTCCTGTGGTGAAGAATCTCCGAGGGGGGTGTGCTGTGGCTGGTAATGGATTGCATTTTCAGTTTGAATCCCTGGGCCCCTGTTGTCTGCTCTTCTGTCAGGCGTGATGCCCAGAGCACAGGCAGCGTGGATTTCCCTGGAGTCGTCTTGGATGTTTGGAAATTCTCATCTGCATGGGATTCTCCTCTTTCAGTGTGAAAGAAAAAAAATCACAAAAAATTCACAATCAACTCCATATGTTCTCTCCCAGAAAGGATTCAGGTTCAGTTTAGGCGGTTCGTTCAAAAGCCGGTTGTAGTGAAACACATCAGCCTGTAGCCCTTGGTAAGTGACAATCCCAGGGGGGAGTTTTGCAGGTTTTCTTGGGCTGGTAATAGGAAGTTCACACCTAAGTGAATGAGATACATTTTTTTTCTGAGGGACAACTGGAGTTAGTTTGGTGGAGATGACAGGACCACTGAACCCAATAATCCACTACAGACCATCTACAACGCTGTTTTTGACTTTTATTCAGGGCTAAAAGCACTCTGGTACAAACACTGGAGAAGTGAAGTATGACCCCAGTCAGTGTGTTTTGAAGCACTTAAGTGCCAGTTTACACCTTAAAATGATATGCTTCTTCTTCATAAAGTTAAAAAGCGCAGGCAACATCAAGCCAGTGTAACTTATTCTCGTTTGTGTTGGCTAGAACGTCTCATTCTCTCACATTTTCATTGCTACCTTAACCTGCTATGTTAATATTTTTTTATGGCTGTGCTGGGCTAAGCAGAGTGGCTGTAAATAATATGAGCGGAGCTTCACAGGCAGATAATAGCCTGTCAGGAAGGTATCAATACAAGATAAACAGTTTATCGTGCAATTACATTTCTCTTTGGGCATATTTGGGCTCTTCTTTCTGGGGCAAAAACCCTTAAATATGTAGAATATTTTAAGAAGAAACGGAAATTACCGGAAATAGGAAAATTGAATTTCTTGTGCTGGTGTTGAAAGAGGTTTGTGATAAGAACATAGTAAAAATAGGCGAAGTTATTAGCTTATTTGTTCCTACGTTTTAACATTTTCTATATGTACAATGAATGGCAAGTAAAACATTTGATTGAGGAAAACTAGTAAGAAGTTCAAAGGTCCAGAGATGGCATATAGAGGCAGGCAACAGGCAGCTCTATCACATTTAATCAGATAACGTGATACTGTCTGACTAAATTACTGTAGGTCTAAGAAGAAAGGATGTGTCTTGTGCCGAATGATATTTAACACCCCCTTCGTGCCACTTCACAGTCTGCTTGGTGAGAAACACCTATGCCTTCACATGTTAGCGCGATCAGTCTGCCGACAAGTGTTAATGGAGAAATACATTCAGTCCCCACTAACCGATTAATCAAATTGTGTTGAAATGTTGAAACAACATAAAAGCTTTACTTTCTCTACCTGAATGTGTTTTCGTTAACGCCAACCTGTGCTAAACCGTTATTGCATTAAGGGAACACGTTTGTACATTGTTTTTAATTTCACACAGGATCACTGTCTTACTCTGATTTACAGATAGTGGGGTTTTGTTTTAAATGTCACACTACAGGAACTTATTTGTAGTTGCAGTTTTTTATTAGGCGGTAATACGTTCCAATGAAATTCTGGAATGCTATGTTTCCTCTGAGCTGCACTGCTTACTGAGCGTTGTACAGTATATGCTTCAGACCAGTGACCTATTTTTTTCATTTATTTCATATCCGCCATAAAAGTAACAATGAGTAATAGAATAGATCACCCCCATTGCATCTGCTCACGTTTCCTCTATACTTAGGATTTTGAAAACGCAGATCTGTTTCTGCTAGCAGTGTTGATGTTTGCCGTATTAGAAGCCCTAATAATCGTATTTATTCCTTAAAAATTGCCTTAGTTTCGTATTTCCTTTATCGACTCAGCCCGGAGTGCTTTCACAATCTGATACATCTTCACAACTACGCGTCTTGGATTTCTTTCTTACATTTCCGTTAAATCAGGACACAATCGCTTGTTCGGAGTGATCTATGTAACAGGTGCTACTGCACGGAAAGCGTGACCAGGTGCGGTCTGGAGGCGGCACGGGCGAGGAAAGGGTTAAACAGATCAAGACCGCTAGTTTTGTGTAGTAGCCCGGCCCGGCACGCGAGTAAAAAGTCACCCCTTTCTTATTCATCTGAAACAAAGCCCTCCCATTGGGGGGTATATAAGTGGAAGAGTAGAGAGCACCAAGATGAGACGGGTGGAGTACGAAGGAAGAAGAGCTCGACCTCTGCACAGCCCGTTTCCGAGACAGAAGGAGTCAGGACGGCAGCCATAAGAAACAGGACAGACATTTCTCCCACTCGTGGCGTTTTCCGCGGAGAGATGGCTGAAGTTACGGTGAACAGACTCTGTCAGCTGGGGGTCTTCACGTACCTGCTGCTGTTTTCCTACGTTTCCCTGACTACTTCAGTGAGCCTAGATCTAACAGAACTCAGAAATAAAGTTGCCAAGATCAAAGTGAACCCACGGGGGAATTTGTGGGCAACAGGTTGGTTTTTACTGTTTTTATAAGTCAGCTGTCTGTCCATATTTTTCTTCAGTTGATGTCTTTTCTCCATGCGTCTCTAAGATGTTTTTGATGTCGGTCGTACTATATACAGTATGCATATTTTATACACTTGCTCTTTTTAAACATTTATATCTTTAGGGATATATTATTCATTGTTATCAACCGGTATCTTGATATTATACGAATTTATATAAGTCAGTAAGTTTCCTCTCTGATTTAAATTTCAGGAGACTGGCTTTTTTTTTTTTAATCGTGTGGCAGTTTCAGAAGCCCTCATATTATTACTTCGAAGTTAGCTCTCAGTCTGCATCGTAAGAAATCCGTGCTTGCACAGACTTCAAAGCCCAGTGCAGTCTTGCTTGAGCAGGACAGGTTCGATGGTGATTTTGATGTTAAAAATCAATGCGCTGCAGAACGGTAGCTGTGGGATTGTGTATGTCATCGGCTGGTCCTAACATTAAACCCGTAGGGCACTTCATGGGTAAAAAGAGCGTCCTGGACAGTCCGCTGCTGGAGCCGCCAGATGTGCCCGCTGTGGGCTCGATCCGAGTGGCGCTGAACCCGGGGGGCGCCCAGGACATGAGGGAGCTGATCACTCAGGAGGTGCTGAAAATCGCGCTGCAGACTCAGCTGCAAGACTCGCGGGGGAAAACGGATTCTAATGACCAGGTGAACCAGCGAACAAATGAATGAAAAACGAATGTTGTTGCCTGGACACACCTAGCTGAAGCCAGGTTGCGCCTCTCTGACTTCGTCGAGAGAGGCGGAGATGAGAGCGCGAAAGTAAGAGAGCCATCAAGCGGGGGGACTAGGGGTGCAGAGAGAGGGTTCGACACACCGCCGTCGAAAAATGTTTAGCGACTTTCACGGTACACTTTCTACCGTTTTTCACCTAATTAATGGGGGGGTCAAAATGAAACGGGCTTTATATTGAATGGATAGATCTTCCACCGTTTCTGTGAGGTACCCTTGGGAAACCTAGTGAAAGATACCAACGGATACAACATCAAATGTGGTATCTTGGAGTGAAATAGCCTGAAAGTTTGTGGACCTCTTACAAATCAGTGAGTGAATCACAGATAGCCTAAAGATAGGACGTGCTGTAAGGTGCAATCCACACAATCTCACTTCACTGAGTCTGCAGCCATTTATGTTCAAGTGCTAAAAATAAATTTCAGAAGAGGGAGAATGCCGTTTTATGCTGAATAAACAATAGCTCAGTTTTTCTTTCGATAGGAATTTGTTTTCTTGACAAGGAACGTTGAATAGAAATTGTTATTGTGTCACTGCTTGTCGATTTTCATCCTTATCTTGTCCCTGCTTAGACTTTATGCTTTCGATGCTGTTTATGCATTCAGTGTTGATGAAGATTCACTTCAGTTGAATGAACACACATTCTCCAATGCTTCTTTCAATGCATCTTGCGAAGAGAAGCCATACAGAGAGAAAATTGCTTTTCATTGCCATGCTTTAAACATGATGAAACTGTGCAATTGCTGTTTTGTTTGACTGTAAGATCATGTATCATTACAGGAGACTGGTTTATTAATGAAGATATTAGAAAACTACATTCAGAACAACAGAAAATGATGAAGACTCCACCTCCAGTCCCGATGGTTATAAATATGGGCCCGTGTGCAGCAAATATTTGTACATGGGTTTAAGGACTGACAGCAGATATCTCCAAAGGTTTTCATTTACAAGTGGGTAACAGGTTCGCCAAATGCTTTATTTGTAATTTATTGTAACAGTTCTATTTTTATTTATGATTATTGTAATATTGTTAAGATTTATCATCTATGTATTAAAAAAGGGGATGCAAGTTATACCTGTATATTTTTCTGACCTTTTGTGCATTACTGTAGATGTTAAGAGCTATTTATTTGAATAAAGACACAATGATTTGCAGAGAAGGAGTGCCACCCGTGCTTACAGATACTGTTATCCATTGTGGAGAGAGAAAGGGGAAATGGCTGTCTAAAACAGTCTGTCCTTTACATTTTATAGCTAAAACAAATGCAGCACTTTTAAAAGCAAACAACTGAAGACAGCTTACTTTTGCATCTGATATTTGCGTTCAGTTTTACAAATGAGGTAAGCCTTACATCTAGTCCGGTAAAAATGATTCTTTAAAACTCTGGAAAAAATCCAGAATCAGCAGGTGAAAAACATGGAAATTGCTGTCAGGAAAGCTGGCTGGTGGCGACTTTTTGCTCTACATGTGAAATGTCAGTCTCACTGAATCTACAAGGCTAATGCCTAAAGCAGCCCCCAGAATAATATTTTAAATACATACATTTGGAAATGTTAACTATCCAACATATTAATATTTAATCTCACTGTTCTTTCAGAATTGTACAGGAAAATATTGTAGAGCTCATTAGTGCTATAGATACCATGCAAAATTGATATTTTCAGCATTAAGTACTCTTGATTTTGTAACAAGAATTAGACTAATGTACAGTATGCTAAACCTAAACCACTCATCTTCTTTAACTTAATCCATCAAAAGCTTAGCAAAGACTTTCATTTTGTCTTTTTCTTTAAATACACAATGAAAAGGTGATCTTGTACCTGCATTACTATTAAGCCTCTTGCTAGAAACCAATTTAGATGTATGTCCCCAGTTGCAAGGCTGTATCTACTGCAATAGTTATATATGGGTTGTAATGAGTTAGCTGAACTCTTTGTGTAGTTAAATGAGCTACTTGCATTAGCATGACTTTTGCTCTTCTTTTCAAACCAGGAAATCTGTGTCCGTGATGTGGAGTTGACAGGATCTTTCAAAACGCTGTATTAGAACTAAACCAAACTACCTCCGCCTGGAAAGAAGTAAAAACAAAAAACAAATAACCAGTCCTCCTGCATTGGTTGAGAAAGACAACAGCACACTATTAATCTACTCCCACGTTCTTAAAGAAGAAGGGTTCAGTACTGTATATTACACATCTGAACTATAAAAGATGGCCAATTCTCTCTCTAAGCTCAGGTCATTCCAGATCTAGATTGTACCAGAATATGATTTACCTAAACATTACTCATTTGAACAAGCAGAAAACAAAAACTTGTGCTTAATGTTCCTTTTTTAAAGAGTATCTTTGGTGACCTGAATATGTCTTCACTCAGCATTCAAATACGCATCTTCTATGCCCCATTTGTTTCTTTTCTCCTTCACATATTGACAAGTATGAATTCTTCATTCCCATCAGAGCTTAAACATCTTCCATCAATTCTCCCCTGTCTCTCCAGTCCCAGTTATCAGCTGTCTTTTAAAGACAGTCCTTTTAAATGATTCCCTTTACCATTGGTTTAATGATGGAACGCTTCTCTCAGCACTTTCAGTATTGTAATTCTGGAGATGCAAATACATCTCTCTAGAAACAACCCTGCTGGATTAGACCACTAAAATATGAATTAAAGAGATAGGATTTTTTTTTCTTTTTAAGTAGCTGAGCTCAGATTATTTCCGTGAAAAACAATCAAACAAGTCAAACAAACTTAAATGCTAGATTTTTAAAAATTCTCAGTTAAAATCGTGATAATGATTATGACCACAGAGACAGTGATTTGTCCGTCTAGAAAAAAATAACACACACAGACCACACTTAAGTAAATATAATTTACTCCTTTTTTCTAGGAAGTCAAATCATTGACTCTATAGTAACATAAAAAATGTGCAAATCCTGAGGATCATCTAAAATGCCAAGATAACAACTTTTTAGACAAAAAGTACAGTGGTGCCTTTTACATTTTATATCTAGAACAAATGCAGCAATTTTAAAAGCAAATAACTGAAGACTGTTTTTCTTTGTCATACTATGTCATTCAAAATGTATTTATTCAATTTTTTACATGCTTAAATGTTTGCATCTGACACTTGCATTTGCTTTTACAAATGAGCTAACCCATAGATCTAGTCCAGTAAAAATCATTCTTTAAAACTGTGGGAAAAATCCAGGATTGTCAGGTAAACAACACGGAAATGACTGAGGAAAGTTGGCTGGTGGTGGCTTTTTGCTGAGGTGTGCAACAGCTGCGTGTCTCCCACGTCACTTTGTCGGCTGCAAGACGCTCACATAGAGCAGGGTAGCCGTGTTTGCAAATGTATAACAGAACATGTTTGTTTGGGTGGGTTTTCTCTGGGTGCGCTAATTTCCTCTCTCCTTCTGAAGTGCTTAAATCTGCACGTGTCCTGGTGGCCTTTGAAGGGTGCAGACCTGCTTTCCTTTCTGAGAATGGAGGGAATTACTATTTTAAAAGTAATACTGCATATAAACCGGTTCTCTCCAATCACTGTCAGAGCCACTGTAAAAGCCACTTTCTGAAAGTGGACAGTACTTGAAAAACCACTGTCTACAAACATTACAGTTCTGCATTAATAACAGGCGGCACAATGGATCAGTGGGGCACTGGATTCACTTCCAGACTTCAGGGATCTGCGTGGAGTTCGTATGATCTCACCATGTTCATGTGGGTTTCCTCCCATAGTGCAAAGACATACCTGTAGGTTAATTGGCTTCTGGAGAAATTAGCCCTGTGTCTGTGTCTGTCTGTCTGTCTGTCTGTCCTGTGATGTACTGGCATCCCATCCAGGTTGTACCCCATCTTTGCCCCAATAGCTTGCCGGCAACCCATGACTTTGAATTGGAAAAGCTGTTTGAAAATGTGAAGATGGATGAAATAATAATTTTATTTAAAAAAAAAACTCTTCCGTGACGAAAGAAGCAGTACCAAGAAACCACTATGCCAACACAAAATCACAAACCGTGTTATAAATTCGATTTATAAATACAGTAAACAATACAGTAGTTATACATTTGTGGCTCAGAAAAACGCTAACTTCATGGAAACCATCTGCTACCACGGCCATCCTGGCCACCATAACCCTTGAGTGGAAAACACTTCCGGTTCAACATGGCTGCCTCCTGACTGACTGCCTGCAGACGCCGGAGCTCGTAGAGACAAGTGGTCTCGATTTTGTAAAAAGTATCAAAATGCCGCTTGTCGTGATGTGTGGATTTCCTTGTAGCGGTAAAAGCAGACGAGCCCAGGAATTAAAAGAGTATTTTCTGAGCCAGACAGACAGGAAGGTGTATGTGGTGGGAGACGAGACGGTGGGAGTGGATAAGAACAGTGTTTACGCAGGTGAGGCTCGGTGCGTTGCTTGACGCACCACACGTATTACTTCGTCTTGTGCACATGGTAACGATTCGTTAAGCGGAATTAAAACTAACAGTTAATTCATGGTAGAAAGTACATGTACGTTCTCTCTAAGAATCCGAATTGACCGCTTACGCTGAGTGAAAATGCTGTTTAAACCGTAAAAGCCAATTCTCTGTTTAAACGCACTGTAGTTTATATGGAATTTTGCCGGGCATCGATATGATAGTGTTCCATAGCTTCATATTACTGACAGACCATACTGAAAACATATTTTCTTAAACGTGCCGACTGCAGAACAGCGTGGGCACAAGTCAGCTGCTTCTTTTACTGAGGGTTTAAACACCACTTTTACACAAATGTTTATTTTTCGCTTTCCATCCTATTTATAATCCCATACTTTATCGTTGTGACTTTTCTTTTCGCATTGTTTTCAGTCTGTTTCCTGATGCTTAAACTGAGCATAAGTTTCAATTGTGCATTTTTCAGATAAATATGTCTGTTACTGGAACATTTCCTAATCTAAACGAGCAGTCTGTGCTTCCCGGTCTCTGCGGCTTCTTCCCTGTTGTGATTATTGAAAGTGGCGCTCAGGGATGTGATCTTGATTGGGCCATCAATCATATCATTACACAGGCAGCATGCAGATGTATTCGCCCAAAATTCATGACATTTATTTATTCATTGTCAGATCTGCTTTCAAGAAATGCCAGTGAAATAATCAAAGCGAGGCTTCCTGCAGCTTTCTTTACATGGTAAATTCTGGCAAAAATACAACGGGGCCAGTATTCTCATACTGTTTCCAAGCAACACGCATAATTCTCTCCTAGGATCATTGATAAGAGACATACAGTATGTAGGTAGAACACACTGAAGCATGGAGCGGAGAGAGGTTTGTACAAGATGGCCTGGACTGTTAAACAAATAGAATGTTTTGAATTTATTTTATTGTTATATAGCTGCTAATTGAGATGGAAAACATTTTGAAGGAATTGGTGTCTAAACTTCCTTATTTTCTCTTTACTCAGAAGCCAATTAGGGTCCACACAAAAAGATGTTTTAGTGATGCCCTTAAATTGTGCATAGCAATTCATGAGGCTGCTGAGACCATTCGGCAGCATAGGTACAATTACTGATTTGCGCACCATTACGCGCCAGCAGCCCCACTACACCACATATCGGGGGGAGAAGTGAGAAATTACTTCAGCAGTTGAATAAAAGTGACATTTTGGATAGGGCAGATTGTTCAAGCCCAGAGTGGAATTTATCCAGGACACTGGAGTTAACACCCCAGTTCTTAAGAATAGTGTCATGGGAACTTTAATGAAATGGTCAGGACCTCGATGCCATGTCTCAGCTGAAGGTGAGTGGCACTCCTGCAGCAGTGTCCCCCATCACCATACTGTGGCGATGGTTTGGAAATTCTGGTCCAGAGGGATGTGTGCCACCACCTCTTACTGCTTTGATCTGTTTTTCCTTTCAGATCTCCCATCCCAGTATGGATCAGAACTAGCCTTCTTTGGCTTCTGAGATCAGTCTGAAAGCGCTCCTTTTATTGCTTAGAAAACCGCCTGAGGCTGTGCTTTCACAACCCCAAAATACACAAGAAGGTTTAAGTTTGGTATAACAATTTGAGACATAAATCATAGCTGAAATGACCATCATTTTCTCCTCTTGCTTTGGTGTTATGGGTCATGAGACTTCTAGAGCTGCGTGGAATTAGATTTCGGTGAACAGGGTGTCGCTCTGCCTGATGAATATGTGTGCAAGTTGTGAGTCCATGGAGAAGTTTTAGCGTTGTTCTTTGCATACTATATTAGAATTGATCCCTTTGACCACACTGCCTGTGCCTCTTTCACACAGACTCCCAGAAAGAGAGGAATCTGAGAGGAGCCCTGCGAGCTGAGGTGGAGAGGTAAGATTCCGTGTCTGAGATGATGTTCACATGGACGGAACTGAGGACTTTTTGGACCATGCCATTTTTTTAGTTCACTATCTTGCTCTTGCTCATGTTAACACAGAATCTCTCTTTATTCTTTTTTTTCTGTTTTCTTTGCAATTCCTGCAGTAATGGTAGTAAAGTGTCATTGTGTTACCCAAATGTTTTTTTTTTGGCATTATATTGAATGGCAAGTGAAAAATAAGAGCTGTGTCTGTTGCATGTTTTTCTGTTTAGATGAGAATTCTGATTGAGAAACTTCTGTTGAGATGCATGATACTAATGTGAAGCCAGAGATAAAAAAATACTGTTTTAAAAGATTTGTAAAGATGAAAACCAAAAAGGATTGATGATTAAGTTTTGTGCTTTATGTACTGTAGGAAGGTTAACAAAGAGGATGTTGTCATTCTGGATTCCCTAAATTACATTAAAGGTAACAAAGAAATTAATATTATATTTTGGAAGCTATTCAGTAATCTTGACTTTAAATGCTGATATCTGCAACATTTTGTTACACGGTACAAACATTTTGAAGCAAATGTCCTTTCTATACTTCAGTTGAAAGGGTCAGGGGGATGGTATTTGGTTGATCACAGTGGAGTAATAATTAGCAAAAAACCAACTGCAAGGCTGTACTGGAAGTGTAATGTACTGTAACATCATTTAGACATCGCTCTATACTGTATTGAGGCAACTCAGCAGCCAAAGAGCCTTGTCATTTGTTTCTTTTCTTTAAATTCTCGTTAGGCAAGGTGTCAGTATTTAATTAAAATAGAACTTTAGCTGCAGACAGGTATTTCAAATGTGCCACAAGAGAACTGCTAATTATTTTTCCCTGTGAAAGAGGAAATGTTTTGAGCATGCTGTTTTACTGATTCATCTGAAAATTGTATATTTGGATATAGTCCACCAACCATTTTTCTCTCTTTAAAATGATTCTAATATTTAATCCATCAGATTGGTGATTTTTGTCTTTGATTTGCAAGCATCAACATCTTTTTTTATACTATTGTGCTAAGCCAAGGATTTCCATCAAATGTAAGAAGATTAACATTTAATACTTTAAAAAGACATCTGAAAAGACAAATTCCTAATACAAGAAATTGTATATGGCCAGTAAAGTGATCTGATCTTATCTTAAAATAGATGTGCACATTATGTACTGTATATTCATCTATTCCTCTATTATAAAACAGTTAAGTTTGTAATAACTCTTACAAATTCTCAATGTTAGCATGAACCTCATAGCCACTTGTGGCTTTGCTTGCTAGATATGTTTGTAAAAGATTTATTAAAACCTAAATTAAGATTAGAATGCTTTCATCAACAGGAGCAAGAAGGAATAACCCTCTGTTATAAATGTTAGTTTATGTTTTATAAATATTTTATGTAACTTTTTATTTCCTTGATCAGCAATATGTTATTTCACCTTGAATTCCTGGAAGTGTTGATCAAAAGAGAAAAGGCAATTGTGGCTTTAAATTACATGGCAATTCAAATACAGTCTGTTTTGAAAAATGCAATTAAAATTATTGAATTCTGAAACTGCCTTGGAGATGTATTCTAGCAAATCTCCAGAAAAATCACAATTTCTTCAGTAGCTTTATTGTGCAATTACAATAATGTTTTTTCCCTGCGAGACTGGGTTAATGTTAACTCTAAAATTAGTTGGTGCGGCATCAGAACTATTGTAGAGCAATATATACAGAACCAGTCATCTGGGATTGATCGGTCTGAGACTTGACTCCAAGTTTGTACAGTCAATAAACAGCAGCTTTTAGAATTCCCCAGTCCATCACTATAAAAAATTGGTTTTAACATCAGTGTCCTTAATTTCTTTTAGGTTACAGATATGAACTTTTCTGTCTAATAAAACACACGCAAACTCCCCATTGCCTGGTATGTAAGTTTCTACAAAGCATTCTGATACTTTATCCCTTTGATTTTATGTGATTTAGCAAAGATTATTGCTTAAAGTAATGTGGATTTAGTCATTTTTATTCCTTGTTACTGCCAAAACATAAGCAATATAGAGTTTTGTTATTCTAATGCATACATTTTATGCCTTTATTGGAATTAACAATTGTTCTTTTCCAGTAAGTAAAAAGGCAATTATTTTCTCTGCATTTGATATCCATAGCATAATATGAAACTCATGTACTGTATTAATTGATTTTTAGGTATATTGCTTGACATCAGCAGAAGTCAGCTCTACCTGGAATAAGTGTGGAGATGTAGAAAAGCAGTATTCCCAGGAAATGTAAGAGATGATTAACAAGGTGTTTTTGCCAGAAAAATTCCTTCATTGCTCACTTCCTTACTCATTTTGTGTAAATGGACCACTGTTTAGGGGTTTTATCAATTTTGGGTGAATTTAACTTGGTGGAAAATAAGAAGTAGCTCATACAATGCAGGAATCTTTGATTTAAAAAATTAACTTTGAAAGTACAATTTATGACTTTTGCCTCATTTGCTTTGGATTTTTAGTTTGGATAGTGCAAACTGATTTTCAGCATACATAAAATCTACAGAAGATATCCTGCTAATTGCCTAAATAATGTAAATGTTACCTTCCAATATTACCCAAATCGCTAAAATCACTCACTGGCGCTGATGCCTGTAATCCAGTCCTATAAATTAGTGTCAGTTGATGTATAGGACTTGTTGTCAATTCATCTGTAAATTGGTAATCTGTAAGTTTTGTGCTATTCTCCCTCAATGTGACATTTCCATGTGGAAATGATCTGCCTGCCAGAAGCTTAGAAAGATTTAAGTTTCACCTTTGTCATATATAATAATAATAATAATAATAATAATTGCTTACACTTATATAGCGCTTTTCTGGACACTCCACTCAAAGCGCTTTACAGGTAATGGGGACTCCTCTCCACCACCACCAGTGTGCAGCCCCACCTGGATGATGCAATGGCAGCCATAGTGCGCCAGAACGCTCACCACACATCAGCTATCAGTGGGGAGGAGAGCAGAGTAATGTAGCCAATTCATAGAGGGGGATTATTAGGAGGCCATAAATACAATGAAATACTTCCTCACATAACAAATTTCATCACAACATGTTATTAGTGTTCATTTTTGCTGTTGTAGTTTAGATGCCCTCATTATGAGATTTGAGACTCCGGACTCTAGGAACCGATGGGACAGCCCTCTCTTCACTGTTCAGAAAGAGGACACACTGCCATTTGAAGCAATCTCCGATGCCATCTTTCACAGAAAAGCACCTCCGCCTAACCAGTCTACACAAAGTGTGAGTGACCTTCCTCGACCAGCTCTGTTGTTCTTGCTAGAGCCTCTGTCCAGCCCGAGACGGAGCACCTTGAGTAGTACAAATTGTAGGGCTTAGTCATTGCAGTTTATGATAAAAAAATTGCATTTCAGAAATGTTCTTTCAGGGAAACAGATTACTTGAGACAATGGCAACATAGCTGTTTTTTATTGTTCATATACAATATACAATAAAATACAATTAGTTGTTTTTATTAGCACTTAAGAGATATACAGTATCAGGAGATAGAACCTAAGAAATGAAAATCACGTGCAACCAGTACATGAGGACGTGTTGCCGTACTTATCAGAATCAAGGTACAGCTCTTAAAACTGTGCCTCATAAGCAGTTCAATTTATTATTCCTCCCTGTCAGCTGTATCCATTCCAGATGGGTTTCAGCAGGAGTACTTTGTGATTCATTCACACATGTTCAAACCTCTTTCCTGGTTGCTTTCTAACCTTGTATATCTTATTGTCCATTGTAGCAGCCACTGTCGTCTACGAACTTTTTGTACGAGTTAGACAAAGTTACCCAGGATGTGCTCATGGTAGGTTTTGTTTCTGATGAAATGTTGTAAGTTATGGTAATTGCTTTCTACACATTTTTGCATTCCTTTAAATGTTACTGAATGGCATGTCGAAGTGAATAGTTTATAAGCTCTTTATTAACTTGTTGTCAATGACTGTCTAATAAGAGGTGTAAGTTATTTTTCTGTGGATACCTTACATCTGCTTTGTCATGTGAATGGTTGTTTAGATACAACTGCATTTTAGTCACAAAAGAATTAAGGCGTCTAGCAACACTGTAGAAACTGCTTTCGAATGTATTGGTACTTTACCTAGTACTGGTTATCTCTTATGATGTCTCTGCTCTCAAATTTCTCCTAGGCTGTTTTGAATGCTCAAAAGACTAGTGTCCCAGGGGAGGTCTTAGCTGTACCTGGAGCCACAGAAAAAATATCCTTTGTGTCTTTGTGCTGTCTTGCAGGGACTGTACCACATGTTTCAGATAATAGAAATATCCTGGGCTCATCCCCAGAGGTTTGATATAGGGCCATAAAACAATTTTAAAGCAATAAAAAGATACCAATGGATTTCTTATCCTCACATAATGTCACACCTGTGGGCAGTGATGCACAAAGCTGCCAGTCAGGTTTTCAGCTTTTTGCAGCATAATGAACCCTTTGAAGCACAGCACTTATTCTGTGACATGCCAGCAGATTCTTTTTGTCAGCTAACTGCAGTTTCCTGATTTCAGGAGGGTTCTCCGAGATGTTCCCATTAGTACTTTACTGTACTTTTCATCTTTTTATAGCTCAGACATAGGAAGCATCTGTCTACAAATTCTCAAATGTGCAAGATGTGATTTCAGGGAGGTTAAAACAACCTCTCACTGAGCCTTCCCTAAGCGTTTTTGCAACTACAGTACAAGGATTGTATTTTATGTGTTAATCTTTTTGATGACATAGATCTTTGGCCAAGTATTTACTGTCACTTCCATTACAGGGGATTTTTAACACCTGGCGCGTGGATCTTTACTTGGCAAAAGTAGTGAGTCTTTGGCCTCATTAGGCAAATACCTAGTACTTGGATGCTGTGGACTGTACTTTCTTTTGGCCTTAAGCTTGTAGTCATGCAACTAGCCAGGTTTTGGCATATCACTCTGAAATATGAATTCTATAGAATGTTGTAATCGGGAAACCTTTATTGCTCAAAAGGCAATTAATTTCTTAGGATGCATTAAAGCAGTGCTGTGACAGTTTGCCCAGAACTGTTTCACCATGTTCAGTATCAGTGCCAGGAAAAAGCATTTAAGATAAGGAACAAAGAATTCAACATCACAAGATTGCCTCTCTTTTGTCAGGTGAGCCCTATGACGTCTATATGGTTTCCTTGACTGATGGCTCATCCATCTTTTACATTGAGCATATCCTATACCAGATGTCTCTTTGTGGCACAAAAATGATGGTGTGTAGTTTTGTCCAGGTCAGTCACAATATAGGTGTGAGCAGTAAATGGTTTAGACTTATATGATCAGTTTGTTTATTTCATTTAAAGTTATCCTGTGCGTGATGTAGGTAGTCATATCTGTCGTATAAATATGTCATATCTTATCCAGTTATAATATATCATAAATATATAAGGGGATGTTGAGATTTGCATTTTGCTCATCTGATGATATACGTAAATACTTCTCTTTTCTTGGGGAACGTCACTCATCTGAAGGGTCTTTGTAAGTTGAAACCCAGACATTTTCGTTCTTTGCATTTTCATTATTACTTGATTTGCCTTAACCTCTCCGCACATAGAGCTGACCAGAAGTCTCAACATGGCTGAGCTACGCAAGCTTCGTCGTCAGTTCATCAGTTACGCCAAGATGCACCCAACAGAAAACATCGGGCAAATCGCTAACATGTTTGTACAATATTTAAACAAGAGCATGCATTAATATTTTATTAAATATTATAAAGGTACACTTTAATATTTTATATGGACTTAGCAGGAACCTTCAGTTTCATTTTAGCCATTGTTCTTAATCTATTCCTGAGTCACACATGAGATCAAGAGTAGAAATGGAAAACTGACTTATCTATTCCATTTCACTGTCCCGATTTCAAAATGAACATTGAATACATTGAGAGAGTGCTGAAATTTTATTTGAAAACCCTTCGTCTAAAATAAAATCCTGCATTGTAAATATGCTTAAAACCCGGCCTTACAAGGCAATTTTTTATTTGTTTTGATGTGATGAATTTTTAAATATTGGAGAGTATGGAATTAATAAATACATGACGTGTTTTAAGTCTTTTGGGTTATCATGTTTTTTTTCCTTAATTTACTCCACAGATTTATGAGCTGAAAATGTGAAATCAAGCCAAAGCATAATATCTTATCTAAAGAGCTTCAAATTACATTTTGACTGATTTTTAGGTTCTACTGGTTGGTTTATTGTTGTTCATGAAAATCCGTCAAGGATGAAGTAGTGAGTTTTACATCATCAGTGTCTGAATAGACTCCAGGGTATTTTATTCCCGTTATCAAGTTTGGATTCCAGACAAGCTATAGACTCTCGAGTGTTTCATTTATCTAGCAGTAACATTGCTCTGCAGCTCTGGGGCTCATGAGTCCAGCTCTGGAGTTGAGTAATTTAGTCGCAATTAAAATATAATCCTGTTGTGTAATCATCTATAAGGGGATATTCAGTCTTTCTAAGGATCTATGCTTAATGTGCTCGGATGCACAATTATACTGGCATCTTTAGGTCATATGCAAGCAGAATGCCTTAACAAGACCTAGCTGGTTTTGCAGGAATTGAACCGATTTCTCATTAGCAGCTGGTGTTTCACCAGCCCATACACAAATCTTTTCCCTCTTCATAGTTCATTTTTAATTCTCAGCTGAATACAATTTGTCTAATACATATACAACCACTTTTTAAACAACCACTAAATTTTAAAACCAGCACATTGTGGGAGATTACTGTTTTACCAGTTAAACACATTTGAATTTTTAAAATGTTTTTCAAGATGACTTCCCACTTCTGTTGACTTCAGTAGACTATGCTGGTTGAGGGTTTTGGTCGACTGTAATACCTTCACTCTGTGTAAATGTAAGGAGCCGCCGACAAAGTTGTTAGTTCATTGACTCCAAATGATTAACAATAGGAAATACAAGCAATCAGCAAATAGACTTGCACCTTTTATTATACAACTGAGGATGCCTGTACTTGTATAATAGACTGGAACTCATTATGCTGCAGTACATCAGAGTTGCACAGTACCAGTAACACTGTTTTATTCACATCTTATCCACAATTATGAAGGCAAATTAAGTTTAAATTATGTAACAGTGTTCTGTCTTCAGATCAAGAAGTACAGGGCCTCTGCAATATTAAAACAAGCATATCCAAACCTGGAGCAATTGATGCTTTTCCACAGGAGTGTCTGGATCAGGCCCTTCCTGCCACCCAAACTCATGTCATCGTGAGCCCTCGAAACTTGTTTTGGTAGCTGGCAATCTATCAGGGCTCTTACACAATGTCAGGGGGTTTCCACCTGCTGTGAAAACCCCCTCCTTGACTTGTGTAGGCGGGTACCCTATTTTGTAATAAAATACCCCTGTACCTTCAGCAGTACACCTCTCTGAGAAAATGCCCAAAGGAATTTACTCCACTTTGCAGTTTCCTTTCATCTTTTAAACTTCCAGTGCTTTTAGAATTGTGTCCCTGGTATCTATTCTTGATTCTTTAATGAGTTTTTAAACTATTTGTGAAGATCCCTGACTGATTGTTCAGGTGACAAGTGTCTTTCTCCTGGTAGGTCCACTGTCCCTCTTTGTTTCAGCTTCTATTTGTGTGTTTGTACAGCTGTGTGTGTGGGTTCCTTAGAGGTATTTTAACTTTTGCTGACAATGCATAAGGTTGTTGCTCATGTTGAAACGACGTGCAGATATGTAACCTGGGGCTCTTTTGCTTGCAGTCGGCTCTTTAATGTCTCAAAGAAATGTATGAAGATGTAAATGTTACATTAAAACGGGTCTGTTTTGTGATGGCTTCTATCGCTAGTGACAGCAGGATTCAGTCATTTCATTTTTCTTCCCTAAATACTTGTTTCTGCGTTGTCAAAGAAAAAAAACGAATATGACACGAGATTAACTAGCAGGAGCCTGCTGACTTCTTTAAATTCTTTAACATTTTGTTGTTAGAAAATGCCTCGGTCTCTTTCTACCAACGGTTTTGCCAGAACCCCCTTTCCTTCCCTGCGTCTGCAAGGTGCGGAGGCAGACGTTTATCTCTGTCCTGCTGTCCTTGTTTAATGTGGGCTACATGTGCCGCTGTTCACACAGCGTGATTTCCTTCAGATGACTGAATTCACTCGGCCTGTCATCAACTCATCCACCCCCAGGGGGGTAAACCTTGTGTTACCCCTAGTTTAACGCACTGGCCTGGTCTTCTAGAGTCATGCCATCTTCTACTCCAATTTACTCTGACGGCCGCACCATCTCTGGAGGGGATACAGATTGCATTTAACGTTTCGTTAGCCGGCCTTTCCTGTGTTTTCCAGTCAGTTTATTCCACGCGTTCCTTCGCTTTGCAGCACTGGGGAGGGGGGAGTGGGCACACGGAGTACGTGGGCTCGCTGAAGATCCTCCGGTAGTTCAGCCATGCTGGTGGCCCCAGGGGAATCTGTAATAAGGGGAAATGAGAGGTGCTGTCCTCAAGTCAGGTTAGCAACGCCGAGGGTCATAATTAAGGCGGTGTGACGCAATTAAACTGTGACTGATGAAAGCCTGCAAGTAAACACAGCTTTGTAATGTTGTACATTTGATGAGCTCCATTAAATGTAAAAGAAATAGACAAGTCAAGCTGAAAAACTGGGTATAGGGTTTCTCCTGAAATCGAGAATGTTTACCAAGGCTGCACACAGAAAAACAGGAGCCACCAAGCCTCTGCTTTGACATCTAAACACGTGCTTTTAGCAAAATAAATGGTTGTTTTGCTGAATACGATTGTTGAATGTTTAAAGGAAATGTTTAGATTGGACCACAACTTCTTTCCCTTTGAGATTGTTTCATCACTCATTCATCTGTAATTTAGGGCTTAGCAAAAACACAAATACATCTCTGCATATTTTGTAGTTTGGTTTTTCCTGAGCCGAAAGGCTTTAACATTTTCATGCTGGGACCTCTGAATTTTTTGTTGCTGGTCAAAAATGTTACTGTTAGCCCAATACTGGTAATTAAAAAAATACTAACTGTATTTCATATTAAGGGAGACTTGAGGAGGAAAAAAAAGCAGAAGCCCGATGACAGTTGAAACGGAGTATGCCAAGATTAATCTGCAGCTAGTGGGAGCGCTTTAATGTGGAAATAATTTATCAGAAGGCCTCTGAGAATTCTGCGTGTGAAGACGCTCTTTTAAGTGTCATTTGGTTCAGCTATCCAGCTGTGTGTTTCTTGCTTTGCTGAACTACATCTTAAACTTCTCTGATGGTAACCAAGGTCAACTCAGTGTTATGAGTAATGAGAGCTGGAGAGAAACAGAACTTTGAAAAGTAACATAGATTTCCTTCTCTGGTCTGGGGGAAGTAACATTGTCTTTTGTTGAAAGCTGTTCCCACTATTGAGAATTTCATATTGTCCTGAGATGATTTAAGACAAAAAAAAAACACCATGGAAAGACTTAGATCTCAGTAAAAGCTGGTTTTGAATAGCTTCCTGTCTGAATTTAAGTCTGATTCAATGGCTGTTAACTTTTTTTTTTCACAGAGATTATTTCGGTTTGCAGAGGTGTAAAAAGAGAGCTTTTAAAGGTGCGTAACTAGTTCTCTGTTGTGTTCGGCTGTTAATTGTGACATATTTTACAGGCACTTACTGATGTCCGCTTCAGGAGAAGTCGTGATTATGACTCTGGAAGGGAGCTGCTAGAATTCCTCTGACATGGTTTGGGAATGCAAGCTTTGAGGGCTTTGTGTTCTGTCTGTGGCAATCATACACCTCATGCGCGGGCAATTGCATTCAAACATTTAAAGGCTGCACTTTCCCATGAAATACTTTTTCTGCAGCTGGCAGATGTGCTGTTTTAGGCACGGGTGTGAAGTTGAGCTGCAAGGCTTGGTTCTGTTTCTAAAAGAGCCTGAGGGTTCTGGATTAACAGCATCCCAGAAGAAGAAAAAATTGAGTTTCGAAAGGAAAGCAGTTAGAACTCCCTTTGACAAGCAGAACACTTTGCAGCAAAGATGTTCCTCAGTCGGTTCCTCATTTTTGGCTGCCAATGGATAACTTCAGTGTTTGTCCACTCCTGTATTAGAATAAGAAACAGTACATTATGGTTCCTTCATTATTTGAATTTATTATTGTTACATGATCTTTGGAATAAGAAATAATACATTGGTACAACAGCATATGAGATTCCTTAGAACTGAGGCAATATGTGCTCATGCCTTTAAGAATTGCTAAATATTGTCAAAAACCTCCTTGGCTAAGGTACCAGCTGTGGGTCGGGATTCAGCATTGATTTTTTTCCCCATTTATTCCCTTTTTATGCTGCTGTTCTATTGGTAGTGTACTCACCCAGACTCCTTGTCTTCTCTGATGCTGTGTTGCCTTGTGTAGACTTGCTCACCGCGCTTCAGGGCCGGCAGGGTGGGAGACCGGCGGCACGCACACACATCCAGGGGACCACGTGTTTCCGAGCTCGTCGGCCCCTGCGCGCACGGACTTGCGAATTGGAAGCAGTGGAGCTGAAGTGCCCACTAATTGCCGCATTACCCTTAGTTATTTGTGTCGTTCGAATGTGCTTGTGTGTAATCTTACACTTATGTGCGGTACCGGATTAACTATTAGGCTCTGTAGGCACAGTGCTTAGGGCCTACGAAATTTTTAGGACCTACGAAAGAGGGAAACACTAGCGACTAACGAAAACCGAACTGAAACAACATGCTTGCGATCGACTCGAGGCGCTCCAAATCAATAATCATACGCCCTCTGCCGGCCGTTCTGGAAACTAGACGTATCGAAGTGATGGGCGCTCAACTCGCTCCATCGATGACGTGGTTTAGCGTTAGAACAGTGTAGCGCCCGTAAGGCAGGCTGGCAGCGCTCATGGGGCTGGACTTGAGGTCAGTGTAAATAGCCTAGAGGGTTCTTGAGGAACCATTGTAAATAGTTGTCAGTGTTTGCTGCTTTGTCCTTTTTAACCCGCCATAAACTGAAGTGCCCCTCCTTAATCCTTAGCCTGTGTGTGTAACCCCTTCGAGGAGTTTCAGTCTGTCAAAGTCCAACGGGCGGAGGTAACTAAACGTGTTGTTTGTGCGAGCTTCACTCTGTGTGAATCCCCCGGTCATTACGGTAGTTTAAAGTGCATCAGGTCAATCTTCGTAATTCGATTTACCCCTCTTTTTGCACATTTTGGAGTGAAAGTGCCTAGGGCCTACGAACACCAAAATCTAGCCCTGCTTAAGTGTTTTATCAGAAGAGCCGGTCTTGCATCGGGCTGACTTGTCAGCTTTCTGATGGGAATGTAAAGGTAGAAATGCCTCTCTTTTGGGTGGATGGGCTTTTCCCTTCTAAACAGTTACAACCTGTGATGATAAATTAGTAAAAAAAGAGATTGTCACGTTTAGTGGGTTAGAGGAGTTCTCAGCCAGTCTGTCCTGTGGAAATCCTGCATTTTTTTTTTTTACTGAGTTGACATGGATCTTCTGCCTTTAAGACTTTTACTGTGACCTTCGAAGCTTGTGCACCACATGGGAAATACTGAGGTTTGCATCATATAATGGAGTTCTTTCTGGCTTTACTCCTAGCAAGACAGTCTTAAGTCTTAAAATTCTGCAAAACATTAAATATATATTAACATCTGCATGTATGACACATGCAGAATGCATGGGCATGCAGTTACTATTTGAGCTACAGCAAATTACGTGTTCCCTTGGCACAAAATATCAGCTGGTGTTGCTGCTAGTCACACAGTTTGGCTGCGCTGTTGTAGGTGATAATGTTGCTTGCTTACAGCTTTTAATCCCTTGTCTTGACAGAGATGGATCCCAGCAGCTGTATTTTAATAACTAGCTTCGGCTGTTAGAGCCCTGCAGCATGGAGCCTTAATGACGATGTGAGAGCTTTATTTTTCAGGCTCCACTCCAGCCCTGCCTCCTGGCTGTCAGTAAGAGCTGATGAAAACCCAGTTCGAAGCAGTGCGCGCTGAAGGCCAAAGCTAATCGCAGCACGAGTGTCTCGGGACCTGCAGGAGGGGCTGTCAGAACTGCTCTCCTTAGGCCCTGAGGAAGAAAATGTGTTGAAGTTCTTTTTTTTTTCTTTCCTTTTCAGTTTTGAGAACTCAGATCAAAGATGTGAAGGTGATGGTTATTAATTTCCTGAGGAATTTTTAAAATCACCCCAATTTAAACAAAGACTGATTGTGAAAGAGTGGGAAAGGGATAAGGCATACTGTGTTTTGCAGTAGCCCACAAACAAACTTTGTTTTGTCAAATACACCACATTTCTCCTTTCTTGACATACTTGGCATTCAGTCATCAAATACATGTTGTCATTTTTCTCTATTAATGGTTATGAAGTGATCATGTAAGCTAGTTACGTGAACCAGTTGTGAAGTGCAGTATGAGCTGATTTTTTTGTTTTTTCAAAATTTGAATATTTATTTTTAAGCGATTTAATAATTCTCAGAGCACTTCAGTGTTTCTCTGCTGCCCATAGCTATCTGATGCACATCTATCAGAAAATGCCCGTGGCTACAAATATTGTTACCGAAGCACCTGATGTGACAGGAAGCAGACATCCTGCGACACCAGCGGCCTTATTACACCAGTTGTAGCTACACTCTCTGGTGAAAGCATCCAAATGAACACATTGAGCTCGAATCCTGGGCCAGGCACTTGCTAAGTGATGTGCCATCTCCTCGGTGTGATGCATTAGAAGGAGAAATGACTCATACTCTCTCTTCTAGCAGTGATGGCAAAATAACAATGAGCTCGAATCCTTCGCATGGCCCCGGCTGGGGTTACAAGCGCTATCCTTTCGCAGATAAGATCTGAGCTGAGCTCAGGAACAAGACAGTGCACGCGAGGGAACGTGCCTCCTTGACCTTAAAACAGGGCCGAATGGGGAATGATATCGACAGATATCTCTAAATCTGGAACACGTTTGTTGTTCTGTTACAACACTCCATCAGAGAGTTCTGTCTGACTGGAGGTTTTGCGGGAGCATGAAAGGAAAGCAGAATGGAACAGAGTTGGTTTTATGTTTCACTCTTCATGCATCCCTCAGGGTTGTAAAGTGACTTTGCAGAGCATTACAGAAATGCTGCTGAGTGTCAGGGTTTCTTGTTATGTTGCAGCACTGTCACACACCGGGGAGACTAGCACCTCAGTGATGACTCATTTTTGTGATGTTCTTTGTGATGTTCCAGTTGCGTTCCAACACTTCAAACTTGTCTCATTTCCCAGGGCCAAATCCTTTGCTTATTCTGAAATGCAGTGTTGATGGGGACAGCTCAGTGAATATGTATAACAATGAATTTGTTTTCACATAATGTACAAAATAGACAGAAAAAGACATCTGTGGAGAGTAATCCAAGGTAAGAAATTAATGTTATGTCCTAATATTATTTCATAAAGCATTGATATTAGCTCTGTTGTCCTGCAAATTTACAAAGGCTTAGGGTACATTGAAATGAAAAGGAAACCAAATAAATGTAATTAATACAAACATGAAACTGTCCGACAGTTGTAATATATGGGACCATCTGACCTTTTCCTGTACTGGTCCTGTTTGCAGTCATTCTTACCAGTTTAAAGATTTAATATACCCTGACCATAATCTATTGTCCATTTTGACTTTCTCAGAGCTTTAATACAGCAGATTGAATTGTTTAGCTGCACCCTGTGCTTCCATACAAATTATTTCATAGTCTTACATTGACTTTATCCCTTAAGTGTGTATTTTCTGGGTTTACAACATATTTATATATCTGGTTTGACTGTAATGCAGAACATAGTCTGTATTTAAAAGCACGCAGTAGACATGATAATAATATAATATGATTATAATACTCCAGTTCTACTCTCCTCACCCTGCTAATAAAAGCAGAGAACCACATAATGGAGAGGATGGCCACCCTTTGGTGAAAAAGTGGAACTGCATCTGGCTGAGAGGGACTTTACCCTATAGGAAAGTATTTTCCAAGCATTACAACACACTGAAGAGAAACCACTGGATATTTTGCCTTCTGAAATGCTGTGAGTAATATGCATTGCATGATTAGTGCATGATAAGGTGACTGAAAGAGAGCATTTTGATTTCTTAGCATTGTGTAAGAACAGGGAAAACAAGCTTTAAAAACAAAACATTTTATTAATCACAGACAACTGTTTAATCAACTACCTGATCCAGAATTAAAAGTGCATTAAGAGAATGGTGGCCATTCCAGAAAGCTGTGGTGTTTACGTACTGGATGTTGGTGTGTTCACACCGGTCCGCTCCGTCTTCATTTTTCCTTGTCTGGGAAGCTGCTGGCAGCATCTGCACTGATGGCCGTTCCGAAGACCTTGTCCCAGTGGCTGAAGAAGGGGGCAAAGTTAGCGTGGGGCTTCTGATGGTGCACGTCGTGGGCTGGCGCTCCCCCATAGAGTCCCCAGGGAACGATGTGGTGGAGAGCCCAGGGCATGTCGTACCCACTGTGATCTTCCACCGACATCCAGGTGCTGACGAGAGTGAAGAGCCAGGAGGTCAGAGGGTGGCATCCAAGGAGGAGAGGGTTGCTGTTGCTCCAGAACCCGATGGTCAGGAGCTCAGGGGTGCCCAGGTACTGCGTAACCAGGGCGAAAGGCGCTGTGACATCATGGTGGAGGGCGTGCACGCACCTGTAGAGGTAGCGGTGCCTGTGGTGGACCACATGCCACACGTAGTACTGGAAGTCGAACAGCAGTAGGCATCCCAGGACGCCGCTGCCAAGCTCTAAGACGGAGGGCGCTGTGGCACGCAGAGGGGGCGAGGGCATGAGGAAAGAGTTGATGACCATCGCGGGGATCACGAACACAACGTACTGGTACAGCACCCTCCACAGGCACGTAGCCATCTCCTGCAGAGTGGGCTGCTTCGCCTGCTGAATCTTGTACTGGTGAAAGGAGGGCAGCTTTTTGCCCAGGAGGTCGATGGTTAGGAACGGCAAGCTGAAGAAGAAGTAACCGGATAAAGTGATCAGAAGGGGGAAAAACGGCGAGCTCACGGTGGAGTGGTGCTGAAGTCGGATGTAGTCCCAAAAGGGCTGGAGGATGAGGCCTGAGGAGCTACTGAACGGCGGGGCAGGGAGGAGCTCGCTCTTATTCCACATCGCGCTCATTCTGTTGTCTTCGGGGTCTTTCTCTCTGGGCAGGAGTTAGAGGTGCCTTCCTTTTTATAGCCACGATGCACTCATGTTTTACAGCCGTTCTAATGTAGCTCGGAGTCCATTGCCAAAGCTTGAGAAATGAGGTCAGTGTATTATAGAAATAAGGAGATTTGGTCAGAGATTGCAAAAGCCAGGTCACCTATATTTGGAAATCGTTTAAGTTCCAAAGCTGTTTTGCTTTTGCCCTAGTTAAGCAAGAAGGTAAATTTTCAATGAAGGTTATTTATAAAATGTAATGTCCACCTACTGTGCATCTGTGTCACAGACTTTCAGTCTTAATGTATTTTGGGGGTGATGTGTGCAAGATAAAAACATTGAATCTTGTAAATTCCTAAAGAAACTTAGTACTGCTGGTTTACCACGTTTTAGACCGTAAATGTCTGAGGTTCAATTAAAGTTCTATGAATTCACCTAATTAGCAAAAAAGTATGTTTGGGTTAAACTCATGTTTCCACAATTCTGTTCTGCCCAAAACCAAATACAATTTAATAATACCTGTTTTTAATGTGGCATAACTCTACAGTTTAAGTTGAAGCAAAGCAATAAATCCCATAAATATAATTGACATTCTGTCTTTAACTGAGATTCAGGCGGCTCTGTATTGTATTGTGTGATTTACATGGTTCCAGACTGTGAACAGAAAATTTATCTTTTATCTTTTCTGTCACCGTTTGAAAAATAGTTATTTCACTATTCTGATATGACACGACTCATATCACAAAAAATCAAAATATAATTCTAAGGTGCCATACGGTTTCTTCAGTCTCTTTGGATTTAATGTTTCAGTCCCACCACTAAATCAAATACAATTCCACCTTGGTTTTCTCGAGCATCTCTCAGTTCTGCACACTCCTTGCCTTGCGGGACACAGTTTTTGCCACGTTTGTATATTTCTGACGGTCGTTCCTGTCAAGGGGGGGAAAAAAAAAGACTTAGAGTCTAACTTGATCACCTTCTGTAAAACAAACGGCTCTGCTGCACGACTTGGAGAATCCCCACGGGCGAGAAGCCAGAGCCTCCTTCGTCCCGCCCCGCGGTGTACCTGCTCATCTTCGCTTTGTTCCTGCAGCCCTGACCCCCTTCCCAGTGGCTGGACTGGAACCCCCTCGTCATCATGCTTCCACAGGAGACGCATGGCTTGGCGTTACTGTAAGGCTGTGGAGACCAAACCAGACTGAGTCTGCCACGTAATACAGCCCCCTGAGAAAGTATCCACTCCCTTTCAGGTGTTCTCCGTTTTTCCATCTTTTCACCTCTGAATGTAATCAGAGCTTTATGTGGGTCCTAGAGATTTATAAAGGGGGCCTGAGTGAACAGATAACACCAACGTTTGGTGCTTGATTCATTTGTTTCATAAACAAATTCATCCAACATTCCACAGCCCTGTTAAAAGTGAACGCCCCCTTAGGTTCAGTAACAGGCTGCACTAAGTTTAGCTGCAATAACTACAACCAAATGCTTCCTCTAATTGGCGGTCAGTCTCTCACGTTGCTCTGTAAGAATTCTGGCCCATTCCTCCATCACATTCAGCGGTGATGATATGCAAAAATTCAGAAGATCTGAAAGGTGGCAAACGCTTTTTCACAGCACTGTGATTTTGTATTGATGACCCCCCCCCAGTGCCTTATTTCCTTCTCGAGAAAAGAATGGTCCAGATTTCACTCTGAACTCGGAATGGAGCATGCCAGCTGCAGCTGGAACTCGCCGATATGGCTTGTGCTCACTGGATGAGATGGTGAAAGAGAGTGCCAAACGCTCCTTTAGGGCACAAAGACCTTTCTCAGAGTGGGGGTCATTACTGAGTCCAATTATCTAATCAGATTATTTACTTTAACATGAACTGAAACAAAACTGTATGTGAGACATGCTCGTAATCCACCTAAAGGTTGCATTTATAGGTCACTGGTTTACAGACCGCTGCAGCTGCTGGACGTGGGTTGTGGATTTTCTTTTGAATCGAGGCAAAGTGCAACAGAGCCCACGGTTCTGGTACGGGTACGGGAGGAGTCACCTGCTCTTTTGCACAATAGCCACATATCATTCTGGTAGCCAGCTCCATCTCGTGATCCTGATCCTCGTCGTGGCACAGATCACACGGGTACGCTCTGCCACAGCAGGGGAACCTGCAAGACGGGGGAAGACGAGGAATGAGCAACGACAGACCGTGATCAAAACTGAGCATCTTTTGCCATGGTAGCTTTCATAGACCAGAGTAAAATTATGGTAAAACATGGAGACATATGGCAATTAAATAAAAACAACTGTGCCAAGCAAGGTAAAATGCATGGTAAAAGCACTCTGAAAGCAGCAGAAATAACAGGGAAAGCTACTGTTTGTGGCTGATATCCCGAGGGATAGGACTGAAACTCTTAAGGACTGAAATGACCAGGAAGCTGACACTAGATGAAGCCAAAGACAAATCCTCAATGGCATTTGTCAACGATACAATGTTAGAAATAATTGTCTGCGCAGACCGTAAAGCATTAAACCAGTTGTCACAATGTATGTTTGTTGTGAAGAACCAGGCGTCTGCATGGAAAGCGCCCTTTCCTCTGTGCGTACTGTACCTCAGCCAGCGGTGACTCTGCTTGTAGTGTTTGCAGGTGCCTTTCGCGGGGAGCTGTTTCCCAGGCTGCACTGCGGGATCTCTGGGGTAGCGCTTCTGCCTGTGCTGAAGACCGTCTCCGTGCCCTTCGGTCAGGGAGCAACCAGGGCAACGAAGTCAGGAAAATCTGCTTTCTCACATTCAAATTGACTTCTGATGGGAAATGAAATCTGTCTCTGGGTTCGTAGGATCAGAAACAGACTACACCCAGATTTTTTTGCACGGCGGGTGATGTGTGGAAGATCGGAAAAGCATTTTTTAATGGGATACAGTATGACTATTGTTTTTTAGATGTTCATATTTATTAGGTAGTCTTTGCAAATAAACTTTCATGACTACCTACCAAGAAATACATAAATATCTATACCTTTTTGTACATATCTCAAGACTAGGGTACGATTAATAAAACATGTAACTATGTTAATGTTAAGGCCACATCCTATACTGTACCCACTGAACACAATCTGACCTGCTTGGCTTCTGGAGCGTGGCTGGATGTACTGGAACCTGGTGCTCTCGACTAATATACTCAGCTTGCTGTGACAGTGCTGGCAGTTCACCTCCTTGTTCTGTCCGTATGACACGTTCTGGGAAAAGAACAGCAGAGGCGTGGAGGTTATATCGCAAAAAACACAGGGAAAGGAGGAAGTTAAGAGTGTTCTTTTGGTTGTAAAACCTAAGTGTTGTGGGTTTTTTTTTAATTATCCGAGAGATTTGAAATATCAACACACAGTACTGTCTAAGACCTTAAGGCTCATAACGGATAGGCAGCAGGTTCAAGTCCGCTCTGCAGACACTGCTGGTGAACCTTGAGTGAGGTACTTCACCCCAGTTGCTCTAGTCTTTCCAGCTGTATGCATGGGGACCAGCATGGCTGGGGGGGGGTGGGCATCCCCTGCGATATAACAGCACCCCATCCAGGGGGGAGTCACATGCTCTCCCAGCCCGATGAGCTGCTATGACACTGGTATGAACTTTACCTTTACTTTTTTTATTGCAGTATCCTTGCATCACTTATTATCCTTTCTCTCCTTTCATTCACATACGGCAGAATCTCTGCACGTGGACAGATATATAAAACAACACAAATACTCCATTATAAATATTTTCTTATAAATTCCTAGGGGCAACTTCAACATTATTCGTGGGACTTCCCATGGAAACAGTGCAAGGCGGTCAACCCCCCTGGAAGTCTTATACTGTGCTCCGGGTACCTGCAGGGGCCCTTCCTGTGAGCAGTCGAGACAGCCCACCAGCAGCTGGCAGTCCTGCAGCACCAGGTCGACGGGCACCGCGGCCGTGAGATCCAGGTAGCCCAGCACGTCGCTGTAGCGGTGCAGCATGCCGGGGCGGAACGCGGCGCTGATGCCGGAGCTGCACTTCTCGCACTGTGCGGCGCAAGGGAGCTCCCCCCTCACGGTCAGGTCCGCCGTCACCTTGCACCTTCGTGAGAGACAGCACAACCGCTGCAGCGCGGGGGACGTCTCCCTGGTCCAGACCCTTCGTCTGGACGGTGCTGGGCTGTCCTTTCAGTTTGCACTCTAAATCTACTCACGTGTCATTACCATAACAGATTAACAGCTGTTTATTAGGAGATGGTTTCAAAGGCACTCCTGCATGTACATGCCAAAGCACTTAACGATAACACTGATAATAACAAGTCCTTGCAATTATACCGAGCCTTCTGAAGATCTGAAAGGAATTTTTCAAAGAGGAAGTGGCCCACTTCTTCCACCACTCCTGCTCCCGGCTGGGCAGCTGTGTCAGTCTGGGTCAGAACCCCACTGAGCAGCAGATCAAGTGGAGAAGTAATTAACCGTTCACCAGTTATATCAAGTTAGGCCACACTGAACAAGACCAAAGTGTAATTTAGCCAGGACTCTGGGGTTAACACCACTTCTCTTATGTGCGATGCCATAAGATCTTTGATGACCAAGTAATCAGGATCTTGGTTTAATGTGAAACTCTTAACAGCCCGAGCAGTGTCTCCCGTCACCACACTTGGGACCTTGGATGAGAAATTTGGGTTCCAAGGGACAAGCGCCACCTACTGGTCCTTCAACGCCATGTACACTATTCCAAACAAGTCTAACGAGAGGTCTAAAAATTTATATGTATGATCAGATTTCACTGGTTTGTAATTTACGGTCATAAAGAGAGAGCGTGGACTCGGAAAGGGGCTCTGCACATTTCAGAGCAGCCCTTCAGGCAGGGTTTGCCTTTGTACCTGTTGCACTGCAGGGAGACGGTGATCTGGCTGGCAGTGACAGTGGCCGTCCCTTCGCCCAGCTGCAGACCCATCAGCTTCACCTCGGTGCCCTTTCTCGGCTCCCCACTCCTCATGTTCTCCACAGCATGGCCGGCGGCCTCCTCATCGCAGCCTTCGCCGTTCCCGCCTGCCTCCTCGCTCTCCTCCGAGTCGCTGCGGCTGTCCGTGCTGTCGTGCCCTTCCTCGCCCCCGCTGCCGCAGGGCTCAGGGGTGTCCGCGGGCCGGTCGCTGCCGGCCGCAGCCTGGAGGCGCTGGTACGGGACAAACTCGATCCCGGACCGCTCAGCATCTATATCCCTCTTCAGCTGCGGACAGCGAGACAAATACAGAGAGTCTGAAACAGACAGCCTGAGGCCCCCGAGCAGCTCACAAGTGAAGCCGTGACGGAGTTAAAGAGAAACACACATGAGAGGATTTTACTGTGAGAGTGGTAGGGCAGAATAACCTGAAGAGCATGTAACCAAAACAAAAAACCCTTTAGATTCGCCAGTAAAAGGAGATAAAGGTTCTGTACTGTACATACGTTCACAAACGTTTACATTAAGAAGGTGAATCATAATCATTCTTCCAACCTGAAATAAACTTGAAACATTAAATGTAAACCCTCCCCATCTACATCTACATCCTTTGCATGTGCCCCTTGGTTCACTCTTCACTCTGTTGTGGAGTCCCAGCTTTCTTGTCCAGGGGGGCTGCGCCTCTGCCAAGAGGGTCCAGCGAAATTCACTGCGCCTAAACGCCGGACACGCTCTCCTCAGTGCGCTCACCAGCCTGGCCCCCTCGGTGAGCAGCCTCTCCAGGTTGCGGTCCAGCCAGCGCAGGAAGGGGCGGAAGAGCAGCTCCACCTTCCCCAGCAGCTCATTGGTTGCGTGTTTCGCTTGGATCCAATCCCGCGACGCCTGGCACACGTGGCTGCGGGGCGGGGAGGGACAAACACGGAGGCGTTCTTATAAGGAAAGCAGGACTTGTTTCTTGCCCGTATCATGTCGCGTGCATTTATTTTAACCAAAAAAAAGGTTGTGTCAGAAAAGGGGCTGCTTTTTCTTTCACCTTCCCATAACAGAAGGCAAATCCTGATCCTCTGGAACTTCCAGTGTGAACACCTGGAAAGACAAAAAGAGGATACCCTTTTCAAACATATCAACCAATTGGGTTTTCAGAATTGTCTGACTACATAAATAATAGTATTACATATCAGTCCATTATTCATAACAACCATGCACAGTCATGTCAGTTTAACCCACAATAATTAAACCATGCTTGATAAGGACACAACCAGACAGCCTTCCTAAAATAAAATCCACATTTGATCATATCTGAGTAGTCCTGGTGACATGCAATCAATTCATGTCCTACCTACATGTACATCCCTGTGTTGCTGTGTTCCTTTCATTTGGTTAAGTGCATTGATGTAACTACGGTGGATCTTGTGGAACTGATTCGCAATTGTCAGGGATATGTCGGGGCATATTTTTGAGTCTTTACCTCTTTTGGATACGATGGTGGGAAGTTAACCATGAGGTCAATATCTTTCAGGTCAAAGGGCTGCAAAATAAGTACAACATCATCATTATCGGCATCATTTTCTAACCTGGTCCTCCTGGTGAGGGTCGTGATGGAAAAAGGCTGAGCAGGGCAAGACCAGACTTCCCTTTCCCCATCAACAGTCCCAGCTCCTCCCAGGGGACTCCCAGGTACTCCCAGTCCAGCTGAGGGATATAACCGCTGGGCAGCTGGTCCCCCTCACCTAGAGGGGCCTTGGGGACCATTTCTTACGCATTCCTTGCTCTATATGTCTGTTTCATTAATTTAATGACTAATAGTTTGATATGCTGAATTTCACACCAGCTTTGCACTAAAGGCTTGAAAGTCAAATGCAGATTTAGACAATCCACTGTTTCTGCACACATAATATATATTCTTCAATATTTGGTATGGGATGTTATCATCGTCATGTTATCAATTGCTCTGGGCTTCTAAAAAGAAGAGGAAGAAGAAGAAGTACCCAGTCTGGATCAGTAGGCTGCACGGTAACTCTGTAGTACGTCAGCTGGCCATCTTCTCTCTCCTGGATGATCAGCTGGTCCTTAGGAAAGCGCTTGGCCAGCTGGCTGATCTCGGTCTCCCGCAGCTGCCTGCCGATCTCGGGCGTCATCTCGTTTAGCCTCACCTCCTCCTTCGCGGCAGCCGGCCGGCTCGCGGGGCGCGGCCTGGGGCCCGGCCCGGGCGGCACGTCATCTCCCAGGGGAGGCACCTGCTCCGGGTGCCAGAACCGACACCTGTCCTCCATGACACAGTGCCCGGACAGAAAGTAGCGGCACGGCACTCTGGCTCTGTCTTTCTTTCTCATCGACGGGGCAGCCCTGCGGATCTGGGACGTCTGCTGGCCGACACCCCCGAGCTTGAGACCTTCGGAGGCACCATGGTCCTGCTTGGAGTCCTGGGCATCACTCTTGATGTCCTCTTCCTGCTTCTCACATTTGCTGACATCACTGTTTGCTGCTAGGTGGGACCTGCTCTCCACTCCTCTCTGATGGAGGAACCGGCATCTCTTGCCAAACTGACAGAACCTCCCCTGGGAGAAGAAACGGCACACCTGCTGGGTGTGCGATGAGCTGGCCTGTCTCTGGTTCTCCTTCTCTGTCTGTGTCTGCTGGAGAGGCTCCTCTGTGCTGTCCATGACTTGTGTCCAACTGCTGAGACAACTGAACAACAGTAATAATGATGATCCCTCCGTAATCTTTGGGGTAAAACTGGACTACGCGGTACAAATGTGTATGTGTATCATCTCCCTTACTCTTTGTCCTATACACAAACGACTGCAAGAGCCATCACCATTCAAAACCCGTAATCAAATTTGTAGACGACTCTGTCATTGTTAGCCTGCTGCAAGCAAACGAGTGGAGCCAAGGACCAATTGTTTGGCACCTGGTGTTCGTTGTTTGGCACCTGGTATGAACAGGACTTCCTCAAGCTAAATGTGTCCGAGACCAAAGACATGATAATTGACTTCAGGAAAAACACCCACACTCCCACCCTAACCTACATCGGGGGAGATTTAGGGGAGCTGGTAGCACAATGCAAGTTCTTGGGGACTGTTCTGGACTCCAAGCTTAATTTCAAAGCCAATACTGACCTGATTCCTCAGAAAAGGTCAACATCATCTTTTTTTCTTAAAGAAACTCAAGCATTTTAAGGTTGATGATTCCTTGTTGATTTTGTTCTACCGGTCCTTCCTTGAATCAGTTGTAACTTTTACCCTGATCTGCTGGTTTGGCAGCCTGAATCTGAGGAGCAGGAACAAACTGGGCAGTCTGGTGAAAACATGTCAGAAGGTCATTGGTGCTGATCTCCCAGCCCTCTCCTCCATCTATGATAGACGTGTTGTGTGTAAAGCAAAGTCCATCTGCGACGATCCTTCACACCTCTTGTTTAATAATTTCCAATTACTCCCATCAGAACGCAGATACAGACTCCCCATCTCCAAAACCAACAGATTAAAGTTCTCATTCATACCTGTAGCCATATCGTTACTTAACACTTGACCTTCCATGCAAATATGTATATTGTTGTCCTTCTTGTTTTTTTTTCTTCTGTCTGTCTCTACACCAACACTGCTGCTGTACAACAACCTGCCCCCCTCCCCCGGGGATGAGAAAGACTCTCTCTGTCTCTCTCTCAAATGTATGACTTGAGTGAGAAAGGAATGAGGAGGACTATGACCTGGACAGATAGCAGGGGCAAAGTGTTATTCGGTGTCAAAATAAATATTTGTCAGAGAACTGAGGACAGAGAAGCTAGAAAATTTATGTCACACGCTTATCTATCTTAAGAAATGTATAAAAGTAAAGATCTTCAGTACGCCTGTGTCCTGAGAGTAATTTTCACTACAACAGTAGCAAAGCATGAGTTAGGAAACAGTGTCCCTAAAGGAAAGCAGACGTTAAAACCTATTGCTCCTTTTCCAGTTCTCAGTATTGGATTTTAATTTATTTATTTTTTGCATGATTCCTACCACACTGTGCAATGATAATGAAAACCACGCATTTTGGGAGGTGATTTTATCTCTTTAAAAGTTGACTAGGAGAGGGTTTAACTTCAATTTAGATCTTCTCCTTAAATGCGTAAGGTAAAGGATCGCTACAGGGACCTGTTGTTCCACTTAAATGTCAGTTTGAATTCAGTTTTCCGTTATACTGTGGACTATGAACCTGTAGCTAGCACTAATGCCAAGTCATGCTAATAACCTCGGTGCTACCATACATGTCGCTACGATTAACAACACTAAAATATGTCTTTATTATGCACATACTTCATATACATATATGCCTTAATCATTTTTAAAGTTTTCCCTCTCGTGAAAAAAAGCTGAGTTATGTTACCTGCCTCGGGTACTGTACAGTACAATTTATTATCGTACCTTTTTCAACAGTTGTACTAAGCAAAAGCAAACTTTAATCAGTTAAATTAATTTTGAGTACCAACAAGAACGAACACATTGACTCTTTATGAGTTGTTTTTATCTGCTCGCAGTCATACCTTTCACTGAAGACGTGCTGTCAGATGTGCAGAAATAGACAGTCGTCAATAAACACCGAGCAGCGCGTTGGCTTAAACGCTCCGACGGGAAACGTTTCCTTCCGGATGTTACTGGCCTGATACATTATAGTGCTTTTCAGGTGCTGAATATCTAAATTTATCTAGAGACTGTTTAAATTTAAACGGGGTGTGTTTAATAAAAAATGAAATCGAAGACGTCAATGAACTAGATTATTGTTTTCAGTACTGATGGCAACTTGTTTTTTTTTAGATACCGCATCCATGAAACACGAGACAATATCCCAGGTCACTTTCTTTTCCCAATGGAGTCTATATCCTCGCACATAAAATACAACGGTCGTCGGATTAATTAAATTACAGTAGTTTACTTAGAGTTTGCAGAATAACAAAATAAAGACAACGTGTCCATAAAATGTACTGCGATTAAAAACATATTTTACTTAAGATTTTATTTAAGAATAAAAAGTAGATTAACTAAACCGCAACGTGATGCACACACAACCTATCGCAGGCAACTCAAACAGAGAAGCAATTAACTGATAATTGCAAAGGAGATCTTCATCACACAGGGTTCGATTTTAAGTGCGACACAGAGAATAAATAATACGTGTTGTTCTACAGAACATCGTTATGTTCTTAGGTTGCAGCTAGTCTAAGTGTATCTCCATCCAAAGATTTGGAAAATTTGAAGGGGAATCTGATTTTCAGACTGCCTGCAACTTGACAGAATTGTAATTAGGAACAAGTAAAGGTTTATTCCACGGTGAAAAGAGAAGAAATGAAACAGAACACCTGAAGACACCTGAAGAAGCACTCACAGCAGAAACATTGTTTCTTTTCTTCTCTTTTCAGCATGAAATAAACCTTTACTTGTTCCTTTGCAGCCTAAACATGCTGACGCAGCTCCCTACTTGAAGAATGGAAGTGGAAAATTTGAGAACTAAGAGCTTCGACCATAAATGTTGAAAGATGTAGATTAAATGTCCTTATAGACATTTCCTTACAGACATGTCCTTGTGTATTAAATTTTCAACCTCTGGTGACAGGGGAAACTCTCCTCCTATATATAAATTAGCTAGAAACAGAGTGTTGTGTTCTTCTTTTTTATCTCATTTGAATATTGCTTCTTTTTTATTCCATGGATTATTATAGCCTTAGAAAAAATGAAACTGAACAAAATAAATGTTTAGTTTTCCAAGGTAAAAAGTCCCCGGACATTCATTTTTGCACATTCTTTGTTGGCACATGTATGTTTTCTATGAATTTAAAATCAAATAGGATAGATTGAATGAATTCCTGCTGCCGTGTTGATGGGATCTCTATTGCTTTGTAATGTACATTGAATATAGTTCAAAACTATTTTCTCAGGCACTGGCTTAGGCAAAATCGTGTTCATGTTTTAATTAGGCTTTTGTCTCTGGTTTAAAATATTGTATTTAGTAATAGTCTTAATATTCTGGCGACATTTTCCCTCCATTTTCTATGATGCTGTATGTATTGCTGTATTGCTCGTGTGAGCTATATCGTAAGAACCTGTCTGGATTACAGCACAGTTGATTGGGGGCCTGTCCATTCATCCATATTGCTTACTCCTGGTAAGGGCTGTGTTCAGAGACGCCGTTAACCTTAGCTGCATGTCTTAGGAAGGAGTGAGGAAAATGGAGCACCAGGCAAATACTCTCAAGACCATAGAGAGAACACACAGACTCCGCATAGGAGGCACTCTAACCTGGAATCGAACCCAGGACTTAGGGGCTGTAACACCACTTGGCCACCAAATAGGGAAGTCAGAGAAATTAAGTTCTGCATTTCATGAGCATGATCTGTAGACTTGCACTCTATTTCCAGGAGGGCCCAGTATGGAATGAATTACTTATACTGGTGATTTTCATACAGGGGTCCTGAGTCAATGGGAGTTCCCAGAGTCAGGCTGGGAGGACACCATAACTCTGGGGAAGACTTTTCTCACCCTATCTATTTACATCCTAAGTCGACAAGTGTATCTACTCCTGCCAGAGGTTGAGGTGCATTCTTACGGTTCAGATTGTGTGTGTACAAGAATGAATCACTTAGGCCAGTGGAATGTGTCAGTCGAAGGCTGTGTGACAGGGACACATACTGAACAGTGCCCACAGCTCTTATAATCCTGGTTTTGTCAACACAGATAACCACGTTCTTTATTATGATCAAGGGATAAACACCGATCACGAACACTACAACACTGTGGTAGACAAACTGTTCATATACGTGTGGGATAATCACATCAAGAAAGTGGTTTGTATTATGGTCAATAATTTAATTGATAGGGGGATTTTTATTGCAATAGACAACATTCACTCCTCTGAGTGGGGCCTATATTTGACCACTAGATGGAGGTGTGGAGCTCTGTTGTGTGTGCTAAGCTGCTCATGCCACTGTGCATTTGGATGCAATGTATAATGGAATTAAATTATTTTAGGATGACCTCAACTCTTTTTTCTGTCTTTTGGAAACACTTACCCCTAGAATGTAGGTGTATCACTTACAGGTGGCTGGCATTTAAGGACAGAATTTGCACAACTAACCTGTCCCACAGTAGGCATTGGAGTGAACTATCACAATCAATGGTTGCCTTTCTATGCATCTGTGTAAATAAAACGGATTTGATTCCATCAACACGATGTTGTGAAGTCCTAAATTGACAGCCCAACCTTCCACAATGTAAATTGCATTACAACAACATGGGCATATTTGACAGGACTCGCCAGCTCATTACCGACTCCCGCGATGGGATTTGAGCTCTATTCCAGTGATTCTCCTGCATCCCCAAAACGGAGCAGAAAGCACAATATGCATCCTCTAACTGGTGAGGAGATTTCATGTTAGAAGGCTCTTTAAGCCCAGAAAGGTCAAACTTCGTGAAGCGTTTCAAAACAGAGGCATTCCCGAGTTTACTATTAGATACAGCAAATCGTTCATTAGCAAAGAATGTTCAAAGTTCGGAGTGCGATCCTCCCCCAGCAGAACACGTTAAAACGGACTATAATTTTCCACGTGATTTGCGCTTAAAGTGTGTTTAGGAAAACAATAGAATCCCATCGTGAGATAGTCAAAGCTCATTCTCCCGTCAGTGCGGGAGTTCAGAGGCCAAGAGCGTGAAAGCGGTCGTGGGTTGGGCAGCCTCAGAAGGGCATCAGTTCTGCAGTTCGCCTTACAATCCGGTGGGGGGGGAGGAGGCCGGCGCTGCAGAAAGGATGACCTCATCTCGTCACGTGACGCGAGCCAGCTGGCTGTGGGGTTTTCACGAGGCGCAGGGAGACAGACCGGGACAGCGGAGCTGAGGCGGCGGACAGCCATTTTAGCGGTTTGCGCGAAGAAATACCGTTTCGAGACCCGGATTCCGACGGAATCGCGTTGGTAGCTATGGGACAGTGCGGCATAACCTCGTCAAAAACGGTCCTGGTCTTCCTCAACCTAATCTTCTGGGTAAGGAGGTGTTTTTTTTTTTTGGAGTGCGTCTGTGTAAGGATTGGTCTGCGCAGCGAATCGAGGTTAACTATGGACAGGCCCGGAGGCACTGGCCGTGATCTAGACGAGCAATGGATGACAAGGTTGTGCGTATTATGTATTTAGATCGCCACTAGAACAAGATTTCGTTTTTTCACCACGTAGACGTCTGATTATACATTTTCCATGCGGCTACGTTCAGGGTATACACACAACATTGAGCGCAAGTGGGACAGGAAGGCGTTTCAGCTGCGGGTGAGATGGGCATTATTTTGATAGCAATGCACTGCGGCAGTAGCTCAATATGAAAATGGAAGCAGGGAGCGAAGTACCTTGTGCAAATGGACAGGTGGGGTGTACCTTGATCATAACATGCAGGCAGGCTGATTTTCAGAACACCAGACCAAACGTCCAGAAAGGTAAAACGATGCAATAGAAAATGTTTCTTGTGGGTAAGGGGATTCTCCCCGACACGGTGCACCGGCTTCAGAGTGCCCGGTGTTGGCAGTGCTGTTCATGACCGTTTCGGGGCTGCGCAGAGCCGGGGTGGTAGTCCGCTCCAGCTGCGCTATGTGGATCAGGGCGAGTTTCCTGCGGCACCGGATGTGTGCCTTGATCTCTCCGCGATTAGGAACGAAAGGAATGTTAGGAGCTGTCCTGGATTTTCTTATAAAAGCCGTGAATTGCGTTTGGCGGGCTGTGCGATGTGGGGGACTACCTCAAGGAGAAAGTCCTGCGATTCTCTGCGGCCCTCCGTGCTCAGGCTGTTGGAATCCACACAGCATTTGCCTCTGAGCCGCAGTTTAGTAACATTTTGCGATGTGCACGGCACAGTAACGAGAGATAGTCGACCCGTTCATACATCTGACTCGTGAGGCCTGTGTGCAGGTTTGCTAGGACGATGGGTGATGTGTTCCCAGCGCACAGGGGAGTGCAATACCGAGGGCTCAGCGAGACACTAGTTTCCCAGTGTCCTGTGTCCCGACGTCTGGCATTTGTGAAAGACATGGTGCACAGCTGCTTGAAGCTGTTCAGTGCCATACTGGTGGATAAAGTGGGTCCGCCACCGTTCCTTGCATTAATACAACAATAATATTAATATCTATTTTATTAAGTTAAGTTAGTTTAGTTTATTAAGGAGAAGAGGTAACAAAATAGGCACAATTAAATGAGCTAGAAAGCAGAAGAGGAAGGAAGGAGCGGACTGACCCAATGAAGTGAAAGATCCTCTGAGGAAGAAGGTCTTGAGTTGGGATTTGAAAGCGCACAGCGATGGTGGCTCTCTGATATCCTTGGGGATAGAATTCCAGAACTTTGGGGCACAACAGGAGAAGACCCTGTCTCCCATAGATGTGGAGGAGCTTGGGGGCCAGATTGGAGACCAGAGTCAGAGGAATGAAGGCTGCGAGGTGGGGAGTAGGGAGATTATAACTCAGACAGGTATTGAGGTGTTTAAGCCATGCCGGGTCTTATAGGTGAGTAAGGAGGATTTTGAAGTGAACACGGACCTTGATAGGAAGCCAGTGTAAGGACTCCAGGACAGGAGTAATGTGATCCCTTGCACGTATCCTCATCAGGATTCTGGCTGCCAAATTCTGGACACACTGCAGTTTGTCCAGTGTGGATTTAGATACACAGCCCTGGGATCATTTAGTGTGACAAAGTGGTATGTAATTGGCTGGAATGAATATGAACCTGTTGTCCACAGCTGCATTTCCTGCCACCTCGGAGTGCCCCAAGAGCGCGCGGTTTTCATGAACCCGTTGGAGTGGCTCAGTTACAATAATGCTTTTTCCACACAGGTATCGTCACAAGTTCCAGGACTTGATGAATGAGAAAGGGCAAAGCAAAAAAAAAAAAAAACTCCTGCTAGAGAAAGTGACAGGACCTGGAATACAGCAGTTATGAGTTCTTAACCTCCTTCAGATTATCGGATTATCCCAATAACGCTTTCTAGAAGGTGTGCAGGTTTGGCTTGTCTCTAGCACTGAAAGACGGTGTCAGGTACTAGGTTCATGGGCAGATTCTGTTTCTGAGTCAGCTTGCAGTTTCTCTAATTAAAAAGGTTCTTATCTGCAGCTTCTTATCACCATCTTGGGTTTGGATCAAATGCTAAGCGCAGACATTTGTGAAAGGCAGGCACCCCTGACAGGCAGTATATCTGACTCCGAGACAGGCTGTCTGTTACAGGGTTTAAGCATGTTTTGTAACAAGCAGGAGCTTTCCTGAAGCATTAGCAGCTAAGCAGATTCCGTGAGGGTGCAGTTTGGGCATGTGTCTAAAAAGCCACGTCCGATCGGTGCCTTTTTCAAAATGGCTTTTTAAAACTTGGAGTTTAGATGTGGAATGATTTCAAAGGTCCAGGGTAATGGGTTTTAGTTTGTGAATGTACAGCTGCCTTATTGTTAGGGGTAACGTGTGTTAGTGCTGATCTCTTTGATTACTTTCTAAATAACCCACAAAGCTGCGCTGCGCTTGAAAGCTGTAATCACGACATCCCAGTGCTAAGCTTTTAAATGATTGCTCAAGTTATGTAACAGTATATTAAGTGATGAACTGTATAAACATTTATACTGATAAAAGAGAGTACATTTTTCATTTCTGAGAACATCTCCCTGGGTCCACGAAGGGGGGTGTATTTAACAGAAAGCTTTACTAACCATTGCATTAAAATTCATGCCCTGGCCTTCAAAACTTAAGGGGCCTTTTTATTGCAAACAACAATTCATCATGACAGCTGAAGTCTGAAACTTTCTCTCGATTGTTCTCAGACCAGAGGAGCTTGAAGGAACAAAAGGCACGTTGATGCTTATTGAATAAAGGTATCTGCTTCTCGAACAAGTAATCTAGACATCAGATGTCTGTGTATTTTGAAATGTGCTCCAGCTGGTCCTGCAGTAGAGGTCACTCAGTGGTAGACTATGGTCCCATTATTTTTTTAAACCAGTACATTGTAGCTGTTCAAGTATTTGCTTCTGTCATATATTAAAGTGGAATGGTGCAGGGAACTAAAGGGTTGCATATCCAGAGGCATTTAAAAAAAATATTTTATGATTTTGTTTTGCTAATATAGTGTGTGCTTTTAATGTCCTTTACCCAAATAACTCAGAAACAGCTGATAAAATCCTTTTTCATTCAAAAGAGGGAATTTGGTAAAAGCCTAATTTATGTTTAGTGTCTGTCCTGGTTCTAAATATACCTCACAAAGGGAAACAGTGAGGTGCTGTGCTTTAGAACCTGCATTGCTACGTTTTTTTTAATGTTTGACTTTTTTCAGTTTTCCATTGACGATAAAAAATAACATTAGGAAATAGATTTGGAACTTTAGCGCTAAAGGGTCAAAACGTCTATGAAATCTGAAGGTGTGCACATGCATGTTCCTTGTCACATCTTTTTGGCGGTGTGGAAAGTTCCTGTGCTCCCACACTCCAAGTCAGAGTGGCGACTGATCCTGCGGTCTTGAGCTGTCTAATCAGAGCGCGTCCTGGGGGCGATGAGAGCCAGAATCTTGCCGTGGCCTGGAGAGGTCGTTTTGGCGCGGTGTTGCCAGTAGCTGAAGGGCCCCGGTCAGCGCTGTGCCAGCAGCAGCACGGCTCTTGTGTCAGAAGTGGCCCCCAGTTTTAGTGGCTCTTCACAGAGCTCGCATGCTGTGTTCTCTTTTACTGCACTTCCAGCTTTCAAAGAGCGCCTTGCATCTTCTAGAAGTATAAGGACTATCCTGCATAGATAATGCTTCGTGATAGTTTCCTTGGCTCTGCAAAAAGTAGACATTATGTGCCCACTGCATTTAATCCCTTTAATACTCTAAGTGCACTTTTTTTAGCAGTGCGAGACATTGCTATTTCTTAACTGTCTGTGGGACAATGCTGTGTTCACCAGGTGGTGGGGATAATGTCGTGGCAGTAGGCACAGGTGCTTTACAGCTTTGTGGTCCAAACTTTGAATTGACCTTGAGCTCCTCTGGTGTGGAGTCTGCATGTTGCCCTTTCATGTTCTCACGGTTTTCTCGGTGTGTTTCACTTTTCTGATTGGCTGTTTTAATTTGAATTTCCATGGCCAGTGATGAAATGGCGCCTCCTACAGGGATGGAGAAATTGTCTGGTCTCAGACCCTCCTTATGTTCTGGATAGAGGGGGCAGTGCTACAGCGTGAGTTTTGTACTGCACTATTGTATGGTTTTTTTAGTTTGCTTCAGAGTAGAGTTTCTGGAAGTCATTGAAGTGGCCCATGGCTTGCTAAGTGGAGCCTAGAGTATTTTTCTTGCTGGGTGCATTTCCATTTTATTCACCAGACCCACCCCCAGGAAGCATTTTCTGATGAAGGGAAAATGTTGGAATCGGGAGGGCTTGTCTGTGTGCGCTCTGACTTGCGATGCTATCTGATATGTAAGCAAGCTTTGCAGGTTTTTGTGGCTGAACAGATGAGCTCTGTTATGATCATGAGGTGCCTGTCTGCATTCAGCAACAGATAATCTTTATTCTAATGGATGTGAACCGGAACAACACCTGTATTTTGGATGGTGCCAATGTGCTCACTATGGATTCTCTCCCTAAGCTTTGTGTGGGTGCAGTTTAGCACCAACAACCTTTTTTTTTTTGCTCGGAGGAATTCAACTCTTGCCCATTGTTAATTCCTTAAGCTGTGTTTTAATCTTTAATGTTTGTTTTGAATTTGTGGTAAAAATGGTTATATAGTTAATAGCTGGTTTGCTTAAAGCTGGCTGCTTCAGAAGTTGAGCGTGTGCTCAAGGTTTGCTCTACATTTCTTTAGCAGGCAGCCTTGTGTAGGCTGATGAAATACAAGGTTGTAAAAGAACATGTCATTTACTCTGGGAAGTAAACATTGAGCTGCCTTTAGACTTTTAAGTTCATTGGAAGTGTGGGGTGTTGAAAGAGCTTTTTTGGAACTCCTTGGAGTTTCTGTTCTTAAGATTTTATTCGGCATGGTTGGATATATCAGGGATTTTAGAGTCCATACTTTGTGAGGCTAAGATTTATATCCTGATTGTTAGTTATCTGGGGGCAAAAGGCACCCCAAAGAGTTCATCAGTTGGTTTGGTCACGGAGGAAGGGAACTCTGCCTGATGTTTACCATCTGGGTGAAAAGAAGGGGGGAATTGGAAGCTGTTCTTCTAAATTATGGGGATCCCTGAGCTACGTGGGGGCGATTATCTGCCCTGCTCTGTTCCATGACACCCGAAGAAGGCCCCATGGGCGAAACGTCGTTTCTTTTCTTCTCTTTTCAGCATGGAATAAACCTTTACTTGTTCCTTTCAGCCTGCGGGTGCCGACGCGGCTCCCTACTTGAACGTCTGTTCCATCACTGCCCCTTCTGCTGTTCCTGCAGGCGGCAGCAGGGATTCTGTGCTACGTTGGCGCCTATGTGTTCATCACGTATGACGACTATGACCATTTCTTCGAAGACGTGTACACGCTGATTCCCGCTGTCGTCATCATCGCCGTGGGGACTCTTCTGTTCATCATCGGGCTGGTCGGATGCTGTGCCACAATAAGAGAGAGCCGCTGTGGGCTGGCGACTGTAAGTCCGTTACAGAGTGTTTTTTTCTCATCTATCAGTGGCCAACAGGCTTGAGTTACGAGCTGGGTACAAGGCCTGTGAGCTGTCGCTCAGGCCTGAAACCTGAGAACTGAATTAAAGTCTTTTCAAGCAGGAAGTTCAGTTCACTGGGGCAAGCAAGTAAATATGCTGAATCTAATTGGCATCAAAAACTGTCTGAGTCAGGGTATTTGAACAGATTCCCCCTCAATTCACTGGAGTCGCACAGCATGTTTCATCATAAATCCTCTCATTTATCCCATCTTTATTGCTGAGCAGGGGTAGTGTAGCAGGGTTTCTGCTTACTGGTACACAAAACAAACGTAAATGTAAGTATTAATTTCCATGTTCAATGTCCTCTTTGTATCTATCCTAACACCGAACATTTTGTGGGGCTGTGGTTTGAATTTAAAGACACGTGACCTTTGAGATGTTTTTTCTTGTGATTTCTGATTCTGTACAATAATGCGATAGTTTGCCTCAATTAGCAGGCAGTTTTGCTGAAGAAGTGAATGCGGAGGAATTATAGACGTGTATTTTGCAAGAAGTTTGAAACTGAAGTTTGTTTGTCCAGTTATGGGCTCAGATGACAGGAGGGATTCTGCTGATGTACCATGGATCATTTACTCCATAGCTAATGTCCTGCTTTATAAATGGGTATGGGTCATTTCAATGAAGCTTTGTTCTTTTGCCAGTCTTGTCTTGCCAGTTAAAATAAGGGAACAAAAAAACTTTTCTAAAAAAAACATTAGCAGTTGACAAATACCATGGATTTCACGTAACACCCATGTCTTCTTTTTCTTGATTCTTAAAGATTCTAAGAATGTTTGTTTAATGTTTTATTCCATTTCTTTTTCTACTGTAGTTTGTGATCATCCTCTTGCTGGTTTTTGTAACTGAAGTAGTCGTGGTGGTTCTTGGATATATTTACCGAGCAAAGGTGAGTACAGTTTCGGTGAGTAAATATTTAGAATGGGCTGGGCTTTTTTTTCATTCTATTGAGCTGCTTGAGAATCAAGTTTTATTCGATCTAGAAACATCTCGTAACAGTACTGTTATCAGTATACAGGCATGGTAAATTTGCTAACCGATACTGCCACTGTAGTCAACAATGTAATGTTTTGCAAAGATTCTTTTAAGTACTTAGGCCAGGAACACGGATCCTTTATCAGTCTATTTTCAGAGTTGTGTTTAGAAAGAAAAACAGCTTCCGTGACCGAGGAGATTACGTGGAGTATTGGAGTTAAAATCTCTAAATTGAAAGGATACACTGTAATGTGCAGGGGTTCACTGTAAAATACTGAAGCCTTAATTGAACAACTGCTTTGAAGCATTTCAGCTTCTGCTGGAATTAGGCTTAACTCCAAACACAGTCTGATGGGTTTTATTGTGAATTCAGTCTCGGGGAGTATTTTGTTTCACAGGGATGCATTAACCCAGTTCAGACGAGACACGGGACGTTAATGTTCTTCCAGTGCTGAAGCGTGAATAAGGACTCTTTCACATGCTGAGCCCACAGATCCTCCAGGGATGTGTGTCTGGTTTATTTCTTTGAGTTTAAGGCCTCTACATGTATACAGCGTAACTATCGAACATCTCGTTACTGATGGAAAAGATTTGCAGTTGCTTTTCAGGCTCTGCCTGATTCACAAAGAGCAAAATGTGCTGACCAAATATTATCCTCTGTCATTTTAAAATCTTGTGTTTTCTTATTATTAAAAACAAAATTTTGTATCTATAAATGCTGCAAATAAGACATGATCTACATACAGGCCCACACACATCTCGTTAATGTTTCTTTCTGAGTTGCAGTGGTCTAACCAGGAATCTTCAGCCCTGATCCTAAAGATCCCCAGTTAGTCAAACAACTATTTGTAATGGATGAGGAAGTATCTGACATGCAAATCAAGGGGTGGGGTAGTTGTAGTAGCTAGATCTCTAATCGCTTCCTTCTCTGGAAGAACAGAGAAGATCGGAACAGCTTTGGTGTTCTGGCATGATACATTATCAAAAGGGAAAATGCATTCTTGTAAACGTCGCAGCATAAATGTGAGAGAAAAACCAAGCCACATAACATTGTGCATTTCCAAAGAAGATTGAAGTAAATTAAAGAGGGGATTGGAATTTGATGCATCTTTCAGATGAATGGTGTTTTTGTTGGCTTTGCACAGGTGGAAGATGAGGTGGACAGCTCCATTCAGAAAGTGTACAATGAATACAATGGCACAAACACAGATGCTGCGAGCCGTGCTATTGACTATGTACAGAGACAGGTGAGTTTGCTCAGTCATACATCACCGAATGCGTCCCCATTTAAAAATTATAATTCATGGCAATGGTACTTTTGTACACAATGTTCTGACAGTACAGTGATTTTTGGAGGATCGTAAGAAAAAAGACTTTTAACGTTTTACAAGTAAGCAAGGGCCAGTTTGGTGTTCAGTAGCTTCTTGAATCCTGGATTGCATCTAGCTATTTCTTGGCTTAAAGGAAGCCAAGGTATCACCTTCAGCCTAACAATGCTGGGTAGCGTTTGGATACTCCCACAATTCTTTGAGTAAAGAAATCCTTACTGTTCTCTTTTTTTAAACACTTTTCCATGTATTTTCTGCTTGTTGACCATGTCAGTGTCCTTGAGGATTTTGAATACTTTTATTGGGGCCCCCTTGTAATCTTCTCTGTTCAAGAATGAAAAGGTTCAGTTCTGTGTAGGACATTTTCTTAAACCTGAAAGGAGGAAAGTGCAGAAAATGCCTTTGACATAGGAGATACAATCAAACATGTTAAACTGGGTTGTAGGATGACTCTCAGATCTGAATTTGTGTCTTCTAGCTTCACTGCTGTGGAATCCACAACTACTCTGACTGGAAGAACACACGGTGGTTTAAAGAAGCCAGGAACAACAGTGTACCGTTGAGCTGCTGCAAATCCACCATTAGCAATTGCACAGGCACTCTGGCTCGTCCCGGAGACCTGTACCCAGAGGTGAGTGAGTGGCAGGCTTTGCTCGGGTCTTTTCTGATTCAGCGAGGTCCAGCTGGTCTGCATTTCTGCGATACTCATTAAGGACTCATGTTGGGTCCGTGCATGTTTTCTCTGTTTCTGTGGGGTGCGCAGGTTTTCATTTTGCACACACCTTCCTGTGTGGCATGATGGTGTGGGGAGAGGAGTCAGTTATGTTGGCTATAGACTCTAGTCTCCCAGAATGTCTTAGTTGTCATAGATGAATGCTACCCGTCTTGTAATACAGAAAACCAGAGATAACCGCGTGTAGGGTTAAATTCACAATAGTCTTTCACTGGTGTGGCACAAACAGAAACTGAGCACAATACCAGACACCCATATCGTTATTTGTAATGACTAAGAAGGCAGCGTAATTATCAGATCCCAGCTCAGCACCTGCTTCGCATGACCTCATCAGGCAACTTCAAAGGTGCACAGCATTCTCTGGATATTGCTCATCACGCAAGGGTGGGGTGTGCTGCATTAATGCTTGGGGCATAGCTACTGTGTGGCTTTGCGGATTGTGAATTAACTTTGCAAACACTAGTGATGCTTTCGTTTTAAACTGCAGTGATAAAGCCCAGGAATGTCACCTTCATGATGTTTCTTTCCAGGGATGTGAAGCCCTTGTTGTGAAGAAGCTGAAGGAGATTATGATGTATGTCATTTGGGCAGCACTGGCATTTGCAGCAATCCAGGTGAGGTTATGAGAAAAAAATAAAGGACAAAGCTATCCCTTCTGTTAAACATGGAAACACCTGTCATTAGCTGAATAAAAACAAATGGTAAACTGCTGAGTTATACATATTAAACTTAAAATGCAAGCCACATTATTTTGGAAAAAACAGCCATGCTTCACTTAGTTTCAGTCACCACAATCTAAAAATAAGCTGTTAATCCGTTTTGCACATTTTTCTGCATTATGTTTTTGTTTGGGTTTTTTTTTTAATCCTCCAACAGCTTTTGGAGGCTGTGCCAAATTTAGGTGGAAAATTGCTCGTTGATACAAACAATTCCAGTCTAATTATCATAAGGAAAGAACATGTTGGGGAAAGAAATGAAGATTTTACTTCAGCTCCTTTCAGCATGGAAAGTCCTCTGACCTTGTGAGTGGGAAGTCGAGCTGCACTAATTCCAGCCAGCAGGACGGTTTGTGAGCAGGCCTTGAGCCTGTACACTGACCCAATTGTGTCGAGTCTGCACATGACCGCATCTCGGCTCTTGGGCAATTCAGCCGGGGCTCCTCGAGAATAGGTACTTTTCACTTCGAGAGTTTCAGATCTGATGAATTAGAAGTCTTGCAGGCATCATTGGCTTAAAAAGATGTCTGGATATCTTAGAGTATCTGAAATAAGAAATTAAACTTTCAGGCAAATTAAATGGAACCCAAAGTACAGGGCCAGCATATGGTACAGTAAATTTCCACCCTCTTTAAAAAAAGATGCTGAATTATTTATACAGCAGCACTATGGCACATCTGCACTCAGTTTTTTTTGCATTGTGCATTTTTTATCAGATGGTACTTAGATGTAACTATTTTTCTATAATCTCTACGTTGTTCCATTACTTAATACCGTGTGTATTTTAATTGCTTTCAATGAGTAAACAACACAGTAAATTAAACCATGTTTATCGTGTATTGTATACTCAATGTTTTCTGTGAGGTGCACTAAAGGTAGGTGTTAGTTTTAGGTTTTATGTTGTGAAGCTAAAGAAAAACTTCTGAATATCTATTTAACGCACTGGTAAACAAAAAAAGGGTACTTTAATAACCCTTTAGATAAACATCAACTTGATTTTTATAGTAACTAGAAAAGAGTAATTGTTTTATTGAGACCAATATTTTCTTTGTTTCTCTCCTGATAAAAGTGCAGACTGCTGTTGAGTTCTGGGAGAGCGTAGGACATTTAAACCCTGCTTTTTTGAGGGACTGAGCTGTGGGATAGAGTATCAGTAAATAACAAAAGGTGTCCTGTTTCACATTGTAACATGATCTGCATTGTTTCCTGTATTTCACCTCCTTCGTGCCTGTGAAAACGGGTGGGCAATAGCACAACATGAGTGGATCACTGATCACAGCTTTATATCCAGTGGTGATGAATTCTTCCAAAAAGGCACATTTGTTTTACTTTTTAAATGCAGACTTGCACTGTCAGATTAAATAACCACTGCAGTTCTACAGTATCCCCCCATAGTATATCATGGATTCTTAATAGACAACAAAATCTTTCAGTTTTATTATGAACACGTGTTTGATCATTGGATGGCACAAAAATGGATTGTGTAAGTTCTTGTAAATGCTGTGTTGTGGGGGAATGGTTTTGCGATGTTCGGTGTTTGCTGATGGCGGGTCAGTCGTCTGTAATTTGATTTCTCGATTTCTCGGGGGGCGGTGGATAAGCTCTCCTGTGGCCCAATGATGGCTGTTCAAGTACAGCCTGCTTTAATTCCAGAGGCCTCTTTTACTTCTGGAAAGCCGCAGTCGATTTGGTTGCGCCGTCTGCCCTGGGCGGTAGGTTTTAGAATGCTTTCCTCGTTCCCCCGTTCGTAACCCTCTGTCCTGGAGGCTTTCTAAAGAAGAGCTGCTCCACGGCCAAATCGACGCTGGTTCGCTATTCAAAATCAAAAGGATTCCCCCCCCCCTCGCCTCCGCGTTCCCTGCCAGCGGGCCCTTCGTGGGCCGCCTGTGTGCGGGCCGCTGGGAGGCCGGCTGGTGGGACCGAGCTGCGTGGTACCGTGTGGAATTCCACGAGCGAACCGTCCTTTCCTGACCTCTTTTTTTTGTTGTTGTTGTTCCCTCACCCCAGATGCTGGGCATGTTGTGTGCCTGCGTCGTGCTGTGCCGGAGGAGTCGGGACCCCGCCTACGAGCTGCTCATCACCGGAGGCACCTATGCGTGAGGAGGAGGGCTGACACGGGCTTGCCGTCCTGTCTGTGTGGGAAGGCTCGAGAGGGCAGGCGCTTGCTAGCTTTCTTCTCTTCTAGTGAGCTAAAGCACACCTTGCACAATTCAGGATTGCCTACGGTGTACACTGGTGATGGGTACAGCTGCAAATTATTTATTTCTGTGCTTGGAAGTTGGTACAGTATTTTAATTTAAACATTTCTTTTAACATGGTCTGAAACGCTATTAGCCAAAATACCAAACAACAAACACTAAAAAAATGTCGGCTCTTTTGTCTGCCAGGTAAGAAATTTGCTGCACAGTCCCTCCTTAGTGAACCTGCAGGGCAGTGGAAATAATAAGACGTCTGCTAATCAAGCTAAAAAAATACTCTGAATTTTATTTTTTGCTTGTTTGGCAGTTTGCACTATATGTAGGACTTTGCAAATATTTTATAAATATTTAATACTACATGTAAATACAAAAGATGGGGAGCTCCCATTTGTTTGTAGGGTGCCTGGTGTTACTGCAGTGTACAATTCCTAACAGTCCCTGCCCATCACCAGTCTGCATTTCTTGAGTATGCCTAATTTCAGTGTATCGTAAGGTCTGTATGTAGATAAAGGATTGTATAGATTTGTTTCCAATCTAGGAAATCAAACTTTAAATTGATCAGTGATTCAAGCTCTTGAAGTAATCCTTCACCTAACAGTTTGAGATGTCTCTAAAAATTGGCTGTTTGGGATTAATCTATAAAAACTACATGTTCTGTACTAAAAATGTTTAGTTTTGATAGTCCAATTTTTCTTTTGAAGTTGTGTGTGTGTGTGTGGGGTGTACTGTTAAGAAGTAGATTTTAAAATTGATTTGAGACAAAAGTAGCTGTGTAGAATAACACTATCATGTAAAACAGGAAATAAATGTAAATAGGTTTCAATGAAATAAATCTCTGTAAATGAAATACAAAATAAGAACAAATTTACAAGTCATGTTGCTTGCTTTGTGTGGTGTTATTTGTTCTTGATGTTCTGTGCTGGAGGGTTTTACTTGGTGTCTGTCTGACAGCAAGTCTTTTTGTTTAAAATGCAGGAAGGTCAGGATTTAAAATTGAAATTCTGTCTGCCTTTGTAGTTCGTTTCGCATATTTGAGATGCTTCTCAGGCATGAGAAACTGGAAGTGTGTGCCTCCCCCCGGCAGCAGCGATTTCAGTGACCGATTGGAGTTGAATTCATCAGTGGAGACTTTCTCATATTGCTTGGGTACAAAAGAGCTGGAAATAGTCCTGTTATTTTAGTCCTGCGTGATTTACATTTTAACATAAATTCAGTCAGAAGGCGTAGTTTGCGTCAAGGTAGGTCTTGGAGAGGATGAAAATACAAAACGTGACCACAAAGCATTCAATTTATCCAATATGTATACAGATTTTACTTGCAAGTGTTGGTACATTTTACCTAGAAGCACTGTGTATTTCCTCCAGGAGTATTTTATTATAAATAGATTTATAATACTTAGGGTTTTTTTTTCACAAAACAGTTGCACAGCCATAGGGCAAACTCTAGGAATGCCTTTATAGTTCCATGGCTTCTCTGCAGACAAAGCAAGCTAATTCACAATGGTGTATTGTCTCAATGCTTTCTTATTGTAGGAGTCGGGGACTGAATACCCTTGTCCTGAAAGGGGTTAAAGTTCACGTTTTTCCCAGGGATAGTTTGTAGTTTTTTTCAAATCGTGCCATTTGTTCCTATAAAATACCAGCTTTTTATTCTGGAAGTGTCTTAACATTTAACCTTTAACCTAACAGTCCTGCCTTTTAAACAGAAGAAAATAATGCTTGATTCAGTAATAATTCCTGAAAACTACAGCTGGGACGTAAGTTTGTAGTTCATAATTAGATAATGCTGAAGTATCATGAATCAAAAATAGTAAGACTGAATGAGCTATCAGTATATAATGTGGGTAACTTGGTGTTGGAGAAAAATATTTCTTCATAATACTTTGTATACATTTTTCAGAACGGTTGATTTAACTTTTCTACTTTCCGACCTTGGTCGGCGCTGAATTATACAAATGGAGAAAATGTTGTTAATCTTTAAATTCACTCCAGCAAAAGCTCTAGCTCTTAGAGTGCAACAGACCTGAAACAGAGCAGTTGAGCAGACCCGAGCTTTCCAGGCAGGGTGAGTGGGTAGTCCTGACTCATTTTCCAGAGAGCTTTCTTATCTTTCTGATCTGCTAAGGTAACTGGACACCAAGGATCCAGACAGATCAAAATACATTTTCACCTGTTTGTGAGCATAAAGGCTCTGGACTTGTTGAGGTAGGTGCATGCCAGACTGCACCCTGGGTGGAAATGTAATCCCTCTGCTTGCAATTATACCTCTAGGAAAGGAACAATGCGTCATGATTAGGGCATTGAAAACCACTAGAACCTGTGTAGAAGTGAGGCCTATTCTATAAGCTTGTAGTCATTAGACAGTGATTGCAAGACTCTTCCTATTAGTAACCTAAAGAACGGGAGAAATAAGCTCCTGGTTCGCAACAGGCAATTTATCTCATCTAGCTTGTTTGATTGCTAGAAGCTAATTTATCCGAGCACCTCATCCAGCTTTTCCTTGAAAGGGTCTCTCCTTTGACATGGCAGGGTAGCTTGTTCTAGACACCAACAATCCTTTGTGTAAAGCCAAGTCTCCTATTTGCAGTTTTAGAGGTACTGAACGTTCATTTTCCATTTGTGCACTGTGGCTTGTGTTTCACTGTTGATACTGAAGAAGTCCATTAGGGTGGCTTACCAATTTTGTTCAGACTATAAAGATTCATTACTTTTAGTGTCTCAGCATGGGGCATTCCATTATTAAGTGATGCAATACTGTATATAATCTCCGGATTCCACAGACGTTTTATAACATGGATATCAGAATAGTACACATAATTCTAAATAAGGGATTATTAGTGCATTTTATGATTTTAACAAAACACCTCTTGGTTTAAATTCTGCACAAATTGAATGGTCTATTTGGAATTTGGAATGGCCAACTATATGTTTTGTCAGGTGTTGGATTCAGCTATGAATCCTGAAACCACGTCCCTTCAGAGAACTCGACGAATGCTCTAAACCCTGGTGACTGCTGGAGAGCTTCAGAAGAGTATTATTAGACTTACAGGAATATCTTGAGATGTTACCCACAGTCTGTTTGACTCATCGGAAATCACCCTGCAGAGGTGGCTGTGTTATACGTCTGTTTAATGCTCTCTCAATTCCTGTAATGATGGCACTGTCTTTGTTTAACAAGGTGAGATTTAACATCGGGTGAGTACATGGAAACAAAGTGCCTACTGTAGATCGTTCTTTTCCAAATGGAAACATTTACCAAACAGGTGAACTGTTGCCCCCTAACACAAGCAGAGCTTTGAGAATTTAGAGTTGAGAACAGAAGCCTTTATTTTGATATACCCACCGAATTTTGAATCCTTACATCTCAGCTCATAGCGTATGGGGAATGAAGAATGATCTCCTCTGATCTGCCCAGCCACGGAGCCATTTACTTTTGACACACTACAAGCCCCGCAGTGAGCTGCAACGCAGGGAACACGATGGGAGAGGCACTCCTTCATCCGAGGTCATTACGAGCCACTGTTGGCTTCTGGTCAGCTATTCCTAACCAGCGCCCTGGTGCCACTGAGCCAGCTGTACGTCACTGCTGATGACATGACCCAGGCTTGAACTCGTAACATCTGGACAGCAGAGCTCAACCTGCACTCCAGGCAAGAGCTCTTGTCAGATCAGTCTCCCAGCTCCTGATTTTAGTTTCCTGATACTAATCAGTTATTACAAGCAAGAGCAAAAATGATCTCTGACTTGACCTATGGTCCCAAACCTTTATTCTGAAGATAAGGTTTCTTTGCAGTTGTTCCATAAAAGCTATAAACAGTTTTAATAAAGGCAGGAGTTCAGGACTTTCCTTACTCTTTGCTCCTCCCTTTGTGGCATGAAGCTAATCAGTGGTATTATGTCAAAATATCTGGAATGTGGACTGGGAGGTGTTTATGATGTCTTTTAAATCCAAAAATGGAACTAGTTTTACTTTTGTCTCTGTCCACAGGGGAGTTTGCCATTTTCTCCAGCCTTTATGTGCAAGGGCAAATGTAATATTCAATTCTGTTTTACAGCTACAAACCCCTAGGGACTGCACCACGCACGTCCCTTCATTTCAAGTCTGTAACCAGCACTTTCCACAGATGTCACACATAACAGTGAACATCCTGGGAAGAAAACTGATTCTATCATTTCATGAGCATTTTTAAAAATATTACAGCTAAACTGTGCAGTATTAAAAAGCCAGCAGGTCTTGGGGTTGTGAGGACCTGTTTGTTTTCAGTGCAGACAGTGAAAGGTAGCTTTGTGTACATTTTCTATTTCTGCCTGCTGTGGCAGTGATAAATGTAGAGGTGACACTGCAGTTAATCCTTTCGTCTTTATCCAGGCGTCATAGCAAAATAGTACACGATGTTACTGGAAGGACTGGCTGATGTGTTCTTCGGGTGTGATTGTCATTTTCTTCTAGAAACTTTAAACCAGGGGTCTCAAACACAATTCCGAGAAACCCTAGTGTCTTCTGTGTGTTTGTTCCTTTTATGGTCAGGTTACATCCTATGTAATTATCATGAACTAATTAACATTGTAATAATTTTAACAAGACTCTGAGATGATTTATAGGCAACTACCTTTAAGTGATTGTCTTTGTGTTATCAACTGTAAATCACCTTAAGAAAAATTCTATATACAGGCATGTCTTATTTAGAAAATAGTTAATTACATTAATTGTTTAATTGAGCTCAGAGACCCGGCCCTCCTGGAACTGGGTTCGAGACCCTTAATTTAAAGTGTAAATGTGCTTCAGTATTGTGTTTTTGTACATTTTTCTACATTATGAAGTTTTTCTAAATGATTTATACTCTTAGGAATTGGCTTTTAAACCAGAGCACCACAGGATGTGCTTGCCTACAGTCCTTAAGAGATCACTGAAGCTCATCTCACGAATACAGTGACAACGATATTAGAATTTAGTGTTTTTTTACCTTGTGTTTAAAACTTAAACATGCTGTGTAATTGGAATGGAATGAAACCAAGAAATTACTCCCTGACCTTTTGCAAACCTCCTTCATTATGATTGTAGGAGTCCAGCTGGAGTATTTCTGGTTAACAGAAGAAACCCATAGTCTGCAGTTAAACAGTTTGAGAGTTGTGTCGTATCTAATATGTATGGTCAGCAACAGGAATGAAAACTCTCATAGGAAATCAGACCTGTACTAGTCGGTAATTAGCAGGGGTTCTGGGATGAGATGTATCATCATGTTCAAGCCAGGTACTATAGAACCTTCCTATAAAACTGATGACCACATACAGTACAGGAAGAGGTGTTAGGGGGGCCAGCAGGGGGTGCTCACCCTGCGGCTCATGTGGGTCCTAATGCCCCAGTGTAGTGACGGGGACACTATACTGTAAACAGGCGCCGTCCTTCGGATGAGATGTAAAACCGAGGTCCTGACTCTCTGTGGTCATTAAAAATCCCAGGGTGTTTCTCGAAAAGAGTAGGGGTGTAACCCCGGCATCCTGGCCAAATTTCCCCATCGGCTGTTATCAATCATGGCCTCCTAACAATCCCCCTCTGTGAATTGGCTTCATTACTCTGCTCTCCTCCCCACTGATAGCTGGTGTGTGGTGAGCGTTCTGGCGCACTATGGCTGCCGTGGCATCATCCAGGTGGGGCTGCACATTGGTGGTGGCGGAGGGGAGTCCCCATTACCTGTAAAGCGCTTTGAGTGGAGTGTCCAGAAAAAGCGCTATATAAGTGTAAGCAATTATTATTATAATTATTAGTTGTATCTGCATTTTAGCAGGAAAATAATTTGTTTGCTTCATAGTTTACGATACAAAAACACTGAAATATAACTTTATATCAACAGTACACGTAATCCAGGGACATTTACATGGCCTCCCTTCAGCTTTTATACAGAGTTCTGGCTGCTGTGTCATGATTATAAATCATTCTCACGGAAAAAGTTAAAATCCTCTAAAACTGTCACAGGCGCTCTGTGACCCACATTCAACACAACCCGCTGGATTCACTAACCAGGGGAATTAAGATCTCCAATTTCAGCGGACATCACCAGTCAATTAAGAGAAAAACCCTAATGACTAATTAAAGTCTGTGACAAGACGAAGTCGGGTGAGAGGTGGTGGCCGTTTCCTCAGTGCTTTAGCGTCACAGACGTCGCTCGACTAAATCACCCCGCAGATCTGCATGTCACCCGGCTCTCGAGTAACGAGCCTTGTTCTCTCTAGCAGCAAGAGGCCAGGGATTTCTGAGACAAAACAAGTAGAAAAATCGGGCATCTCAGTCACAGTTCAAGTGGGCGACTGTTTAAGAAGGTCTTGATAATCCGAGTGTTGTGTCTCTTTAGCTGGGATTTAGTACACAATGCACAGAGCTCGTTGAAAATGTGACACCCGCCTCAGGCTTTCTGCAGGTAGGAGCCAGGGACCAGGCCAGCCTGCCCATTTCTCTCCACTGTCCACCAGCCGTCTTCGCCCTGCTCGATGACCACCACCACGTCCCCAACGGATATGGAGAGCTCGTCTTGATTCTGAGGAGAGCCGTGACAAGACGTCAGTGCTACAGGGCCTTTACCGTCTGTACGGCCATGGCTACCTACCTGACTGGACTGCAGTCTATATACTGTGTATATATACCTGAGCAATACGGGCCAATTAAGTAGCTTTGCCTCAGTGGGTTAGTCTCATGACTTTATTAAACTTTCATTACAGCCTAACCAGTTAAAAAAAATCTCATCTTTTCAGGTTGTACTTTTAAGACGGAGGTTCACAGACCCCGATGTGCACTAATCTTGGACTACTGAGTGTTAAGTCCTGGAGTGGTGCTAACTGGGGTCTGTAACACTAATGCTGACTTACAAGTTTCCACGAGAAGGGGAAGACTTTTTGGGATCTGAATGAGTATAAGATTAATTACCAGACGGTTAAGAACTATTAAAGAAAAACGTAGACAAAGCCAAAAGGGTAGAGATGACCTTAACCTTGTGCTCCAAGCTTGTATTAAAAGAAACCCCTCTGCGCCTTCCTCACCTGTGCGACGTATTCGTACAGAACGGTGTAGCACTCGGACAGCGGAGGCTCCGGGACGGCAGCTCCGCGTTCACAACCCGGGACAGAGGCGTACACTCCGTCTGCCTTCTCCGCTAGCGTGCAAAAAAACAACGAGCTTTAGTTTCCAGACTGAATCACGACGGTCACTCCTAACCTCCGAAGCTACACGGAATGGTGTTTTTTTTTTTAAAAAACCAATACATCATCATAGACACCCCTCTTTAGGTCACCCTTTTTTTACGCCAACCGTGCAGAAATTCAATAGTTCAAGTGCCCCCTGGTGGTTTATATGCAGACATCCTGGCGAATCTTAAATGCTGTATTAAGCATCAAGATAACCAAGTATTAAGATCGTGAGATGTGTGATTAGAAACATAAACATTAAATGACACTTGTAAGTTGTTGACTATTTTGATGAACTAATTCACAATGCAAGTACTCTCTGTGTTACACCCTCCTTTTTAGATCTATACAGTTGAATCATGGAATTTATAAGTTTCCCATTCGTTTTATAAACAGAAAACATCGAGGAACACATTTCCTATGATGTGCTTTTATCAGTATGTCAGTTGGATCAGCTTACATTTCCCGAAGATTAAGCTTCTGCTCCGCACGAGTTGCGTTGTCTCTTAGTTTTTACAATATCGATGTCATATTTTATTCCGTGTGCTCTCAGTACTGAGGTTTGCCACAGGTCCAATGCTACCATACAGAAAGCTGTAACTAAATGCACACGGGACAGACTGTTGTTGCTTCCCCAGAGGAACCTGAACCGAGCTGACCTTGTCAGCCTTAACTCAACCTCACAGTGCACTGCTATATGCTCAGCACGCGGTACGTCGGGTACCGAAGAACAGTTATGGTACAAACCGGTTGACAACGCTGCAGGCTGTGAAACTTCATTGACATTCATCCTGGAGCCACAGTTCCCTTGCAATAGGTCCGAAAATCTAGACGAGAGAAGAACAATGAATGAGGGTCATCTGCGATGAGCTCATCTATCATTATGAACTTTCAAAACGGTGAAGAAACCTATATTTCATTAAAATCTTAAGGTCTTGTGTGGGTTTTTTTTATTTAAAGGTTGCCATGCAAAAAAAAACTTTCAAATTAAATTGCGTTGGAATTGATGTTTTTAGCCAGGGGATTCAATAAATACTTTTTTCCCCCATGTGTTTCCATGTGAGGTCATGTACTTTCCAGTTTGTGGGTCAATATTTGTCATCTGAATACATTTGAGAAAGATACTGTACAGCAATTAGAGTATTCCTGTATAGCGTAGTATTTTCCCCTTTACACTCATGGATTCAAACTGCAAAGAGAAGCTTACTGGGAAGAGATTCAAGTGCAAGCATGGAACACAGTATGATGTTTTCTTCTGTCCTTGAATCTCACATTTCTCTTTTCTTTCTGGATAAAGGGCGTGAATCCGCTGAGCTTTTTCACGTCAAATACAAACCAAACCCGCTTTGTGCAGTTGAAAGGCTGAGTTGGGAATGATGAATATGGCTCTCCTCGGCCTCAGACGTACCCCCACGCCCAGCACAAGACAACATATATATATATTTTCTTGACCTGCTTGTGAGTTGTCGATTGATTGGTCCATATCGATTTATGAGTACTGGCAGGTCTTCAAGACGCTTTAATCTGCATTTCACATGTTCGGGTCAAAAAATGTCGCCAGGACTACGTGGGCTGCCTGTATCTTCTACTCCATTCTAAACCCTTGTTTTAAAATTGTGCTAACTTAGGTCCTCTCTTGTAAACTTGTTTTTCCTTCTTACGGTAAAGTGACCTTTACATTTATTTTTATTTGAATCAAATTCTTCTTCTTATTAGAGGAAAGATGAGTTGCTGAGAGAGTTACGGTACCCTGGCAGGTATTACCAGTTTTAGACTCCTGTCCTACTGTGCGCTCCTCCTGCACACAGAGGCCCTCTGCTGTGATGACAGGCTGTCCAGACTCAAGGCAGAAAGCGATTGTAATCTTGCTGGTGTAGATTTATACCACAGTGTTAGCTGTCAGCTGGAGAGCAGCAAGTACGCTGGAGCTAATAAACCATTAAAATGTGCGCGCTCGTTAATAAAACCACACTGCTGATGAAAATAAAGGCAGTGTAACGCAGTACCAGGATTTGGGACCCATTTCCTTTCCACTCCTACACAGTTGGCAAATTTGATAATAGCAAGCGCTGTATTTTTTTTTTTCCTTTTCCTGTTTGGTCAAGAGCTTCCTCTATGTGGGGACAGCAGGCTTCCTGTCTCACCAAAACACAGCCACAGATGGCAACAAGCTTGTTTTTCACTGGGCCACAAATGGGTTCAAACCATCCTTCCTTTTTTTAAAAACAAAAGTTGCTCCAGCTGAGAAAACTTCAGCATCATAGGACTCGTCACTGTTGTGCTCTTCTGACCTTTTCATCACTCCTCCTGCAAAGCGCGCACTGCCATTGCTGTCAGCAGAGGGCTCCCTGTCATAATAGTTCTCGAACACAACAGGAGCTGGGGAAAAAGGAAGGAAATTAATCACGTTCATGCCACTACCAGTGTGGTCTCTGGTGTTCTTCGTCTGTTGTGCATGGTGTACAATCATTGTTTCGTGGGATTCCTTCTGGGCCTGGCAGGTTATCACATCTTGGTGACATTGGCTGAATACTGTAATGTCTGCATTTGTGTTATAAAGAAAATAATGCCATTTTGTTTTAATGCAAGCAGCAGGGGTTCAGGCAAGGGCAGGGAAATAGCTATGATTATGTAAGGAGTTTTGGCTGAAAAGGTTGTAAAAAAATCAAACCAGCTTTCACAAAAACAATTTCAATGACTGGTACAACTTTATAACTCATTTTTTCAGTGTTTTTTTCACGATTCACCTGTGTAAAATAGTGACTTTTTCAACAGACAACATGTGTATCTGTAAGTGTAATCAACTAAAGGTGTTATCCTATGATTTTCTCCAAATTTGTAAATCAGGTGGTTTACTTTTAAGTAGCTGTTCAGTCAAAGCTTTCTGACAAAAATGTTGGAATTTAAACATTTTGCAATTAAATTGCTTGTAGGTATGGATGTACATGATCAACAAACTGAAAATTTCTAATAGTTTCTTCTGCGCCTCATTGCTGTTAAAGTAATAATTATGATAAGTGTACCTGCTGGACTACAGGCGGTCTTTTTCATCTGAATGAAGAAGTCCAGGTCTGTAGCGATGTCACAGGCTTCAAGGGTCTTCCTCACCTCCTCATAAAGCTACAAGCAGAGTCTCATTAGACCTGACTAAGCCCAGCTTGTACTTGCAAGCAATACAGGATGTATTTTAAATTCATGGCATTTAAAAAAAAAAGAGAAAGAAAGCAAAGAGAGAGAATTCTCCAAAAAATGTCAGGGTAGGGTGCTATATTAAGGAATTCATAACTCCCCAATAACAGGAAACAAGAAGCTGAAGTATATTGTCACCTGCACATTAGGATATCTAAATTAGTTCAATGAGTCATTCATTGTTTTTTATCATCAATGATGCTGCCTTGTAGCCTCTTCTTATCAGATTTCAGGCCTGATCAGTACTATGACGGGAGACTTCTAATGAATATCATTACCAGCCAGCATATAGCTCAGCAGGTTTGAGCCTGGCCAGTACCTGGATAGGAGACATCCTGGGAAAGCTAAGGTTGCTGCTGGAAAAGGTGTTAGTGGGACCAGTAGGGGGCATTCAAACTGTGGTCTGTGTTGGTCCTAATGCCCCAGTAAAGTGATAGGGACACTATACTGTAAAAAAGGCGCCATCCTTCGGATGAGACGAAAAACCAAGGTCCTTACTCTCTGTGGTCATTACAAATTCCAGGACATTTCTTGAACAGAGTAGGGGTGTTACCCCGGCTTCCTGGCCAAATTTCCCATTGGCCTTTATGAATCATGGCCTCCTAATAATTCCAATCTATGAACTGGCATCATTACTCTGCTCTCCTCCCCACTGAGAGCTGATGTGTGGGGAGCGTTCTGGCGCACTATGGCTGTCGTCACATCATCCAGGTGGGACTGCATGCTGGTGGTGATGAAGGGGACCCCTATTACCTGTAAAGCACTTTGAGTGGAGTGTCCAGAAAAGTGATATATAAGTGTAAGGAATTATTATTATTATTAGTAGTAGTATCATTACTATACTATTACTATTTTAGAAATACTGTATTCATTTTAAGAATTAATTTTACTGTATGCTGAAAAATGTCTGATTTTAGAGCCTTCTGTTTTTAAATGTCATGAAAAATGTGTCTGAGAACACACTGAGGAGAAGGTCAGCATATGACTGGGGCACATAACTACCCTGCAACTGTATGGTGCATTTAGCAAGAAAAATATTTGTTAGATATAATTAATCTGAAACATTTTTTTGTATTGTTTTTGTAAAAGTTTTACTGAATTTAAAACTGGTCTTTAAAACTGGTCTTAATATGGGTTTGGTGTCAGTTTCTTCTGTTAATGTTACCTGGCAGCTACATGAAGCAGAACAAGAGGCTTAGTTTATTTTTGCACCTTTTACAACATCACACCAGGCTGCGTCACAAAACCACTCTGTATTTCTGCACAACCTTAAATAAACTCACATGTGACAAGGCTGAAAAGCTGGGTCTCATATTGATACAGATGCGTTCTTTCTGAGCTGTGATGATTATTTGTACCTCCGTGGGTTGAAACTGACTGTGTTCCAACACACGTTATCTTTTGCATTTAATAAGCACATTTTCAAACAGGATTTATAAACCCGATGGGCTGAAATTCAATACTATGAAATTAAACCAAAAAAGTCAAAACTCCATCAAGCAAATGTAATGTTTGGCGCTGAGCAACAGTTGGCTCTGAGAGGTTGTCTGAGCACATCCAAAATGAAAGTTTTAAGTTAGTGTTGACCACTTTTCCTGTCCTGACTGTGGAACCTCCTCAGGTTATATCGAGAGAGCTCTGGTCTGATGTTTGCTTTGGTGATGTCCACTAAATTAAATAAAGATTGAAGCAGGCTGACCTCATCGTCCTTTACGCACTGCATTGAGTAGTGGTTACAGTGGACCCACATTGCGTTCCTCAGAATGTTGATCCGGTCGCTCTCCTGCTGCTGGAAGACCTGAAACGCAGACAGAATAAACGAGTCAGTCCTGCTGATACCCCGCTAAAATAAAAGCTGTGACAGGGATTGCATTTTTTAAAAACAAACATGAAACAGCATTTACAGTGACTTAGAGATACAGAGATTTATACAGATCAAATAGAATGGGCAGTATATAAACATCTACAGTACACGAAATTACAAAGCTGTCGTATTTCCTTGACCCTATAATCATAAATTATAAAGATGATAAATACAATACATTAGACTTTATATTTATCTCTGCACCATGCACCAACATGTAGACGTCGTAAGAGCAAATAACATTAAGAATGCAACAATACAGGATTTCTGTTGCTTAAATATGTATAGATATTTGTGGTTCAATAAAATAGTCATAATCTAAGCGGATGATCAAACATAACCAAATAATATCTAAAGTAAGCTATTTGGTTGTCTGAGCAGAGCAAATACCCGTGCAAAAATTTTGAAAGCAGACAAATTCATCAGATATCACTCAAAACATAAAAACCCACAGGTGGATGATAATTGTATTTATTGTAATTAGTGTATGTCTGTACATTATCTTCTGCTAATGCAGTGATGGAGAAGTTCTAATCAATCACGAAGGCTTAGCAATGAAATGTACTAATCATATTCAAGTAGGGAGCTGCCTCAGCATGTGTAGGTTGCAAAGGAACAGGTAAAGGTTCATTAAATGATAAAAGGCAAAGAAAAGGAAAGAAACACTACATTTCTGCACTACATGTGGAGCCTTCTTTGGAGGAAATCCTTCACCTGAAGAAATGAATTTAGAAATGATTATTATAGCTTTGTGTATATTCATGTGCAGCAATGCCATTCTGTAGTCTGTTGTTCTGAAAGATTCACAGACCAGATCTTTTCATGTTATCTTTGTGAAATATTTTCTGTTGATTTTTATATTTCAGTTGTAAACTTTTCTGTGTGGCTAAAACAGAAATATGAACCACAAATATAATACCCACAAAGGTGTCGTCTTTCAAGGGACAGGGTGTTTTAAACTTCACACTTGAGTGCACATGAACTGAACAAGAAGGTTTTCAGCTTGAGTGGAACACTGAAAGTCACACTTTAGTAATAGGACTTCAGTAAAACTATTTTTTTTTATTTCTTACTGACTACATCTTTCATAAACACACAGAGCTTTTTTTCTGTAGTTTTAATAAGACAATCTCCATATGTTTCTGAACCTCCAACCCAAAAAGATTGCATACTTTTACTGTTTGTGTAGTCAATGTCATTAAATGGAAAATGTTTAAATGTTCCACGAACAAAGCAGATGTATTAGTCACTATTCACTGGGGATTTTGAGGATGTTTACATTTTTTTGCAAGATGTCTTACAGAGGGTTATTTATATATTTATGCTCTTCAAAAGTCTCCCAAAACATGTATACCAAAGCTAACAACAAAATTAAAGCAGTAATGTGATTTCAAGCACATAAATATAACAGGAAAACAAGGCTTTGTTTAAAATGACCATCAGAAAAAAATATTGTTGTTGACTCCAACGAAAATGATCTTAAAATGTTTGCGGGCACCACACTATCAAAAACAGGTCTCTGTGTGTTGTGACTTGAGATGCTTCCAGTGATGGCCATAAATGTCAGTCTGGCTCCTCTCGTTTGGAAAGGATTTTCTGCAAAGCTACCCCAATCGAGAAAAAGGGTTTGAGTGGGGGGACAACTAGGCAAATACACTGTCCTCCTGGCACATGCAGGCTGACCAGGAAGGCCCTCTTTTTGATTTGAAATTGAAATTTGAAACACTTTCTGTGACAGGAAAGATAAAAAAGGTACTGCTTTTTTAAGGGAAATATAAAGTTAATGTTTACCCGCCTCAACACACAAACAATTCTTTTTAGTGCTCTGTAGATATCCAGTCTGCAGTGTATTGACCTTTTTAACTGCTCTCAAACAGCAGCATCCCACTGACTTTTTTCGGCCTGTCTTCACCTTGAACAGCCAGCCGAACAACAATTCTGTTCAGATGAAGCAAGTAAGAGCTCTGTTTCTAGTCTGCGGACTTTTCAGTGCTTTAGGTGTGAAATCTTCACCCAGAAAATCTTGCAACATTGTACTAGAGCACCAAACCAAATTAGGTTTTGAAAGCGTAGGTGCGTGATAAGAGGTGTCGATACTTTAGCTGTGTAACCAAGTCTGAATTCATAGACATTATACGGACCAATGTACACTGATGACAGGTATTAAACCATAACAAGTGCATTTTGGAGCCAATATCTTGCTGTGTCTTTAATGCCTCTCAAGATACCTTCAATGAGGTTTCCCATTTTTAAATGACAGTGATAAGAGGCGGCACGGCACGGCCATCCCATTCAGGACCGTGGGTGAGCCGGAGCCTATCCCACTGAGCAAAGGGCGCAAGGCAGGGTACCTGCCTGGATGGGATGCCAAATTACAGTCCATCATAGGGAACTGACAGACACAAACACAGTCACGTCAGGGTCAGTGTTCCTAGAAGTCAATTAACCTGTCTGTTTTTGGACTGTGCAGGGAAGCCAAAGCATTTTGAGGAAACCTCCATGACCCTGGGGAGAACATATAGACTCCATGCAGACAGTACCCCATGTGCAAAATTGATCCCAGAGCCTTCAGGACAGTGAGGCAGTAACGCCACCAGCTGCACCACATGCCAGCCTTAACACTACACATAAGTGCGCAAAATACTACTAGGAAGATATCTGTGCACCTTGCAAGATTTATCCAGAATGTCTTTTTCTCTCTGACATGTAATTTTATGCTGTAATGTAAGGCATTCATATTTACAGTGGGCAGCTTTTTCAGCATATTTTATTCTTTAAAAGACTGCAAAAGAATCTGAAACAAGAAGTTGCAATACTGTGCAAATTAAAGCTATTTCACAGCTTTCTAATAAGCTGGCTTTCCTCAAAGAGAGGGACAGGAGGAGGGTGCCTAAATGCTGTAAATTCAAGGCATTCGTGGGCAGAATTACCTCACAGGTGCTCATGTGAGAGCTCTCCCAGTCCTGACGAATCTTGTCCAGCTGCTCCACATTAGACATGTACTGCTTCTCTGTCAAAGCAGACATCCCATATTAGACATCGACTCTGCACAAAGCCACAAACTGTGAAGGCAAATGAGCCAGTTGTTATTTGCGTACTGGGGGGTGGCTGCAGGGGCTCAATTAGGTGTGGTATGCACGCAAGCAAACAGCCCTGTGGTCATTTTATCAGGTTTCGACCTTTGCTGTACTGCCATAGTGAAAGCTGTTAATAACAAGAGGACAGAAAGAAAATCTTCAGCTCCATTCAGATTCTAGTTAACTGACAGCAGTAGTGTACAGTGACAGGAGGCCAACTGTCAACATCTGTTGCATAATTCTAAACACATTTGCCTTTACCATCCTCTAACCAGGAAATCACTGCCTGTTAAACCAGATTTTAGTCATCAAAAATCATTATAAATCATTATCTAAATCATCATTTCGCTATAATAATGTATGCATTTCCAACATAAAATACCAGATACCTAAGTGGAGACATAAAGATGTTAACTAGGGGTACTTGCTTGACTTCCAACATAGGAAGCAAATATTTTCTTGATAAACCTATTGCTATTTAGCGTCATGGAAACCAGATATATAAATATATGTGTTTGTGCTTATGTACGTAAAACTGTGAGGGGCACCACGAGACCCACATGACAGAATTATTAATAGAGATGGCTGTCAGAAAGTGAACAACAAATTTCAAGCTAAAAAAGTGAAGGGCTGAGTGGAAATCCCCTCCCAGCTTTCAACACTATCTTCTGATAGATTTAGTTTGAATAAAAGTGACTTCTGCTTGAGCTATGTATCTGTCTATTATCTAACACAGCCCATACAGTCTTAACAGTTAAGTTGTTACACCAAGAACACATTGGTTCTGATCTCCAGATATACAGTACAGTATATTGTGAAAGGACAGGAAATCATGGTGATTAAGTGCTTCAGTTAGTGCTCTGGAAGCATTTTCAGAGTGCTTCCAGAGTGCAAATTTGATGGAGTGCAAAGAAGACACATGTGAATTTCCTTTGATAGTGTTTCAATTCTGTGCTTTGTGCTGTTACACTGTGGGTGCCTTGATGTTGTTTCGGCTTAGACTTGCTTATCTGCCATTCTGCTACTTTGTAAACAGAAAAGGTACTGAAGAATACGAGTTGTATTTTTCCACCTGGAATGGACTGTCTCTCGACTCCTCCTTTACTCTTCAAGTAGTGTCTTATTGTGAACATCTGGCATGTTTTGGAAGGGCTGATTACTGATTACTCTGTACCATACAGAGTGCTCCTCGTCAGAGTGTGTGCTTTTCAAATACATACAGTATTAGCCTAACTGTAAGACAAGGGGAGATAACTCAGGAGATAACGGGGAACATGGCATCCTGTCTTTCCGAAGATTCAACAAGCTTCTGAGATCTGACAAGAGCAGAGTGCACCATGGTGATGCCATTCATGGGAACAGCCTGGTTCGAGCGCAGACAGGGGGAACACATGATGAGGATCACACACAGCCGTGCAACCATGTGCGCAGGACCATGGAGGGGAACAGAAAGCATGCATTTCTGAGAGTCAGAATACCACATACCGGCCTCGTTTGCCGCTTCCCTGCATTGCTTTGCCTTGTTCTGCACCTGGACAGACAGAGAAAACAGGAACCATTATTCCTAGGAGCAGCTTCGCAGTCAGGTCCAGACTGAGGCAGAGGGTTCCGGCCGGAGAGTGAAGCACCTATCGTCCCTTCTCACAACAGAGCGCCGCACAAAAAGGAAGACAAATTAGTTTTGAACTTAAGGTTTAATTCCTGAGACGGCTTGTGTTTATGAGCCCCAAGAAGCTTTTCCCTACACACACATTATAGCCCTGTAGTCTGCACTGTCCAGCTCTGATTAGATTCGATTTTAGAATACAATAAATACTTTTTCAGTTAAAGGCACAACATTTTACAACAGGGGAGACATCCGTGCATAACCTCTTCAACATGTTTCAGAACAAAAATAGTTTCATTTAAAACTGCACTTAGCAGATTATAATAGAAGTGTAACGGTTTGCCCTCACTGCAGTGAAACCAGGCCAGCGAGCTGACTTTGCCGTATGCTCAGAGGTGGCGCACTTTACCTTTTCTGTCTGTTTTGGGGTAGCTGTGGCTGCGTTGCTCACGCGTTCAACAGCTTGTTCAGCCTCGTCAGCTTCCTTACACTTCTGTTCATAAATCCTCTTGGACTGTGGAAGAAAAATACAATTCTTTACACTTATACAGAGCTTTCCTGGACACTCCACTCAAAGCGTTTTACAGGTAATGGGGAATCCCCTCCACCACCAGTGTGCAGCCCCACCTGGATGATGCAACAGCAGCCATAGTGCGCCAGTACACTCACCACACATCAGCTCTCAGTGGGGAGGAGAGCAGAGTAATGAAGCCAATTCAGATGGGGATTATTAGGAGGCCATGATTGGTAAGGGCCAATGGGGAATTTGGCCAGGACGCTGGGGTAACACCCCTACTCTTTTCAAGAAACGCCCTGGGATTTTTAGTGGCCACAGAGTCAGGACCTCAGTTTTACATCTCATCCAAAGGATGGTGCCTTTTTACAGTATAGTGTCCCAGTAATCTGCTTCTACAACCTAAAGACACATTATATTTATCATATATGCTTAGTTGTTGAGCTTAGTTAACTTACGTCAGAACTGAATTTGACAGTACCATGGCAGAGAATGTCTTTAATCTACACGCAGGTTAAAATTCCTAAAAGTGGAACATCCTTGGCTTTTAGGAGCATTCTTAAAATTTTGCAGCAAGGAGCAAAGAGGAAGATGTCTGTATCCTTAAAATTGTCTCACAATGCCACTTATCTTAAAATCAGTTTAGTATACTGTCTCACGGAAAAGGGTGTAAGTTGTAAGCATGTGTTGCTTGCTAAACCTAGGACATATGTCTTTCTGGAGATATTTTCTGAGGCTTTCACCTGTGGACTTTATCAACATTTATGTGCTGCAGTTTAAATTACAATTAGCAATACAATCCTACAGGAAACGATACAGGCTAGCTACAATGTTGAAATCTCTACCACTCCAATGGGTTTTGTGCATCTACTACATTTAGCCCAAGAGGACTAAATAACTTCTCAAACAATTAAAAAAATAGCTAATAGATTGAGAACATGACTAGATTGTCTTTGATGTCTTAACATGCTAATTTAAAAACTAAAAAAGAAAATATGTAAATCAGTCAGCTCTTGATCACAACTGTTAGCTCACAGGAAACTGCTGCAAGATCAGATGTAGAAGCATATTGCAAGTTTAGCAGTGTGTGAAACTGGAGAGTGGGCAGCATGAAAATAAAATGTGCACACTTGTACAGCATAACTTCTGATCCCGAGAGTAACTTGCTCTCATTTAATTATGGAAGCGGAGCTACAAACCCCTTAATATTGTAGCCACGCAACACGTCCGGTTTCAGTGCACACAAACCACTGCAACTTGCAAAAGCGAGTCAGGAGGGAACTGAGGTGGAACAGAGGGCGCTTTCTTTTGCACAGAGGGTGAGGGGAGAATGTAGCAAATTCTAAATATGTGGCATCGTTAATTATAAACACCATCTGCATGAACCTATGCAAACCAAATGTGTCATCATTTTGCTGATTTCTTAAACCAGAAGGTAGTTTTCCAGATAGATTTTAATAATCCATTTGCCACCGGAAGGAGCAAGAAACAAGGATAGGTCAAAAATCACCTTTTATTTTTGTTATTATTTTGTTATTATTCCTTATTATTGTTACTTATTCTTTTACATGGAGAAAAACTGTCCTTGCAGAAGATGCTATACAGAAGATTGCTGTGCTGGATCTCAGCTGGGATTTGAAGCAAATATTGATGACTTACTTATTATCTCAACTTTATTTTCGTATTGTTGATCAGTAAGCTAAAATAATTCTGTTAAATTAAAACGGAAAAACAAAATCCCCCCCAAATTAAAATCCCTACATTTTCCTAAGCAACACTTGGGATTATGTTTGTGTGTGTGACCTATAACCATTTAACAGTTAAGACTTGAGACAAAAAAGGAGGTTTAAATTATTAAATAACAAAACTTTCCTCTTGCACATTGCATACAAGTTCTTATTGTGCACAACCTCTGCAAAACAAGTGGAGGTAAATATGGAAAAATATTGACCCAGATTAACATTTCCGGCTTCAGTATTGGCTATTCACATTGACCATTGGCTGCCATCTTTAAGGGCATTAAGTTAGTTCTTATTTGATGATAACCCAGTGCTGGTTATTGCAACATTTATTGGTGTTAATGGTTTGGAAGCTTTGATTCATTGTAGTCTAAATACACTAAGAAACCCTGAATCAAGGAGAGTTCAGCATGCTTACATCATCCACAGACAGTGTCACCTTTCTTCTTGGCCCCAGTAAAATGCCAGTTCTGTGGGTTGCTCAGAAATGTATTATTATGGTGAAGCTGTCCTTATTTTTTCTTTTAGGTTGACAGCCTTGTGCTCTCCTGCCTTCCTCCAGGTACAGTAGAGCTTTTCGCTGTATTAGGCACACATCAGGCGAGAGCCATGAAAAGCTCTGCCGATGCTCCATGTTCCTGCATGAAGAAGCAGTGCACTCTTCACTGTGGCTCAGGCACGCACACTCTCAGCTTCTCTCCTGGGTTTCTTCCTTAAACAGGGAGGCACGTTTTCCGCTCTGACTCAGTGAAAATGCCTGGCTGTGTTTCACTTCAGCAACTGTATCATCTTTCAATTTTAGGTTTACTTTGTGTAACTGAACAGCGCTACAGACTGTGGTTCCTCTTTTACATTGCGGGTGAAATCCAAGTGAAAAAAAAAACACAGGCCTTAATAATATCCTATTAAAAAGAATCATTTTCTTGTTTTGTAACCTATATGTAACACAGTACATGATTCTAAAACATATCTGATTTTAGGAAGCCACATCAACGTCACACAGCTGAGATCCCATATTTACCTTTTCTTCTGGTAACCCTGCAGAATTTCTGTCTATTTTTTGTATTTTCAAATATTAATATATCAATAAGGGCAAATGAACAACATTGATAAGTGTGTTCATGAAGTACCTGGGTTGTTACTTCTCACTGGAGAAAGCACCAAACTGTCAGTAAGACCTGGAGAATTAGTCATATTTTAGTGCTCAGGGCTGGGGATCGAACCCAGATTGCAGATCCTGTAGAACAGCTTCCTACTGTCTCACCCAAAAAAACAAGGCATCTGGCAGAGTGACAGCTTCCTGGGACACAAACGCTGAAATCTTTTTTCATGCAAACTTATCATTATTTCAAAGACCTGTTAGATCTTCCCGTAAAGTATGTCCAGTGATAGTGGCCACAATGTTTTTAATACCTCCCATTTTAAACAGATGCTGCAGGAAATTTACCCTGCAGCTAGCAGCATCTTTCCTCACATGGGTAATGCACCCGCAGGTGCACGGAGCTGTTTTCACAAGTGGGTCAGGTTTGCAGCCTGTGACATGGCAGCGCAGAGGAATGCACAAGCATGGACACACACAGCCATGCCCCTCAGGACACGAGAGGGCCACTTTTTACTGAGGACACGTCCAGATTCAAAATAACTGTCGAACCGGGATGGTTGAAACCAAAAAACAAACAGGTAACATTTTTGTTTCAGATTCCACTGACATTTCTGTGGCATTCCTGTGAAATGTTAAAGACATTAAAGAGCGAGACTAAGAGCAACAAGCCCTGCCTGAGACTGATTGAGTGTGAAAAGCATTTTCTGTTTTTGTGGCCTGCAATTTTTAACAATTACAGTTATTCCACTAATCCTAAGACATATCAACGAAGCTCTCCCATGTACTGCAAAGTGAATTGAGTTCTGACAGGACCCATAGCCAATCCTTCGCTGTAAATAGTCAAGAAGATTAATTCAGTGGGAACTATGACCATGAGCAACTGATATGGTAAGAATAGCTATTACTCATTGCATTACTCAATATACGGAATACAGTATATTTTTAACATAAAAGTCCCTTTCTTACCCAGAACAGCTTACCTCAATGGTTTTCTTGTACATGGACACTTTACTCTTCTGGATTTTTTCCATAATACCTTCAAACTGCAACAGAAGAGAAAGAAATAAAATCGACAGAAAACGATACAATGGAAAACAGGTTTCTATTCCTGACTTCAGATTCTGAAGTAAACATTTTTTAATCAAATACATTCACTTGCTGTTACTGTTATGTACCATTTCATCTTCCTCTGATTTCTGAACTCTGCTCCAGAGGAATTTGCACTAATGCCATTCATTTCCAGAGTTAAAAGTGTTTTTGTGTTAGGTTTCCTCTCTCCAGTGATACATTGTATCCCTCCAGTGAAGTATACATGTCCTTGTTAAATTCTCTATTTTAACTCGTCTTATTTATGAAGGAATTGGCACAAAACATATAGCACCTTTCTCAACTGACAAATGTTTCAGTTGACAAGACAGAACATATGGAGATGATGAATTAGCTATATTTGCAATCCAACAATTATGACTATACAACCCTTCACGACTCTACACCCACCAACTAGGCAAGCTGTGAATGCCACCACAAAAGAGATCACTCCCACTGCTCTTCAGCACTGACAAATTTACTGTATATTGCCACCCAGGCGTGCTCATCAACACATTGCTGAAAACAGGCCTGAGTCTGACAGTTTATTCTAAAACCTTCTTGACATTATGCTGCTTTTCCAGTGCATCAGTTACAATGTAATATATGTCATGCCAATAATATTAATTTGGGTAACTGTTACACATTCATCAGTTTTCATATCGTTCACTGCAAATACAGAGAGAGGGACTGGGGTTAATTTTTGGACAATATAGTAATATTATATATTTTAGTTATAATAATAACTCCAGAAAATCATATTTTGTAAAGTATTTTTTTTAATTGATCTGTTTGAACAGTACTCACAGTGCATAACACAGTCAAAACTCAATCAATTTTGGCTTTATTTGTTAATATGCCTGTGCATTCAATGCCAAATGCTAGAGCTGGAAACATATTAGCAACTGAGGTTTAAGCTTAGTGAATGTACGGCCAGGAAATACAGGAGGGATGAAAAATTACATAACAATAACATCATTAATAATTCATGTTAACTTCGTTTTGGGATTAGATGTGGACTTAATTGATATTAGGAAAAAAGTAACAAAATTGACAGGAACAAAAAACAACAACTGTAGTCCAAAAATATTGTGTCTCAGTGTGCATCAAAATGTTCCTAAGACCTGTCTTCCTTACTGTGCCCAGATGTACTGGGAATGTGGAAAGACACAGGATTGCTCACCTTCTTTCTTTGCTCTTTCTGCCTCTCTCTGAACTGCTCCATTCTTTTCACTTCTTCCTTCAACATTCCAGCCAGCTGGATGTGCAGATTCCCGATATTCTCGATTTCTGGAAGAATATTTCACAATGATCTCGTGCTGCACGCACTAATGGAGGGCAACAACATTAGAGTCTCGGAGCTCTATGATCAACCACAAAAGTGAGAAAAAATTAAACGCAGCAAAGAACAAACAATAATCAAAAGTTGATTTCCGGCTTACCTCTTTTAAGTTTGTCAAAGGATGCTTTCAAAGTGCTGGCAAAACAAGAACAAGGCAATAAAGTGAGCTAACATTGGTTTTAGTAATTATAGGAATATAAGTTTAAAATCTTTACTTCTGTCACAAAAACTAACAAGTTTAAGGTCATACTCTAATCTGACAGTCAGTATAAGAAGTAAGACGATACGGCAGACAACCATTTAAAAAAAGGCTTGGAAAATTGTTTCAGATGGGTGTTTTGCAATATGTTCATAAGTCAAGCATTAAAATGTATACAAAAGACTGCTCTTAGCTGTATGTGATTTTTCAAAAAGAATGAGTAAGAGAAAAGATTCATGTCTAGTGCTGGACACAGAATGGAGGAAAAACGTGAAGCTGAGGTTTGAAAAATATCATATCATGATATGGGGAGTAAACATGATGTTGTGGGAGTCTCAGCTACATGAAATTAATTGTAACACCTAAACACCAAGCATGGGCAGTCTGCACTGCCCATATTTCAATGTGTAGCTTATTTAAAGATTGTGCATTTGGCGTTGGCTAACCAAGAGAAACCTGTACCTCTCTTCCTTCCTGCTTAACAGACAATTTTCCACTGGGGCTGTGAGTTATCTGAGTCATTGTTGCAGTCTACATGAGTCCAACAGGACGAGCACCACTGTCTTTCTTACTCCTGACTTAAGACAGTTTGCTCCCTATTTATATCTGCTAGGATAGCTGACAGCCTCCGTATGGAACAAATGATTTAAAATCTAATACAAGTGCACAGTGCAAATGCATGATGCTGTATTTGTCATACATTTGCACATTTAAATATATGTACTTGCTCTCTCTCTGTCGCTGGTTGAAACAAGCGAGCTGAATATGAATTTATGTGATGCACTTTCCCAAAAAGCGATCGGATATGGAATAGGATCAGCTGATTTGATCCTTTTTGCTTTTGACAGCAGGTGGATCTGTGATAGAAAGTTCAGTGGTGGAAGCAGAACAGTTACCGACCTTCTAACTTAGATGCATAATTTATGACCGGAGAGTTAAGGTCCCATCCCCAATGTAGTGGAGTTAAAAAAAAGGTGAAGTGAAGGTTGCTTCTAGTAGACTGATCAGGAATGAGCTCAGATGTATACTGTCTGACATTGGAATGTAGGGAAATAAGTAATTCTTCAGATAATATTCTCATAGAATTTTTGCTGGTGCTACGTTGGTGCTAAACCTGGCAACTCCCATTGTTCAGAAAGCAAAGCAAATCTACATCTTTAGCTGGTAACATGCAGAGACAGTAGGAAAGAAATGTGATCCAAGCATGCAAATGCCACATGAATGGACAAATATGTATCTATAATAGACTAATAACCCGTGGCCCTGTACTGGATAAAGGGGCTTGGAAAATGGATCGACGGTATAATAACATCATTCAGTGGCATGCAGTGCAAAATCGGGTTTGTCTTAAAAATAAATCCCTCAGTGATTTCATAGTCGTGATAGACTGTACCTATTTGTATGCATGTTGCTCAATTTACAGCATTTCTGTATATCATTTGTTTTTTTTCTCATTCAGGCTACTTTTATTTTTGAAAAGAGTGAAAGATGGCATTGCCTTGTTTTACTTCCCCATGTGCATCCTTTCTCTTTCGCTCACACTGCCCTCCGTGCTAGCACTCCTTGTATACATCAGCAAGTTTCCATTTCGTATGCCCTCCAGCGCTCAGAACAAGCACGAGAGAAAAAGGCAGTTAAGGTTTCAAGAGGAAGAACAGATAACGAGCACCCAGGAGCCCATCACTGACACACCCTGGTGTTTCTTCCTGTCCTCGCTGTCTAGTGGCAGCTGCATGAAACAGCAGAGTTCTTATCAATCCTTCCACTGCTCTAGTCAGTTGACTCTTTGTCCTTGGAGCCCTCCTGCCATTCCTCCTTCCTCAGATTCTTCTTGATTCACAGCCAACCCCAGCACACAGTTATAGCAGAGCGTCTCCAGCTTGGCAAGGCCCAGTGCTGCTCGGGAGAAACTTGTGTGATGAGGCGGGAAGCCTGGGTGGAGTTATATGAGCCACGCCTTCACACTCCACAAAACAGCAGGAACCTTTCACCATATAAACAGGAAAACTCTTTTAACATGTTTATACTCTTTTGTCCTCCACAACCTGGACAAAAGGAAGACAAGAGCAATACTTGCTCAGGAGATAAAGGCAGATGCACAGTAACTGTGTTGTGAAGAACTCTCTCCGGAGTGTTCCACTCTCTGGCTGCTAGTGAAGTTTGCTCGGTGTTTCTCTTGTTCTCTGTACACACACACACACTGCTTCCTCTGCTGCCTGGTGTTCTCTGTCTCCACACTGGTCTGGATCTTACTGCCTGAGTCAAGCTCTTCCCGCTTGTGCTAGCATTACTATGCCATTGACTAGAACTAAGTGTTACATATAGTACCTATTGGACAACGACAAATACAGGTCATATTGTGAGCTTAGAGGTGGAGTGGTGGCACTGTGGCTCAGGATCTGTGCCTGTAGCTGGAAGGTTGCCGGTTCAAATCCTGTGGCTGGTAGAGGAAGAGATTAGAGAGGCACCTGGGATCTGAGATAATAATACAATTTCTTGTGTTTGTATTTTTGCAAACTATGCAGTCTAGCGTCTTGAAGTTGGCTCTGCGCTCAAATATATAAAGATGCTGCCTGTCCTTGGTCAGTAAGATAAGGGGCATGTATTTGGTAAGATGGCTGTACGCCCAGAACATGAAAAGAACTCACTGTTGTCCAGTCTGCAACTTAGATATAATTAATTGGCATGTGTTGCCGTCTTATCAGTTGTTTAGAATGTGTCATCTTTGTTTTAAGGTGTAAAGGACCATCTTTAGCTACTTATTTTTTAAGTCTGGTGGCTGCAAGCCGGACTTCCATATGCATATGAATAAAGGGACTTCTGCTTCACAGACACCTGAACTTTGTCATTTGTATGACAACATAGAGGAATCCTAGTCTATTGGGCCCCTGAGCAAATCCTTTAACCCCAACTGCTCCAGGGACACTGTATAAATGGCTGACCCTGCACTCTGAGCCCAAGCTTCTCTTCCTGCCTGTGTGTCTCATGGAGAGCAAGCTAGGGTATGTGAAAAGACGAATTCCTAATGCAAGAAATTGTATATGGCCAATAAAGTGAGCTTATCTCTGCTAAGAAAATGTATTAATGAACAACAACAGTAATTAATAAAGGAAAGTGTTGTGCTACAGTGTTTTTGTACAGGTCAATACAAACCTAGAGCCATTTAAATTTCCTTTTGAAGGGTGGGAAGTCACCATTATTTAAAAAATAGCCCACACTCTGAGAGCAACAGGCCCAGCCCTGTTGAGTAAATGAGTAAAATCACTAATTCTTCTTCACGGCAAAGATGAGGCTGTGGTGCCATCATAGGCTCCCACCCAAGTTGTAACAAAAATAATAATAATGATAAGCAATGGGTTTGCTATTCTGGGTTTTCCTCCACAGAAAGGTAAATTCTTCTTAAACACTTTCACTTTTTGAACCACAGCAAAAAAAAGACAACAGCTTACTTTATTTCAGTTTGTCCCCCAGCCTTGCGGGCTATCGTGACCATCTCCTTCCCATACTTCTCCTCTGCCTGAGCCCTGTATGAGGAAAGGGAGAGAGGGTCCAATCAAGTCACATTCACAGAACCAAAACCATCTGCACAAGAGCCCAGTACAGGCCTATTGTATTTATTATGGGATTAACAGGAAGTAGATTGTCTTGATTTACTACAGACTAAGCTTTTCTGCTTCTCTGCCTGTCCAGTTGAAAAAGATTTTTCGAAAATGTTATCAGTTGTATTAAAAAAACCTAAAGGGACAGAATATGATTTTGGTGTTTTGCAGGTATTCGTCTTAGCCTGAAAACTGTGGATACTGTGTTACATTCAGGATTTGAAACAGTGTCAGCTGATCCATAGGGAACACAGGCCGAGAAAAAGCATTTTGGTATTCACTCTCAGAGCTCAGAAGACTGGACCTTCACATAGCATTGACGCACACTCAATCTGTGGTACGAGAGGGGGTCAATGGATTTGAGTGTGACCGGTCACGATCACTAACCCCTCCTCTTAAGGGCGCTCCAGCCCTTCCTTGTTTTCTCCCATTGTCTGCACTCCTGGTTCCTCATTGAACTCCGCATCATGAGGGCCCGGGGTCCTGCTGCCTCTGGCTCTGTTATGGTTTTAACCTTCTGTTCCCGATTCCCTGCCCCGCCGGTCCTGACCCAGCTCGTGCTTTTAACCCTTGGATGGATCTCCTGGCCTTGGACTCTATTCTTCCATGTGGATTCCCCGTTTCGACTTTGGCTTTGTTTGTTTGCCCGGACTCGCTTCCCCAGGAAGCCTGCTCACCTCGGACACGCCCCCTGTATCCAGACCCTTTCCTGCATGACTTTCTCCCTAGCGTATCTTCACAATTCCGGATCGCGTCGTCTGCATAGGGAAAGAACTGCATCGTGACATGACCAAGCTCTGGGCTCTCTAATCTGGTTTGTCCTATTAGATGTTGTGCACTTTTTTTTCCCCAAGGTAGGACCTTGCTGAGGGCTGTGGTTGCCTGAAATGAATTGGTATTCATTTTTATTCTTGGACTTCCTTGTGAAAACAGATGAAGGCTGAAATTGTATATAAATAGTATACAAAATACTGTTACAGCTCTAGGTGACTAGGACGTGTGACACCTGGCTGTTTGCGGAGATGTGGGGTGTAAAAAAAAATAACTGTAAAGTTTGCCTTACTGTACCTAGTTAATTAAGTTGTGGGTTAATGATTATCAAAGAGCAGTTGAGAAAAACTCCATATAAGATCACTTTCAGACCACAGAAGAGAAAGAAAAAGGAGGGAAGCAGAGGATGAGGAGTGAGGAGAGAAGGAAGGCCAGATCACAAGAGAGGTGTGAGGACGAGATGGAACTTGAAGCTTGTGCCAGGTGAGAGCCCCTACTTCATTATGCCCACGTGTGCAGCATACTGTCAAAACATATTTTTTTCACCTCGGAAATATCACTAGACTATGCCCTATGCCATCACTAACTGTGGATGAAAAGATGGGGTATCTTAATCTACTCTGACAAACTGCAGTATGTCCAAAATTCAGCAGCCAGAATCCTGACCAGGTCTAGTGCAAGTGTTCACATTACTCCTATCCTGGAGTCCTTGCACTGGCTTCCAGTCAAATTCCGTGTAGACTTCAAAATCCTCATGCTCACCTATAGGGCTCTGCATGGCTTGGCACCTCAGTACCTGTCTGAACTATTATTGCCCTACTCCCCACCTCGCAACCTTCGCTCCTCTAATTCTGCCCTCCTTACTGTCCCTCAAGCCCATCTACATTGGATGGGTGACAGGGCCTTCTCCTGTTATGCCCCCAAGCTCTGGAACTCTCTGCTCTTCTTAGTACCACCATCCACTGTCTCCTCTATAAATTGTAATTGTGTTTCATCTTGTGTATTCTTCTTATTTATTGTTGTTGTCATCCTGTAAAGTTTTTTGAGAAGCCACCTTTAAAGGACTATATAAAATAAAGTTTATTATTATCATAATCCAGACAAAATCTGACTGGAGCTAAGTATTTGAACCTTGGTAGAGAGAGCCTGCTATTCTGTGTTTTTAGGGAACTTGTGTTTCCTGGGTAAAACACACCTCAGAAATGTCTTTCCTGCTTGGGGTACATTTTCGGAATAGGGAGATAGGCTCCCATTTATTTTGTGGTATGCAGAGAGAGAGATTTAACTGCAGGTTGTATTGCATTTATTTAAAAGGTAGCTTCTTATCTGGCCTCTGTAGGCATTATTTAAGAGTTTAATACATAGTAGCAGTCTGGGTTTTTTTTTCCTGGGTGATCAGAATGTTAGGCTTCTGGAACACCTTGTTTGTACATTCTGTAAACGTATAACTTGTGTGTTTTATGTTTTGTTGTTTGTAGTGTAGTGTTTTTCTTGTCATTGTTAATAAACATTTGTTTAACCAAGTGCATCTGAATTATTACTATTTTCACCACAGCTGTGCCAAAAAATAAAAGATTCACGTGCCTCTAATTATACCAACTACTTTGGGTATATTCTGGAGAAATCACTTACAAGCTGGGGGTTATCAATATTTATTTTACTTAATGAGTTAACCGCACGGTCAATTGCTGATTTCAACCATTTTCATAACAATATTCATTTAAAAAGTTGTTTCATACAATGAGAGGCATTGCACGTGCAGTAGCCAGCATACTGTTAAACAGACAAAAATAATTATCCACCTGACTAGCTCACTGTGACAGTTACTCATACTTGATGTTCTTGCATTCCAGTGACCTGCTACTTAAGGAAATGTTTAGTTTAGACTCTGGTCCAAGCACCAGTTTCGCAATTGGTGTCTTCCACAGTATGCAACTGAACCTCCCTGTTCTCCACACTTCGGGGAAGACTAATGTAACCAGAGTAGTTGAGATGTCAAGGTGTACATAAGAAAGATTAGAAATGAGGGAAGGCCATCCTTCTGCCTCGATATTGGTTGCTAGGAGCTATGTGATCCCAGAGTCTCATCCAGCTGTTCAGTGATGTTCACGACACACTCAATGCTCAACGCCACTTGCTTTTCCCATCCACTAAAAGGGCAAATATCAAGAAGTCCACAGGCAGTGCTTACCTCATCTTCAGAAGATCTTCCATGTCCTTGCACATTCGCCGGCCATCATACAGCCTTTGTAGCAGAGCCTCATAACCGGAGTTATTGGTGAAATCTTGGCCCTGCAGCAGAAGCACATCGTGACAGTACAGTCTTACCCCAAAACAGGAAAGAACTCTAAAATTGTTGTCATATACAGAGCCAGAACCTTGCTTTGGGCTCTGTTTCTAATGGCAGTCAGGCAAATAAAATGCAAAGCAAAAACAACAGGTGCTGGCATTACTGGTCAAAACGTCCACTCTAAGAAGTGGAAGAAAATCACAATAACGAAGAACCACAAGCGCTGAAAACACACAGAGAACCAGAAAAGAACTGAGAAAAGGTTAGTTCAGGTGCTATCTTAATTACTTCCTAATTTGCTGACTTGTCCTATACCAATCTCTGACAGGATTATTTTATTTTCGCATCTCCAGTATTCTGCACAACATACAATATCCGGATGACAAGAATTTAGGAACATACCTTCTCCCGAAGTTGTGTTGTGCAATCTGCTCAGTGATATTACTGGACATGGAGAAGGAACTCTTTTTTTTAAAAATTTGTTTTTTCACTTAAAGATTAACTTCCTCATATGCATGCGTGCAAGACCAGGCCAGTCAGACATGGTAAAAATAACTAATTAACAATCAAGCCTAATAGTTACGTTTTCAGGCCATTTGCCTCCTTGAAAATACAGTTTTCTTTTTTATACCTTTCACTTACACTTAAATTGTTAAACAGCAATTAAATACTTTTTGTGTGCCTGCCTACAGCAATTTTGGCAAAAAAAACTCCTGCAAACCATGCCTTGTTCTGGCGTGTTGTGATGGAGACAGAAATGTTTGCTCTCTTTATCAGTTCTATTTATGCATCTGAGGACTGTTTCACTCGTACTTTCAGAAATAAGCTGATAATTCAAAAATGTAATACAGTGCAATTGATGGTGCTTTTTGTATACCATTAGTATAACCCTGGTGTGTCTTGCTGTTCTTCTACATATAATTATAATATAACATAATTTCCATGCATATTAATTGTGGCTTTGCAGATAAGCATTATCCAAATGTAAACGTAAATACTTAGTGTTATGCCCCAACGAGCTCCAGCACTGCCGCATCAGCTCCACCAATTGCCAATGCGCAATCCGCACATGCTGGAGACTCACTGGGGCCTTCCTCAACGAGATCAGGCCGGGCCTATCAGGCCAATTAGGGAACCTCGCACAGTATTTAAGCCCTGAGGACTCATTCCTCAGGGTTCAGACATTGAGTCACTAACTCTGTCTTGAGTTTGTCTCAGTTTCAGGTTCTCAGCAGTATTTCTCAGTAGTCCTCAGTCTCTGCTCTGCCTGATTCATCTGTGCAGCTACTGCCTAAGCTGTTTCCTCAGTCTCAGCTCTGTTGGTCCTCTTCAGCACTGTTATCGAATAAATTATCTTGATTGCTGCATATCTTGGCTCATTGACTCTAATTTTTGCCGAGCCTGTTTCAACACCTTGTTGGGCCCGGCGTAACACTTAGATGGACAGAATTGCTTTAATCCTACCAGAATGTTACACTGACTGTTCCTCTATAGAATACTGTTTTGAGTTTTGAAACGCTTTAACCTAACGCACTTCTACTACAACAGAATCCCCTCTCGTCACATTTCCTCTTCTGTTAAGACCTGCTTTTGGCTTTGAAAAAGGATTGATGCAAATGACAAAGCTTCAGGATTATTTTCTTTCTTCTTTGATTATCCTAGTGCCACCCACAGGACAGCAGAGGGGTGGGGTTTGAAAATGGTGTGAGGGCTTTGCCCCAGGACCCAAGAAGTACTGTATCTGCTGGCCTGGCACATTCGGGTTTAGAGAGGAGGCCAGCCCACTCCCAGCAGGGTGGGGGCTGTTGTGGGCTATAAAGAAGCAATGTCCCACCCAGACCCTGAAATGACCAGGCCGTCTATCAGAAAAAAATGGTTTCATATTGGTGGTTATTAGGAGTGTTTGCTTTAGTTTTTCCCTAAAAATGTATCCTTTTAGAAAAGCACTTGTTGTTCTAGACTAGAGTATTTTTTTAACCAAAAAAAAATCCTTTTATGGACATAGTTTAGTGTATTAAAAAAAGCAGAAGCTAGACGTGAATCTGTCCCTCTCCAGTAACTAGGTAGCAGAATTTCTGTTTCATTATTAAACAAGCTTTCAGTAGTATATGAAAACCCAAAGCTCTTCTCCTCACTAGTTCTATACTCTCCCTGTCCAGTCTTTAATGTTATTATCAAAAAAGCTTTGCATTGCCAATACAAGTAAAAAAAAAGTTTTGTTTTTTTTACTTTTCACACTTAGGATTCTTTGTGCATCAGCCACACACTTCCATTTCACAAAGAAACACGGGGGGCAGCTGTACTGCACGAAAGCACTGATGCAAATGAACCCAGAAGTGTGACTGTTGCTTTTTAGATGAACCCTCTGACAATGGTTTAAAAGGAAAGTTCAAAGAGAAAGAAAAAAAAATCCAGCATGCTTAATGCCAAACCGCCATATACAGGAAATGTGAGTCTAAGTAACTGCACATAGACCGCTTCAAATAATGACCAAGTACATAGAAGGGGTCCCTGATAATGCTGGTATTAAAACCATTTCCTTAAAGCATTCCTTTGCTCCTCTAGCTTGCTGTTCAAGGCCTTATACACATTATAAAAGCAGCATTTCCCTGCTACAATTAATCTGTTTAGCCCAAAAGAAACATTTGCATCAGACTCATCGCTAGACTAACTAATGAGGGTTGGTTTTGATAATTACACCCAAAATCCAAATCAAAATCACACCCACACTAAAAGACAATTGTATACTCAGGAATGGATTTTCTTGTAGTTACTATTCTATTTTTGGGAGGGGAATCAAGCAATTTTAAGAGAGGCACCAAAATTATTTTACAATTGCCTTCAAACGAGAAAGACAGAGCTTTGTGAGCATGATCTTTTGAATGTGATCCTTCACATTTCTTTTCCATCCATGGAGTTAATATAAGCTTGTGCCCTAAAAGTAAAATAATACTTTTATTTTATATCTCCAATTAATATGCATCCCACACTACTAACATTGGAACTCTTGAAAATCTAACCCCATATACAGAGTTTGCATTAAATTTACATCCAGAGAAGTAGGGAAAGTTAAGACCACATTCAGGTTCAATTCCGCCTCTTCCATAGAAAGGTTTTAGGAGGAAGTACTGACTTTCCAGATATTAGTATTGTAACATAGCAGCAGGCTAAAGGACATTTCACACAGAACATTTCAAATACCGTTGAGTTCAGAGAATAGGAATTGTGTAATTAAAAGTCAGTAAGCTCCTTTGAAATTGTATTATCCAGTGAATAGGACAGGAGTGTATACTAGTATATTTTGGGGAGTTGAGGTTATATTGTTATATTTGCTGTATTTTAGCATTGTAGAAACTTTAAACGGAAATATGATTTTATGTATTATCTTAATTGTTTTTGAATTTTTTGTAAACACGTTTTTCATCAAATTGTACATATTTGTTAACAATGCAGGCAGGATTCGTTGTTCTTAAAAGCAACGGTCACTCCCTAGTCTGGATGCTTAACCATTTACCATTAACTTTAAAGAAACCTATGAAACATTTGAGCAGACAGAACACAGAAAGCATGAGATTTCAAAACATAATCTATTAAAATAAAACAGAATTTAATATCATCAAATATCAATGATTTTTGATTGGACTTGTGTCCAATGGTTGTTTTTGAAGCGTATTTTCTTTGTTCAGCCCTTCTTTGTTAAGTTATCACATAACCCCAATCGCTTGAACACTTGAACAAAAGTGAAATCGCTTACCCAAAAAGCATCTTTGAATTGCAGCTGTGTCATCCTGTCAGGAGAAAATCCTTCTTCTATCAGCACAGTAATTTCAAAACGTGAAGTTTGAAGTCCAAAAAGAAAAATCCAAACCCCTCTTATTACTCCCTGTGCTTGAGGCAGAAAGGTAAACTCACTCCTTAGTAGGTAGATGGTCACAAAAAAAGACAAAACCCCTCTAACACTACACTGCTTGTGGTACACTGGTTAAACTGAAATGAGGAAGAAACTGTCAAATGATGTCATTGACCACAGAAGGGTGCTTGAGAGACAGCAAATAAAACCGAAGCATTGTTATTTGAATGCTACAGCAGCTAGGACTTCTGTGCTGAAATTGTGCTGGGAAAATGTGTGTATTTGTTAAAAAAAGGTAAAGGATTGAACACTTTTACAACACAGAAGCTAAACATGTTTTGAGCTGTGCAGTTGATTGTGCAAGTCGTTACCAGGAAAGGCTTGCAAAACGCAGAAACAAGTCACAGCAGTTATGGTGTCAATTATGACACCCCTGCCGATAGGTTGTAATATCCTTTTGTTTCCTTCCGTACAGCACGGTACAAAGTGTTGTGGACATGGTGTGAAGCATTTAAAACCTGAGAAATTGATCAAATATTTCTAAAAATAGTTTCTTTTTTTAAACCTTTCATTTACATTCTAATTGGCAAGCAGTGTTCAAAACCTTTCTGCACCCCTGCCTACAGCAATTCGTTATGATTTCTTAAGTCAATCAATTGCCCTACCAAAAAATTTAGATAGCTAGGCAAACTACTACAGGGGTTCCCAAAATTCTTTGCTCTGAATACTTATTTTTTCCTCTTTGAAAGTGCATTATAAAAAACTTTCCTGGGATCTTCACTGTATCTTTTCTAGGTGTCCATGTACAGTATGAGCAAGTATAGAAAAAACAAAAAGCATAATGATGCAACGTGGTCTCTGGTTAGGTACTCTTTGCGGAAATTCATGTTCTGGGGCGAGAATTGAGTAATGCTGTGTATTACTCATTTCTTATTTTGACACCTTTCCAACAAGCCTAGAACTGACAGCTGTTTTGTAACATTAGCTGAGGTGGGTAAGGCACAGTTAATCTACCAGTATTCCCCCAATATCAGTGATATTGATTGTATCATGAAGAGCAAAAGGATAAGTTTAATAACTCATATGACATCATTACATTGATCAATTAAAAATAATAATTGCAAAGAATCAAGTCCTGGCAAACGTAAAACAAACATGCTAAAAAAAACTTATGAACTATCTTCCTGTAGTTTCCATTTATTTAGGAGCATAAAAACTTCACTGAAAAGAAGTCCACTTTATAAATATTAGACCTCACACTTTTCCGTGTTTTTTTTTAAGATAAGATCACTTTACTTTAGTAGCCATATACACTTTCTTGCATAAGGAATTCATCTTTTCGCATACCCCAGCTTGCTCTCCATGAGACACAGACAGGGAGAGACGTTTGGGATCAGAGCAAAGGGTCAGCCATTGTACAGCGCCCCTGGAGCAGTTGGGGTTAAGGGCCTTTCTCAACGGTCCAACGGAGGAGGATTCCTCTGCCAGATACAGGATTTGAACCAGCAACCTTCAGGCCACAGGTAAAGACCCTTAGCCACACAGAGCCACCACTCTGCCCCATATTTGAGCAGAACAGTTCTTAATTTCAGTTTTTAAAAAAACACACTGTACACGACTGGACAACCAGCACATGTCAGTGTGCACAGGCTGGAAAAGATGTGCCTACTTTCTTGTTTACAGCTCATGATGTAGACACCTGGGCTTCCACAACACAAAATAATTAACACTATAGTGGGGAAAAACAGTGCATTTTTATTTATAAAAAAATAAAATTTGAAACTAAAGTTCATCATGCACAGAATGGAGCTGCCTGCCGTAGTCGGTCACTTCGCTGTCCATGAATGTCTGCATGTTGCTCATGATCTCCATTTCCGATAACCTGCCATCCCCATTCCGGTCCATCTCCTGGATCAGGTGGAGAGCCTGTTTTTTTTTTTAAAAAATGCATTTAACTGCCATCCAAAACAGCTGTGAAACGACCTTGTTAAAATCATCCCTGCTGATCACAAATGAAATTAGGATTCTAGATGTGCCAAACATTCTGACCATCCCTGAACTGTAATAAAATAATATAAATTCTTATTGAATTAACATTAACAAGCATTTGATATGTGCAATAATAGAAATGCAGAGCAAACTGTTAATCCCTTTAGTCTCCACTCCTATTTTAAACAGGGATGCTGGGTTTAAATTCAGTTAACTGAATTCAGCAACTCCTACACAGTTTATTCTCCATCAACATATCAAGTTAACGGTGTCGTGTTAGTTATGTTGTTACTGTGAAAGTCTTTAATTAACAAAGTGCACTCAGGTCAACCAGACCCTGCACACCATTCTTAGACAATACTAAGAAAATGGAATCAGAGTTTAAAGGACTCATATACACTTTCTAAAATAATACTTAATATTTCATGACATGTATATTCAATTATCCCAGAATTCTTTAAAGATTTGATCACCCTGAATTTACATTCTGGAGAGTAATTTAGATTAATGCAGTTTCCAAACATGTAAACATGTTTCAGCACTAGCTCTTGAAAAAGACTGAAATGAATTACAGAACCTCAACTTGCAAACAGATATAATGATACAGTTGTTCTGAAAAGAATACATGTGACAAGCTGCCAATCTGCACAGAAAACTTTTTTTGTGCTTTTTTCCCTGGAATGTTGGCTCTGCTGCTCAGTGGACTGCACTCATATCACGGTCATACTCCAAGTCTAGGATGTTGTTTTAACAGAGACATTCATGACTTATTATAACTGCTCTGCCAGTTGCAAATTTTAGTAACAACCACCAAATTAAATATAATACTAAATCTGACGATTGTGACAAGCTAGAGAAATCCTTAACTGTATTTCTGCTGCAAGCATGCATGAATTCTTCAAACATCAAGATCCTAGAGTGCGAGAAGCTGCAGCACTGCAGCAGGAGGTCTTTTATTGAACTGAGAGGGCTGCCTCACCTCCTCCCTTGCTGTGCCGTAACTATTGGGTGCCACCCACAGCAGCTGCTCCTCATAGTTCAGTTTGCCATCGTTGTCCCGGTCGTAGAGGTTCACAAAACGCAGTTTCTCCTCAATTTCCCACTGCGATTGATTTACTCCATCTTTGATCCAACACACACACAGATCCACAAGACCACAATTAGAACTCCAACACACAGCAAAGGACAGCTGCGGGCTCAAAGTTGCCCGCTTAACTTGGTCTAAAACACTTGTGGTTACCGTCACAGTGAAACAAACCAGAATATCATGAACTTTCATCTCCTTTCTTTACAATTTACTTCTGCTTTCCAGAGGATTTAGTTTGTGGCTTTTGCTCAGTGGGGATATTCTGACTTGAGCCATTGCAGTGCCCTTTTCTGTTCAAGCATGTGAGCCTGCAATAACAGTCCTGACTGGAAAGATGTGCAAGTATCATTTGTAATCCAGCAACATTTGAAAACTTGCATCAAGGATCTGCATGCTTTTGCAAGGCACTGTACCCAGCTGATGGGCAGTAGCTAAACTAGAGCACCTGACATGGAGGAAACTAAGCTTTAAGTTTATGCATAAGGTTATAACTTACCTGGACTTCGAAGATCCCCTAGAAATTCATGCAGACTGATAAACCCATCGTTGTCTCGATCGTATTCATTCAACACGTCCTCGATGGCATACTTCTACAATTGAACAAGTGTCCAAATCAAGCAAATGGATGTGGGCAGTACCTTACAGACATTTCCCACGAGTCACACGTTTGGAATTGTATTGTGCGAACGGATACAGAAATACATATTGTATGTAATTAGTATAAACTTACGGACATATGGTCCACTTCTGATGGATGCAAAAAAGCAAGCACCTCTGTTACATTCAAACCGGGTTTCCCATCTGTATTGGCATGATCAAAGCGCTGCTTTTCCTTCAAGTGCAACTAAGGGGACAAAAATCAGACAACATCACATGACTTCCCCAAGCCAAAGCACGCAAAAGTTGAAGAAAAAAACGGAACCTACGAAGTGAAGAGATTTTTCTTCAGAGTTCTCTGGCACCTTATCCTCGTCCATGTCAATGATGCGATCATGTACCAGCAGGGTGTATTCATTCCAAGATACAGCCCCATCACCATCTTTATCAAATTCCAAGAACTTCTCTGCCACATCTTCTACAGCATATCGTCTATACACCTGCTGTATCCATAAACTGATCTCGCCTGGGGAAGTGGGGAAAAAAGGGTCACAATTTGGAGGGGTTTAAAACAGCCATGTGATTTATTTCAATTTATCATGACAAGGGAGACTTCAAAATCGAATGCACCAGCCCACAGATCCATTCAATTTCAGTGACTGCTTAGTTTAGAGAGGGACACATGAGATTATTGTGATCTGGAGCCTAACAAAGCAGACGACTGACAGCCTATTGCAAGACACACTCGCACAGGGGCCAGTTTAGAGATGCCAATTATCCTAGACACCATGCAGCCATGGAGAGAATATATGGGTTCACACAAATAATATTGGATGCAGATATTCACTTTTACATGCACGATGCATTGGGAGTGGACCAACCTTCAGTTAGAAAGCCATCCAAATCTGTGTCAATCTTCTTCACAATTACTGCCAGCCTCCGTTTTTGTTCCTCTGGACTGAGCTTCTCTATCTCATCTTGGTCCTCAGGGTTACAAAACAGTGTGAAATGTGAGAAAGCACTTGAAAGGGAAACCCCCCCCAAAATGTTGCCACTAGAATTAACCTTGGAATCAAATGCGTTGATCCAATAGTGATGTACAAGAACCGCATCAAATATCCATCATATCTAAAAGAAAATGTTAAATCATTCCAAAATAATCCCTGAATGGGATACAAAATGGAGACTCAATCCATTTACCTCATTTCTGAAGAAGATGCTCCCGTCATACTCAGGATCCTCAGCATTGAAGGTGCTGGCCTTGTTTTCAGAGGCGCACGAACAGAGTGCAAACAGCGCCCAAGTCAAGATAATGCGCTTCATCCTCTATAAGAACTGGAATGTAAGATCTGCAAGATTTGAAAGGAAAAACCCCTTATAAGCAAAGCTCAACACTCCCAGGACTTGGGTGCCACCTGGTGGAATTTCAGCTCAGGGACAAGTAAGAAGTCGGTCAGTTCAATTGAGGATCCTCAAAACAGATCAAGCGCACGAATATATTGTAACCAATACGTTTAATCTTGAAACTAAACCTATCGCTCAGTTTAAGCGTGTCACTCCTATACAACGCATGCATCGTTAGGCTACTTGTTATCGGTTTAGGCGCAGACTTCAGCATCCTGCAGAGCTGGTCTAAACAAGATCAGCTGTAGTAGGCAGAAAATATTTTCAACATTTAAATGAACCTATGCGCACCTTATAAATGAGAATAAAATCAAAATTGTCGTGATTCGGTATTTAAAATGGTTTGTGATTCTGGTGCTTTCCATTAAGTCATTAAAATCCATTAGAGCATTCCAAAATCCCCTAGAGGCAGTAAGACTAAAGTCCAACTTGGACATCTACAAATAAAGACAACCAGAGATTGTTACAATCTTCTTAACGTCTGCTTTAGCTCAGGGCATTTACGAAGCTGTGTCGACATTAATCGATTAACGATATTTAAATGTCACCGTTAGTTTGCAAACCTTGCACTAAACGAACTAATCGGTGACAGCCGATGCCGATGCCACGGTTTGTCTTTGGAAACCGATGGTCTTTTTCCACGAAACTTCAGCGCAGCGGTGGGAGCAAGCTCACAGCCTGTTGTCATTAATGTAGCTAGTCAGGGCTTAGAGATGTCCTAACCTCCCAAGCACACAGAGAACTTCGCCGAGAACACAGCTCCAACGTTGACTGCACAAACCCCTGTACTTGTAGATAGTTACCTTACGTGCCAACGTCTCCCACATTTGACCATGAACTTGAACAAAAGTACCCAAGCGGACACCCCACTTTTTATGGGTCCGACACCCCTGGCGTCACTTCCGATGAGAAAGAGTCGTTTTCTTTGTTTTCATTGAAATACAACAATGCAATTTTTTTTTCTAAGAGCTGTACCTGACGAAGCCAGGAAAAAATGTATTTTCTCCATTTTATTTTTCTAACAGCTGCCTATGGGATTACTGCAGCGATATTTCCCATTTCAACGGTGTAAATAAAACAAAAAGTGGAGTGTTTTTTTAATATTCAGTTATCGGTGGTAAAATCTTCAACGTTCAATGCTAAAACGATGTTTTATGACTTTTTAAAAATCCGTTTTATATGCTCCTTTGCAAATGTATTCGAGATAACGCGAATAATAAATAATTACAGTTTATTTCTAAAGTTCTAACGTTACGGTTCAGTACACTTGATTTCTAATACTGAATGATCCTCTGATCGCTGTGGAATAATTCTTACTCAACCATGTCTAGTTCACATCGATTTAGATTAGTAGGCAAATACTTCTCTCCGAAAAATACCTTCACAGTCGAGAACAGTTTTTGTTTACATTGTTTGTGTTGCTGCGTAAATCAACCAATCAAAATGCATATTACGTAGTACCTCCCTCGGTTACCTGGTTGCCACGGTTCTACCTACCCTAACAGCCTTTGACCTCATTATTCTTATGTCTGATTGGCTGTCTTACGTCTTATACCCGCCCTGTTGTCTAAAGCTTATAAGTCATTGGTTAATCTTTGTGCCTGTCACCGAAGCGTCAGAATCTTTCCTGCTTCTTTTTAGGTTGTCTAGGAGCTGTCAGCTGTGCCTTGTGTAGTTTTTTTTTCTTGCCACTGGTTTGCAGCTCATCACATTAAGGCGCAAATCTTATCGGCGTCCTGATCAGAAATCACAAAGAAAAGCTTCGTCGCCTGCCCAATGTCTAAGGACTGCCGCAGCGAAGGCAGGCGGCGTGGAGCTGGCCAGCACCGGCTCGGCCCGGCGCTTGATGGCAGGGAGAGAGCGGGGAAGAGAGCGGGCCCAGGCGGGGATGGGAGGGAGAGATCGGGGAGCAACAGCTCGGGATCATCGCATGGAGGAGGCAAAGGCAGGAACACTCCCATCAACCTCGCCCTGAAGGTAAAGCCTCCCGTTGGTTGAGTTTGCAGATATTTGCTTGATCACGTTGATATGACTCGGTATACAGTAGTCTGTATAATGCTGGCCTCATGTACTGCCCCCATACGCGTTTTCCCCTTTTAAAGACAAATTAAAAATGTGTGCACCTGCTATGTTTTAGTTAGCAAAGGTAAAGCATGCGTGTTTAAATAAGGGTGATTATATTTGAGCTGTTCAGGAGAGAGGAGACCGGGAGCGACTTTGTGGAGTTGTCCTTTGGATCCTACAGATTTCTGATGATCCCGTATTTTCATCTAGCGGTTTTGTTGCACGGCATCACATCACAAGGCTAACCAGGGTCTGATTCTTTTTGTTTTAAAAAGCGAACCTCCAACTCATTTTCTATACGCCCTTCTCTTCTTGCAAAAGCGTGCACTCGCCTTGCAGTACGAATGTCATGAAGGACTAGAATATGGGAATGACGCCCGCAGGGAGTGAATTCGGGAAACACTAACAATGACCGGGCAGAAGCTCAGGGTTTTAGGTGAAATATTGACAGGCCCCCCTCCCACACAGTAGTAGCAGTTTTCGGGACAGTTGGCGTTGTTGACTGAATAATGAAACAATGTTGAAGTGGAACGCAGCACTGAAGAAAAACATTCACTTAATTTACCACATTTACCACAATGTTGACTTATTTTGTAAAGCAATTCATTGATAAAATGCCTACATGTGTCTTTGAACTTGAATGTTACCTACATTTGAACGTTTTCCTCCTCCCTTTGCGTTCACTTCGCAGAGCAACTGGGACTGGAGGTTGAAGTTGGGCAAAGGCGATGCTGGTAACGTTTTCTCAACAGCAACAGCAAAACCTGACGTCCACGATTAAATGTGTCAGTCTTTCCCACTGCATTTCCGTAGTGTGATTTCCCCTGGCACTGAGACAACCTTTCTGCTGGGAGCTTTCTAAGAGCACATGAATTACTATCATTCTGAATTGTCATTAGAAAGCCATTACGTTTTCATAGACTAACACCTACCCTGTGGAAACCTTCAATAGGAAGTACTGTACAAAGTATGAGAGTGACGTTATGCCAAAAATAGTTCATTTGGAAGTTGGACGTTGGTGAGATCAGAAGAAAAAAAAGGTTAAGGCTATCTAGTCGTTAGTTTAGTTCTTGGTGTTATTCTTGATCCTTGATGTTAAGGTTTCGGAGTTGCAAGTCCGGGATGTTCGGTAGACAGCATGAGCACTGTATTCTATGCCGACCTGGTTTAAAGGATGAAAAACCCTTAACCCTCAAAGTTAAATACCTGGTGTCACGAATGAAATGACTTCAGCTGAATTCCAATTGGACATGAAGGTTGTTTAAGATGAGAAAAATATGTAATCTTCCTGTAACCTACTCCAAGCATGAATTTGAAATAACTTTATTTTTTTTTTCAATACAAAAACCTGATGGTGTTCAACAAGAGTTCAGTGTTTTCACAAGGGTTACATGCCCAGGGGGCCTTGCAGCTGATAAAATGTAGTAGAACATGATTCTGGAATATTCAAATGCTCTGGAAAACATTTTCCAAAAAAGTGACCTAAAATGCCAATCAGCCTAGTTAAGTAATTTGTCTTCCTGCCCAGTGCACTGTTAAATAGCTTCCTCTTATTTGTATTTTAGACAGTAGGTGTAGGTTGGTGAGTGGTCAGGGAGGGTTTTTATATAACCCCACAGATGCTTGCAGAGCTGTTCTGTTTTTTAATTCTTGATTTCTGTTCTGTGTGTGAACCCATATCCGCTTCGGAAGTACAACAGGTTGCACACAGGATGTGGCCGTTTAGCTCATCTACAGTAGATCATACGACAGTTAGCAGCTAGTTGATCCAAGGATCTTATCCGTCTGTTTCTTGAAAGACGCCAGGGTATTGACTTCAACCACGGGGTAGGTTGTTCCACACTCCCAACACCTTTTGAGTAAAGACGTGCCTCTTGTTGCAAGTACAGTAGGTGTCCCCTGGTTTGCTTCATTGTTAATTCAGATTCTAAAACTGAATTGGAAAAACTTGAAAGAAGGTTGATGTTTATTAACATTAAAATTAAACGATGTTATGTGCTGAGAAATAAAATGTATCTCAATAGGCCTAAAATCAAAATAGACCTTCTACGTTACTTGTGACCGTGTTTCACTTATTTGTGCATCTTTGATGTCCTTGGGCAGAGAGTAGCGAGCAATTAGAGCCAGCAGTGTTGTTTCAGGATTTCCTACCCACTTGAAGATTTGCATTTGAAAAAGAGGACCCTTAAGATGTGTACAGAAGAAGCTGTAATTTCACACACACAAGATGAGCTTTATAAGTTTAATCTTGAGTGTAGAACACACCCTTTCTTTTGTGCAAGTGCACAGCTTCACAAAGAGCCCCTGGAACCCTATAACAATGCCCAGTACAGTCTCATGTGCAGAGGAGCTTTAAAATGCAACAGATGAGAACTGGAATCAAGCTGCAGGGTCAGGTAATGAAGTCTATATTGAAAAGTAGGCATCACGGCCTTTTCACGGTGTCGCTAAATGCCCTGGAAATAAGATTCCCTGATCCTGTGTTCCCTGACTGTTGCATGTTTACTTCGGATAGATGCTCTTTTATGTGCACTCCTAGATGGAAATCGAGTCCCCGTGTGTGGGGGATCCTTTGGTGTAGCCCACACGATCACACACCACATGCTCAAAGCACAACCCACCAGGGCCCTGAGCACGGCAGCTCCTGCGTTTTTTTGTTTTGTTTTCCTCTGCCAGCTGGTTGTGATTCATGCATTCCGGTATCAGACTGGCCTCGGAGTCCCTGGCTCACTCTCGCCGGCTTAGACGCGTAGCGTGTGCCTCAAGTGTCACTCGAGCTGGCAGATGAACACTGGGGGCCTCTTCAGCCGCGACCGTCTTACCTTGTGGAGGGGGGCTTCTCCTTGCGGGCCTGACGGGTGCTGATAATGGCTGCCTGCTGCTCTCACGGCTTCTAGCGAGGGGCTGGAAATCGGTGCCCCTGTGCTGTGACAGCAGCTGTAAACACAGGAGGAGCCGCAGAGCAGCGCAGGCCCTGCAAGCTCAGCTCAGCTCAGCTCAGCACCGCTTTCTCCGAGAGCAGGCAGGGCTGAAGGTCTCCGCGCCTGCTGAGTACCAAGCACTCTACTTTGCGATTGGCGGAAAAGTTGACACAGCTGGACAACTTGCCTGAAGAGCACGCAGTGGGAGTCTATTTTGGTCTGCAGTCAGATGACGATGTCGCCTAGTATGAGCAGCAATGCCATCGAGGGGAAACGGGTTGCCTGAAGTCCGCTGGGCAGAAGCATGTCAGGGCTGGATCCGGAGGAAGAACCCGCATTCTATTCCGTACGTAGCCTTTAATCTGTCTCATGCATGCCTCCGCGCTCTGGAGTTTTCTAGCCCCTGACCCGATTCCAGGCACCATTCCCGAGATTGTGTCCCGCCTGCTGCTGTCGGCATTGCAGTGTCGCTTCGTCGCGCTGCACGGCAGACCGGTGACCTTTCTCGAGTGCGCTTTGTCTGGAGAAATGAAAGGGGGCAAGGAGAAGCCATCCACTCCTGTGAGGGTGTTAAAGAGACAGGTGGCAGAGGCCTGCACTTGAGTAAAGGGATTAGGAGGGACTTCCACTAATCCCACGTTGTCACGGTTAATTCTTAGAGCACAACTAGGCTTTGGGCTCTGGAGGGACACAAAACTCCTCAGTTTTTCTTGTCCCATTGATGATTTGCCTAGCGGTGGGCAGGAAGAAGAGTTATTTAGCTAGGCTGATTTGACTTGAAATACATGCCGTTTTTGGGGAAATCTTTTCATAGCGTCTGCAGCATTTGGATATCCCAGAATCATGTCGTACTATATTTATTCTTTATCTTATTTTTCCTTTTGTTAGGGTGAATGCTGCCATATCATTGGTTGCATTGGTTTTGCTTCTTGCTAAGTAGGTCAGTTAATGTATATCAAGCCACTGGACATAAAATCGGAGGAGGCAAGGACAGCCTGCTGTGAATGGACTTCTGAGCTTCCCTGACCTAATAAGATGTAATGAACTTGGTTTTGCTTGAAGCATGAAAAGGCTGGCATTTGTTAAGCTTTGAAATTCGATTTAAATACTGTATATATGTTTGGGTAAAATGGTGTCGTTGTACGTGACAGCAACTCAGGGAGCTGAAGAAAAAGAACTGCATTTTGACAAATGATTGTCATAAATCATGGCAAGTTTTAAATAAAATAACCACAAGAGCAGGTGCCTTTACAGATCACGGTTTACCTGGCTGTGCTCCAGTCTAGGATGACTGGATGATTCAGTTATAAACTGTTGTTTTTGCCTAATTTAATAAACGTGCCTTCACGAGACATTATTTCAGTGCTCCCTTTGAGGCATCTTGGTGAATAAACAATGATTTGTTCTATCAACAATGATTTGTCAGTACATTACAAGAGAGTGGTTCTTATCTTGTGGGGCATAGAGAAACCATATCTGTGCATTTTGAGATTATGTAGCCACATGCGTTTAAGAAGGTATCACAGGCCGTGGAAAACTTTGGAATCAATGTATGGCATATATTACTGTACATTTTCATATTTTGAAAACGCTCATGTGGGAAGGTGTGCAAGCGTGTGTTGGCTGTAGAGGAACAAGTAAAAGCTCCACACTGGAAAGTTGAAAGAAGAAACACAATGTTTCAGAGCCCTACACACCACAACTCGCTGACCTGAAGAAATCTCAGCAGCTGAAGCGCGTTTCTTTTTTCTGTTGCTCGACCCAATACTTGGAAATTGTCAGATTAAAAAATAGTGAGATCATTAAAAGGAAGCTTCGTGTCAGAGATTAATTATATTGGGCCTGCTGATCGTTACTAATTTCAGATTTAATGTTAGGTGTTTGTACTAGGTCTGGGACACTGGGATTATCTGGGTCATCTCTTTCTAAAACTTGAGTTGGATTCATAAAGTCTCGGGTGTACGGTGTAATTTAAGATAAGATAAGATCACTTTATTAGCCATATACAATTTCTTGCATTAGGAATTTGTCTTTTCATAGACCCCAGCTTGCTCTCCATGAGACACACAGACAGGGAGAGAGCCTGGGGTCAGAGCACAGGGTCAGCCATTGTACAGCGCCCCTGGAGCAGTTGGGGTTAAGGGCCTTGCTCAGGGGCCCAACGGAGTAGGATTCCTCTACCGGCTATGGGCTACCGGCAACCTTCCAGCCACAGGCACAGATCCGCCCATACATACAGTTGTTAGAAGTTATGGGAATGAATATTAACGAGCTCTCTTTGTTTTATGATGCTGAGTGAGTTGGAATTATATTAAGATCTTGTTTTACATTTATGGGCTTATATCTACATTATATACTGAAAAAGGTGGAATTGGATGTCTCCACATCCACAATTATTCCACTACCTCCCCTTATAGTGAAACAATGAGAGTTAATTAGTATTCATCACCATAATATAAATAATTCTATCAAAATGGGGGCTGGGAGGGAGAATCATGCTATGAGTGACTTGCACAGAGCAAGAAAGCAATATTCATGTTTTTAAAGGACCAGTAGGTGGCGATGCTCCCTCTGCATCAGAGTTTACAGGCTAAATCACAGTATGGTGACGGGAGACACTGTGCTTTGGTATTAAACCAAGGTTCTGACTAAATTAAGAGGCCCTATGGCACTGCTCAAAAGAGCAGGGGTGTTACGCCTAGTGTCCTGGGTAAATTCCACTTTGGGCTTGTACAATCTGTCCTCCCTCAAGTACTCCCTTAAAGGGGAACTGCATCTCTTTTAATCAATTCGAAAAATTGCAAAAATATTGTTAGGCTGACAGATACTACTTACTTGTTAACTCTGTATGCAGATCACACGGGAATAATTCTACGGTGAAATGTCTGCCGTACAACCTGCAATTATTTGCTCGTGCATGGCATGAACATTAGTCATTACAGTGACTAGTGAGCAAGAACGGCCGCCTCATGTCACAATTCTGGCAATCTCTAACCTTCGCTCGCACAGACCAGCGGTTAGTGAAAACATGGCAACCATACATTACTTTCACAAAGTTCACGAGTTTGTGTTCAATTTGGAATTTGTAAATCTTATTTTGTTTCTGAGATTTAATAACTGGTCTGAGAAATTGTGACGACAGTTCCTCTTTAACAAGTAATTTGTCTCTTCTGCAGTGTTGTGTAGCGAGGCTCCTGGTGCAGATTAGCTGTTGTGTGTTGCTCAGATGGCTACTGCATTTTAAAGTTTGTTGAAGTGGGTCCCCTCCTACGAAGCAGTCTCAAATTCTTCAGGATGAAAAATATTATTAAATCACATTGTCCCGTGGTATTCACTGTTTTCCTCCTTAATGCAGGAACATGATTCTTGGGTGGTGTTCAAGAAGTTTAGCTATTTTGGTTTTAAGATAACTGTTAATCAGAATCTGTGTTTTGTAGAGCAGAAAGCAGCCTTTTCAGTTTATGGACATGTAGTGAGGAACACCTGCCTTTCAGCTGTGAGGCGGCTGTTTAAACAGTCATTGTTCTCCAGTCAGGTGATCAGGCAAAGCCAGAGCTCAGCAGCGTTTGTCTAGGCAACAGAACAAGGTGGTGAGAGAAACCACTTCGCTGGTGCTCGCCAACAGCCGAGTCAAGTCCTCTTCGGCAGTGAATCAAGGGTTTGTGTTGAGCATCCTGATACAGACTTGATACTCCAGCTGATGAGCACCACAGACCACTCGAATGGGAGGCTCAGTTGTGGTGGCTGGGCCAGGAGTGTCTAAGTGCTATAGAACTGCACTTGAGCGGATTGCAGGCAATCCCACTGCACAGTGCAACATTGGTCTAATCCTGGGACCTCACCTTCTGCCCATTTGTCAAAACCCACACAGTCATGCTGCTCATATAACAGTGGCCTTACCTGCCAGACATGACCCTCATCGCACACTTGTGGGATAAGCTGGGTTGACGTGACATCTGTGTTTCAGAGACCAGTGAGCAGGTGCATGCTTGTCTAGGCTCTATGAGAGAAATAGGGCAGCATGCTATCTTTCCAAAGAATAATTGAGACAGCATCTACCCTGAACAGAGCATGTGGTGCAGATGTACTTTTACAGTGGACCACCTGTTCATCGGTCCTGCTAAAGATAAATGTTATTTGCAGTAATGAATTTACCTATCATGTCTGTTCATTGAAATGTTAATGCACATCCTACAAAAAAGGTTGTAATTTTCAAAGCGTGTGCCAAAATGAATGAAGAAATGCAAATCGGACTAAAGGCAATCTAGAATCCCACGGGCATTTCTCTAAAACAGTAAGGGTGTAACCCCGGCGTCCTGGCCAAATTTCCCATTGGCCCTTAGCGGTCATGGCCTCTTAGTAATCCCCCTCTATGAATTGGCTTCATCACTCTAATCTCCTCCCCACTGAGAGCTGGTGTGTGGGGAGAGTACTGGTGCACTATGGCTGCTGTCACATCATCCAGGTGGGGCTGCACACTGGTGGTAGTGGAGGGGAGTCCCCATTACCTGTAAAACGCTTTGAGTGGAGTGTCCAGAAAAGAGCTATATGAGTGTAAGCAATTATTATTATTAGAATGAAATTTGTGTTGGCACTTTACTTGATATTCCTAATGTGCACTCCAGGGGGAGCCAAAGTTCTGCATATCCCACTGAACCGAGCAGAGAGCTGAGCAATGTGTAGCTGGGCACACTGAATGAAATGTTTTGATAATGAGCTGTATAGATGCCCGTGTGAAAGTTAAATTAAATAAAAGGATACACCAATCAGTAGAATTCCCTAGGTCTGTCTCCTCCTGGGAGAGGAAACCCCTTACATATGTGATGTTGATTGAAAGCTAATAAGAAAACCTGGAGCAACCTCATGTGTTTACCTCTGTACTGCTTTTCTTTTTTTACTCAGCTGCCTGGACCTTAATTAATTCAGTCACATGACCATGTAACATCTGTTTTGATTTCCTTGATCCTCTTGACTTGCCTAGATTTGTGTTATTTTTGCTTTATGTGTCTTCACCTTATAAAATCCTCGACCTTAAGTCAGGTGGTCGATCCTCAGCCAAGAGTGTTAAGCCAAAGCTTCTTATGTCTAAAATTCCCCAATACATTTTCTTGTTGGGTGTTGTTTTCATGAGGAATGACAGTACTGTCATGCTTAATGCATTTTAAGTGCCTTCTGTAATGGCATCCTCTCTTTCCAGGCTTCCTTCCAGCGCTCCAACAGCCATGACAAGGTGAGGAAGATTGTGGCAGAGGAAGGCCGCACCGCACGCAACCTGATTGCCTGGAGCGTGCCTCTGGAGAACAAGGAGGACGATGGTGAGTGGTTTTGTCCTGTCCCGTCCGGAGGTAGTCAAGCACTGGACTTTCAAAAAGAAGTCAGTTCCGATTCTGGTGTGAATTAGTAAGGGATTGGAAATGAGAGGGAAAAAAAACAAAGCTTTGGAATTGAATTGTAACTGGCATTTTTAATGAATGGATCAACCTGGTTGTACTTGTTTTTAAAAAATCCAAGAAGTTGTTTTCCTGTTGTAGCCTGGCTCAGTAGTCAGTGCACCTGTGTATAATTCAGACAATCACTGGAGCAGGCGATTTGGGATCGTGTGATTGATCCTGCACTGGGCGAGGAATTGCGTAGCGGAATGACAACCACTTTTCTTGCTTTTTGAGTCAGCTCATAGGCGCGGTTGTCTGTAAGTGCCATGATGTTGGGGAAAGATGTCAAGTGGTTTGCAGTGGTTTGAACAGTTGTGATCTTTGTCTGCACGCATGGCTTTCTTTTTGAAGCAATATGTGCTACTAGTCATCTCGGCAGTTTTTTTCTCTTGTGTTTCTTGTATTTGTACATGCACATCATATTGTGGTTAGTCTTTCTTTGTTGCTGTATTGCTGTAAGGCAATAATAAAAACAAGAGTGTCCCTTATATTTTAAGACAAAATGACCAAATTTCCATACACTGAAGGTAGAGCTGGAATTGGAATGATGAAGTTAAAAGGGACCTGAAAATATGCGTGACTGGAATTCTAATTGCGCAGATTGATCATGAAGAATCGGAATCGAGCCTGAGTTTCAACTGGAGTGGTTCGTCTTTGATTCGAGGGAGTTGAATCCGAGTTCAAATGATGGAACTGACTGCAACTCTGACGGTCGCAAGTGAAGCATTTGGGCTTTTCCATTCCTTCCTATAGTGCCCCTTCTGCCATTCTGAAAGAGCTCCAAAATAATCTGATGCTTGGATTATCAAGGATCTGGAATCGTACATGGTTAAAGAGAGGGAACTGAAATTGGGGGCAGCCATCGGCTAAGGGCAGTCCCGGGAAAGGGCTTACTGCCGGTCAGGTTACACCATCAGATAGTGCAAAATCAATACATACGAAGGGGTGGGATAGTGGTCGATAGAATCGGTGTTCTTTGTACTGCATGAACACCAGTAAATGGGGATGGGGGGCTTGTCATCAGTAAATTCAGCAGCATTAAGGTCTTGCATCTTCAAGCGATAAACAGGCTTTGTATTGAAGGGTAATGTGTTTGAGATGTCTGGTTACTGTGCAAGTGAGTCCCCTGCTTCCACGGGGATAAGAGATGACCCTTCAAAGGGAGGGCCTGTTTTACTGCAGAAAGCCCTCCTGTCCTGAAAGAGCCGCTGTGTTTTCTCTCGGCAGACAAGCGCAGTCTGGCTTTCTTCCTCCTGCTTTATTGGAGCTGCTGCCTGAAACAGTGGCAGGGACAGGCTTGATTGTTATGTAATGAACATCAGTTGTGATTCGCCGGCCTTTCAAAACGAATTTAATGGGCAATTGAAATGGTAGCTGGACACTTTCCATAATTGAAAACGTGTTCTCATTTGGTCATCTGTCACCCTCGCTCATAACATAACTTTTGACTCCTTTCTGTAGTATCCTGAGGTCTGCATCTGGTTTGAGGTGGAAAGTGTTTGACATTTTTGTTTTTTAATGGGGGGAAAAAAAATAACTTTGAGGCTTTGTGCCTTTCAGTGTCAGCGGTTCATTCTGCTCTAGGACATGTGTTTTACTTTAAGCTGAAGAGATGCAGCTGATCACATTTGATTACTGTAAGCAGGTTATTTCACAAAATTAAATAAAAACTGTATTGACTGAGATTTTCTTGCCTTGGTATCTAGAATAATATAGATAACATGGAGCAGTCTTCTTATCCATTTTAACTCCCTTGGGGAAAACAATAAAACTGGTATAAATACCAAGGAAATATTAAGATAATGTTTAACAGTATAATTATTAATATTGTTTATTGTATTGTGAGTCTTTGGTTGATTTTCCTTTTTTTCCCCAACTCTGTTTATGATAACATCTGACTCTGTATGAGACACTGACGTAGTATTCATGACCCGCCACGAAAAGACAATATAATATAAAAAAATCTGTTTTTGTCTCCATAATGAAAATATGTTCCTCTTCCAGTAAATATTCCCAACAGCCAAATCCCACTACATTTGCAGTGTCTTAGCCCATAGCAAAGGAGTTTGATGTCGAACAGTTGGCAGTGTTTTTTTGGCACAATATGTTTGTGCAGAAGAGTTCAAAAAGTGGTACAAAGCTATTGATAAGCTATTATTTGATCAATGCAGGACTACTGGTAGCTGGAGTTACTGTTCACTTTGTGCTCTCATTAGAGGGATTTGTGTGTTATGAAAAGCTTACCTTTGCACTCGATTGTGCAGTTGGGCACTTAGTCACTGGACTGCTGTGAGTGAGGAGCAGCAACCTCAAGGCAGAAGCCCAGGCTTTCAGTTTCATGTCCAGTGAGTGCCCAACCTGTGCCCGACACATGGCCTATACACTAGGCAGTGAAACCCAGGTGGAAACGGTTCTACAGGTATGATGCAGCAGAACATTTTGAACGAACAGGTTAACAGAAAAAGAAATGATTCAATAACGTATTCGCCTCAACTTGTTGATTGCAAAAGGTGGTTTTTCCTAGTCCACAAGAAATGCAAAATTCCTCCCTAGTTCATAAAGTAATCCCAATAACTGGATGGTATTCAAAGGGCCTGCTCGAAGGGTATGCATAAGAAAGCAAGAAACATTGCAATTTTAATGGACAATTATTTTTTTAAAATATTGGCTACGCTGGTCAATGGTCAGTGCGGTCTTGATATGCTGCCAAGGAATTTTTATCATGGTAGAGAAACTGATTTCTTTGAAAATCCTATGCATCTTTTTAAATGAATTTTCTGTAATTGAAAACCAGCAATTCAGGAGAGATTTCACAACAGAGTGTCTGTAGGCACAACAAGTCGAGACTCCAAAAGAACAAGCCATTAATGCAGCGTAGATCAACCATGGTAACAATCCCGCATCGGATTTACTTGGTTTCGCAACAGGAACAGAATTTGCTTTACAATTATTTTTTTTCAAATCAAGCAAAAAAAAAAAAATTCTTTTTTTTCTAAATGTGAATAGAGCAGCTTAGATTTTTTAGTATTTTGCTTAACATTAGATGTGAAATTTCAGGAAAAGAGCCCTTAGATTCCTAGGCAGAGAAGAGACAAGACCTCCTTTCATTTATATCCCTCTGGCCTATCTGGTTCATTTGGTTGCTGGTAGCTAATTGATCTTAGTTTCTTGCAAGAATCCAGGGTATCGGCTTCATTTCAACAAGACACAGCCGTTCATTAAGGGCTGAATCTTACTAATGCCTGCTACTTACCTGAGGATCATAATGACAGTAACAGGTGATCATCTGTTACAAAAAAACAAACAGGCACTTAAAATCTTCACAAGGTTGCTCAGTAGTCTGCTATTCTGTGTGGCCTACGTTCACAGTTGAGGGAAATATGTTTTGTCAGTTTATCCGCATCAGGCAGCGGAGAGTATAACCATAGCCGTCTGCTATTAATAAACGAAAGGTGACTGTACTTTTCTTTTCTGGCCGTGTTACACTTTGAAGCTGCAGAGTCTGTATAAGGAAGGCCCAGTTTTTATCTCGCTTCTCTCTCGTGCTGCAGCAGAATCAAGTAGAGCTTTTGCCCATTGGTCCTTTTTGCAGTTCCGCCACATGTCCAGGTAAGATTCCTTAATTCTGCTTCACTTTTTTTACAGGAAAATCAAAAACGCAGTCCGCCGGCAATCCAAGGTCACAGCGAATCGGTGCAGGGCTGCACAGAAACAAAAAGCAGGTTTGTAGTCTGTTTATCCTGTCTTCTGGCCCTTTTGTGGTGATTACAGTTAGGCTGAACATATCACTTCATGTTCACTGGGACAAAATGAGACATTTTGAGACAGAACAGGAAGTTAAAGTTCTCCGCAAAAATTAAACTCAGATTTTTATCTCGGCCACGGATTAAAGCTGAATTGTTTCAAATCTTGGGCACCACTGTGTCGACCTTAATTGAAAGTCATATCTTCTTAAGTCACTGAAAGCAGAATGTATTTTTCTATTGTATAGGGAGCTCTATTTTTACTGAAATGTGGAAATTAGAATCTTGATGACTTCAAATGGTTTAATGAAACAGTCTCTTGGCATATGTAATCATGAAATGGTGATGCGGATATAATGGAGAAAGTGAAATTTAAAATTGATCATCCATTTATTTATCAGGTGTTTATGGTGTGGTTTCTTCATTCTGTTTGTACTTTTGTGGATGTACTGTATATTATTCCCAACCCATATTCACCCCCAATTTCCACCAGGGGGAGACAAAGACCTCTCAGGCGGTGATCATGCATGATTACCCAGTCAGTCCCAGTGGACAGACCCCATCCTCAGCTCGCCAAAGAAAATGACTAAATCACTGTTTTGTTCCCAAATTGTACTTGGTGTCAAAGCCAAAAGGGCATCTTTGCGGCAGCAGCATATGAGCAACACAGCTGAATATTGATCGGCTGACGCAGTGGAAATATGACTGCTAGAGCATCTTCAACCTCCCCAGCAGAGTCAATGCAACATCAAAAGAGCCACAGTTTATGAAAAAGGAGTCTTTCAATTGTAGGAGAATGTAAGAAGTGGCTTGAGGTTCTTTAAGTTGCCACATTTTTTAATTTGCTTTTTGGCTCTATTGTACAAAAATACCTTTATTAACACCGGGGGAAAATTTCCTACTTCTCCTTTATACAGTTGAAGCAGAATGTGAAGGGATGGCACCTTTTCATCTTACTCTATCGGAAGCACCAATGTCGCTATCCTCCAGTGAAGTGGGGGACCCCTGTACATTTACAGGACTTGCACGTCGCCGGCCTCCCTCTTGACTCCTGCCGTTTCTGCTGCGTGCCGGCCTGCTGCCCTGGCCCGGCAGGGCCCTTGAAAGGCTTGGGCTCCAGCAGGTTTCTGTGACCCCGTTCGAAGGAGCTAATGGAGGGGAAAATGCTGGGAATCAGCTGTGCAGTCAGCGGCCGGTCCCAGAGGCAGGCCTCCTCTCCCCGGAGTGGCAGCTATTGAACCGTGACAAACGAGCCGTGTCAGGCTGGCCTGCCACCCGGGGGATTCCACATGACCTTTCCATTAGCCGGCCCTGCCTTGTTCCCCCGTTCATATTGGGTTACGCCGGCACGCTGAACACGCTCTGTCACCAGCTCCTCCTGGGTGGCTTCAAGGTGCTCTGGGGTCGCTCGCGACGGTGACCGCCGCGCGTCACACTTTTTGGCCGTCTGCCCTCTTTGCTTCCGCCTTCAGCCGGCGGAGGGGTGATCCGTGCCCGGAGGGCCAAGCCGACAGGAAGCGCGATTCCGCGTTTCCATCCCGGTGGCTTTGGGTTCCGAAAGGGAGCCGATTTCCCGTTTGCTGCAGCAGAATGGGAAGGGGGACCCGTGACGCCCGCAGCCCCAGGAGAGCCCCCAGTGGTTAGCGGAGCCCACATGGCGGTGCGACCCGGAATGTGGCGCATTGAGCCGCGGCCGCGGTCCTTAGAACCTGTGTGGGTCTTGACAGACGAAGGGCTAATTATGTGGAGGCTGCAGCGGTGGGGTTGTAGTTGTCAGTGAGCTAATCCACAATGGCTGTCATAATACACTTGAAAACTGACAGCTGGGAGGGAGGGAGAAGGGCCTATTTCTTTTTAAAGTTGGTTTCTGTGCCGTTTTGCTTTTGATCTCCGCTTCAGTCCTAAACCAATATAAGCGGAAGCAATGCCGTCTACGGTCCGGTGACAAAAAAAATCGCAACAGATTGTTCAGTGACACTTGAATGTTTTCCCTTTTGGGAATTAATTGGAGCCCATGTATTATTCATTTTCAAAGAGGGCAGTATTCTACTGCAAGATCAACGCGTTTGGAAGTTCTAGTATTTTGCCCATGGGTGGCTTAACGTGTCCATTTGCCTTTTTTCTGAATTTAATGTTAGCCGGTCTTTCTTGGTGTTCTGCTTCATCCTAGGATAAATTATGATGTTGACTGCTTGTAATTGATAACTATATATAAGTATTAATTTGAACACTACAGTATCGTATAACCAGACGTGTTATGATTTTGCTCCCATAATTCCATTTTCAGTAGATAGATTATTTGTGTCTTTGGACACAACTTTGGGCCATGGAAAAGACCCGTGCAGGCTTAATGTTTAAGTGCTCCTTGTCTGCCACCACTTCTAACATTGTTCCTCCAAATGTCTGAGCACAAGGCCCTCCCTGGCGTCCAGCTGGTTTGCCTGCAGGCCTCCTCACTGCACTCGCCGTCCTGCTCTCCGCTACCCAGGAGACGAGCAATCTCTGTGTCTGTCCTGCCAGGCGGCCCTGCTCCGTGTTCTCGACCGCTTTATAGACGAGCGGTCTCCGTGTCTGTCCTGCCAGACCTGGCCCTGCTCTGTGTTCTCGACCGGTTTATAGACGAGGGGTCTCCGTGTCTGTCC